TATATCTTTCCCGAGGTAAGAGTACTCGCCTCAAAAACAAGAGTCCTGGGTTTGATTCCGGTCAGGGTGAAGCGTTGGGGAAATTTCATGTGCCTCTGTTTACCAGTAGTAAGTAGGAACCCAGTTGTTAGTCAAATAGCGGATCGCTTTTCCGGGGGTAATAATTCCTTCAAAAAAATAATAATAATTTGGTCATTCAATCCCCGACTGTTTGTGGGGACGCTGCTGTGTGCAATTGGCTGCCGCGTTTCACCCACAAAATATACAGTCAATTCACTTTACAGTGTATTCTGTGAAGAGTTTTGATACGTCTCAAAGACGTGATAAGGCGCTGTGTCAAATGCAAGGATTATTATTATTAATAATAGTATAAGATTACACTTTGTGCCCACATTCCCCACACACTGAGCTTTACTGTCTCCCCCCCTCCACACACACACAGCCCCCCACACACATAGCCCTCCACCCCACCCCACACACACACCAATTGTCTCTCTTACTCTCTTGGTGTTTGAGTTTCTCTCTCTGCCTCGGTTTATAAGAGACTTGTAGAATGCAGAGGGGAGGGTGGAAAATAAAGTGGTTTAGGAAGAGTTTCAGGGGAGAATGTGGGAAAGGGAAACAGTCAAACATCAAGAAAGGCATAGAGACAATTAGTGTGCACTGGAGGGTGGGGTGGGCTGTGTGTATGTGTGTGGGGGAGGACTGGCTGTATTTGTGCTGGGGGCTGTGTGTGTGGTGGTGGGGGGAGGGCTGTGTGTGGGGGGGTTGTGTGTGTGTGTGTGGTGGGAGGAGGGCTGGGTGTGTGGTGGGGGGCTGCAAATGTGTGGGAGCTGTGTGCGTGTGTGTGGGAGGGGATGACTGTGTGTGTGGGGGCTGTGTTGTGTGTGATGGAGGGGGGCCCTGTATGTGTGGATGGTGGTGGGGGGGAGTGCGTGGGGTGGGGGCTGTGTATGGAAGCTCAGTGTGTGGGGGATGTGGGACATAGTGTAATTTTATATTGTCACAGTATTATGTGGGGCCCCAGAAAACGAACAAATCACCACATTTGACAATTACAGTCAGACACCCGGCTAACCAAAAAAATACAATTACAGGGATCGGTTACAAACTCAGGGAAAAGTCTCTTTTGTTCAAACGCAGGATCAAAAGACTGTATCTGGTGTCTATCTTTACATCAAGATCGTGCTAATTCCCTCTTTAAACCCGTGGCCCTAATAATAGTCTTATAATAACAGCTGGTCAGATAGCACGAATGTTCACTTCACAGACAGACACAGGGGGGTGGGGGGGAGGGGGGAGAGAATCTGTTCTGGAATGAAAGACTAAGAGTTAATTAAAGACTTGGAACAATCACCGCACCGCTCGTTCTGCAGAGCTCTCTGCAAATCCTGTCTTCAAATCCTCACAGTCCCGAGCCTGATGTCTGGTCTGATTAAACGCTTGTTCAGATTTACAGTAAATCTGATCTTTATATCTGCGCTGTGCTTAGCATATAGCACATTACAGACCAGTCACTGGGGGCAGGGAATCATCCCACTCAGCTCCTGTTAACCTTGCAAGCCAAAACCCTAAACGGTAGTGGTGCCAGCTGGACAAGCAATAGGAAAGCTTGCCGGTCAGCAGTATCGATAGCAAGCCTTGGCTCTTCCAACCTGCGCCTAATACTCTGCGGAATTAGGTAGGCAAAGTGCGTCCCTCCAGGGAGAGAGTGCGCGTTCCATTCCAACAATCTATCTCTGGGATTTCCATGGGAGGCACGGAAATCTCAGGTTGGTTTGGAGACTCTTAAGCAACGGTGATGGGTTTCCCCATGTGTCAGACACCTAACCCAGCCAACCAAACAAAATACAAGCATGTGCTGGAGTTTCACTCCAGAAGGTGTATTTACTGGCTGCACGATTACCCAGGGATGTTTGTTTAGCTTTCAGAGAGAGCTGGAATTATTTTATTTTTTTGTTGCAATCTCTTTCAGTGTGTGATTAGTGAGTGGGCTACACAGGAACAGGAGGAGGCCACCCAACCCCTCAAGCCCGTTCTGCCGCTCTATTAGATTGTGGCTAAATCTGTATCTCAACTCCAATTACCCACCATTGCCTCAATACCCTATAAATAGATACAGACAGGTGGCAGGGAGCGAGTGGTTTGTGTGACACATAAAGCGTCAGGTTACACAGCCCGGGTGCTGCTGCCCTCAATCCCACTGTTTTATTACTGCAACAAACAGGGGAATCCTGTAATAAACATGACAACCACTGGGAACCGGAGATCCTCAACCCCTCCCTCTCTCTCGCTCCCTCTGTCTGTCTGTCTCTTTCTCTCTCTCTCTGCCTCTTTCTACCTTCCCCGGTTTTGTCTCTATATTTTCCAGTTTTTCCTTTGTTTCTTGTGGATTCTCTGGAGCCATTGAAACTAGAAAAAATGTGCAGCTGTGGTTGGGATCTGGGAATAGTCAGGGCGGGGTGGGGTGGGGGGGGCAGCTGGAGGGGGGTAGTGAAGTAAACGTCCCCCAAATCTCCTGATTCCATGATTTCAGAAACCTGAATCCAGGATTTAAGACTTTTGAAGATTTGAAGTGATTTGAACAGATCACCATCTGACAATTGTTTGTTCAATTCATGAAATGACAAAGAAGAGAATGAACTATGTTGAGTTTGTAAATCAAATGCGGATTAGAATCCTGGAATCTTACAGCACAGAAGGAGGCCATTCGGCCTATCGTGCCTGTGCCGTCTCTTTGAAAGAGCTATCAACCAGTCCCACTCCCCTGCTCTTACCCCATAGCTCTGCACATTCCTCCTTTTTGATTATCTATCCAATTCCCAGAAGGTTGTTAATTATAGATTATTTTTCTTTGTAATGATCTAAAGGTCGTTATAAATACTGTTTATTTTTTTCCGAAAGACTTCTAAATCTGCGGAAACTCTGGGAATCAACTGTAGGGAAATGGGATCAAGGCAGTAACTTAACTAACTACTGGTATATATCAGGGAACTGAGGACTAACTGGTATGCAACAGGAAATGACAGGGTGAGGGGAGGGAGGTGGGGAGGGGGGAGGCACAGAGATGTAACAATAATAATCCTTGCATTTGATATATCACATCTTCGAGACGTCTCAAAGCGCTTCACAGAATATACTGTAAAGTGAGTTGACTATATATTTTGTGGACGAAATGCGCAGCCAATTGCATACAGCAGCGTCCCACAAACAGTCGTGGATTGAGTGACCCAATTTTTTTTAAGGGATTATTATCCCCAGAAAAGCATTCCGCCAATCGACTAACAACCAGGTTCCTATTACTGCTAGATAAATAGAGACATGTGTGTCTAAGGAAACTTGACTAACATTTTGCCCTACTCGGGAATCGAACCCGGGTCCTCTCGCTTGCGAGGCAAGTGCTCTAACCACTGTGGTAAAGGACTCCATACAATGACCTCAGAGCAGTGAATAGATGTATAGGGCGGATGTGAAGGAGCAGCTATACTATATAGTTTGATGGTTGTAACTTGTACCACAATTGGTGGAAAGCCTGTGAAATCGGTTCCCATTTATAGCCCCCGGTTTCCCACATTCTGTATCAATCACATCACCTGTCCCAGGCGGCTTGTAATGCCCAGCCCGGCCCTGACCATAATAGGCTGCGGAGCTGGGCTGGAGGCACTGGGGCCAGGGACTGCAAACAAGCCTCATTCTCTCAGCCACATACACACACATAGCCCCCCCATCCCCCCCCCCCCCCCCCCCCCCCCGGCACACACACACAGTATTGAATTTCATGCCCTCAGACACACCACTCATTCCAGCCGCTATTTTCAGTAACCAACATTCGAGGAATCTTTGTCTTCTGCAGGTCAGTGAGAGATGGCATTCCAGCCCCAGACCCCTCAACCCCACCAGACACACCCCAGACACTCCCCTCCTTCCCCCCCAACACACACACCCCTCACCCGCCCCAGATACACACACCCCTCACCCACCCCAGGCACCCACCCTCCTCATCTCCAAGACACATTCCCTCCTCACCCCCCAGACACATCCCCTACTCACCCCCATATAAACTGCCAGACACTACCCTCCTCACCCCCCAGACACTCCCCCTCCTCAGCCTCCAGACACCATCCCAGACACCACCCCTCCTCACCCCCCAGACACCCCCCCCTCACCGCCCAGATACCCCCAGACACTCCCCAGACATCCCCCCTCCGCACACCCCAGACACCCCCCAGATACCCCACCTCCTTACCCCCCAGACACATCCCCTACTCACCCCCAGATAAACTGCCAGACACTACCCTCCTCACCCCCCAGACACTCCCCCTCCTCAGCCTCCAAACACCACCCCTCCTCACCCCACAGACACCCCCTCCCTCACTGCCCAGATACACCCCAGACACCCCCCAGATACCCCACCTCCTCACCCCCCCAGACACCCTCTTTCCTCAGCCCCCAAGACACCCCTCTATTCTCCCCCCAGACACACCCCACCTCACTGAGGCTATCAGAGCTTTGTTGAGGTTAAAAGCACAAACTGGTTGAAGGACAGACAGACACACAGAGAGATAGAGACACAGAGAGTGAGGGGCACAGAGAGAGACAGAGATACATAAAGAGAGCTAAGTCTCTTCCTCTCCAGATTGTGCCACAGAGAATCAGATCACAGTTGAGTTGAGAACGTTTTTCCTTGTAACTCGGTCCAACACTCCCAATGAGTTTTATATAATATATTACTGGGCAAGTATGGCCTCACACATCGAACCCCTCCCCTCCCTGTAGGCTGGGACCTGGGGGAAAGCTGCCCGACTCGCTCCCAGGCCACTGCCCCCCCACACTGCCCCCCCCACCCCCCCCCAACCCCAAGCCAGGATTCTGTGAATTTGCTAAACCTTGTGAGTTGTGTGGTCTGAAGGTCGCACATGTTTCACATACCGAGGCGATCACATTACCCCAGATACACGTTCCATCATTACATCTATTGTCTAAACCTGGACTTTGTATTTTTACTGCCTGTTGGTGTCTGTGTATATAAAGAGCCGGGGTCTCTCCCCGGACAGACTAGGACACACAGCACAGCACAGGATGGTACGTCCTCACTACACACTCACGTAGATAGACAGACACAAACACACTGAGACACTCACGTAGACAGGGTTACACCAACACACAGAGATAGACAAACACACTCACTCACTGGTAGACAGACAGACACAGAGACAGTCAGACGCATTCATTCGCTCACTGACAGACAGACAGACAGACAGACATACACATACACACAGAGACAGACAGACACACTCACTGACAGACAGTCAGACACACTCACTGACAGACAGACGCACACATAGGCAGACACACACCGACATACTACATTGAGTTGTAGAGTCTCCTGGAGGTTTTTACTGGAGAAATCCAAGCAGTGGCCACTGCTCACGTCTCCACAAAGCCAATGGGTTTCCTCTCTCTAGTGTTAATGGGGGAAAATTGTCTCCGATGGCCATGGAGATGGTAATTATCTTCTTTTCACCTCCAGTCCCCGAAGAAAGCTAAGAAGAAGACGGCCGAGGGAGGCTCCAATGTCTTCTCCATGTTTGACCAAACCCAAATTCAGGAATTCAAAGAGGTGAGTTCCTGCCTCTCCTGCAGCTGTACAACATTCACCTTTAACTAACATTGTAGAGTCCTGTAGCTCAGTGATTAGAGTCCTCGCCTCGCAAGTGAGAGGACCTGAGTTTGATTCCTGGGCAGGGCGAAATCTTAGGCAAGTTTCCTTACTCCATACGTTTCTGTTTACCTCGCAGTAAACAGGAACCGGTTATTAGTCGATTGGTGGATTGCTTTCTGGGGATAATAATAATAATCCCTTCAAAACAATAATTTGTTCATTCAATCCACGAGTGTTTGTGGGACACAGCTGTGCACAATTGACTCCTGCGTTTTGCCTACAAAATATGTAGTTAATCCACTTTACAGCATATCCTGTGAAGCTCTTTGAGACATCTCAACAATGTGATAAGGTGCTGTATCAAATTTAAGGATTATTCTTAGTCTTTGCGTTTCAGGCTTTCACTATTATGGACCAGAACAGAGACGGCTTCATTAACAAGGACGACCTGAGTGACACCTTCGCAGCTTTGGGTAAGGACCAAGTCAGGAGCCACCGAGAGCCTGACCATCATGTCAGTAACAGTTGTTATTTAGTTGGACGCAAGCGCGGATTGAGACGTGTGGACCATGAGCTGTAACTGAGCTGTACTGTCCTGTCCTCAGGCCGCCTGAACGTGAAGAGTGAGGAACTGGAGGCTATGCTGAGTGAGGCTCCCGGAGCTATTAACTTCACTGTCTTCCTCACCATGTTCGGGGAGAAGCTGAAAGGTGAGAGCGCTTCCCGTCAGTGTGGTGACTGTGTATTTTGAAGGTGAACTGAGTAGCCAATCTACACGTGGAGACATGCCCACAAACAGTCGTGAAATGAGTGACTGATTTTCTTTGTGGGGATTGTTGACCAGACACCTGGAGAGAGAAACTCCCTTCACTGTCCACCTGAACAGTCACAGACAGAGGGATCAGTTTAACCTCTCATCCAAAGGGCAGTGTCTATGACAAGGCAGCCCCCCCACGCCCCCACCCCATGCCACCCCTACCCCAGCACTGAGCTGGAGCCTCAGCCAAGGCTGTGGTGTATAAGAGGTGACGGCCCAGGAATAAACCTTAGGCAGAAAATGTCAAATAAACCTCTGGTTCCGGGTTCCAGAGCCACAACCGTTAATGAATTGTTTGTGTTTTATCCCCAGGCACTGACCCAGAGGAAACGATTTGAACGCTTTTAAGATTTTCGACCCAGAGGGCAACGGCTACATCAAGGGAGAATAGTAAGTGTGTCCAGCGCTGGGGAATGTACATTCCACTCGCTTTCCACTCGCCCAGACACAGGCAGAGAGAGACCGAGAGAAAGACACACGCAGAGAGATAGAGAGAGACAGACACAGAGAGAGACACACACACAGAGACAAAAAGAGACAGAGAGAGACAAAGAGAGAGAGCGAGACAGAGGCAGAGAGAGACAGAGAGAGAGAGAGAGAGAGATTGTCTAAGGACAGAACACAAGAAAGCAAATGCTTCCCCTCAGCTGTGCCCTGGGTACTGGCAGGGCAGAGAGAGAGAGAGATCTACCCTGTGTCTCTGGCCTCTCAGATTCACTGTATAAATAACCTGCAGTAAAACTCCGGGTGCAAGAAGAACCCAGGCTGTGAGCAGCCACCCCTGCATGTCGGCCTTCCCAACTCTTCCTGCCATAAGCTGCAGATCTACCAGAAATCTGCAGCTCGTGTCCTCTCCCGCACCACCCTCGCTCGGCTCCACTGGCTCCCCATCCCCCAGAGGATAGAGTTCATAAATCCTCGTCCTCACTTTCAAGGCGCTCCACAGCTTTACCCCTTCCTACCTCTATGACCTGCTAACCCCATATCATTCAGTCCGCTCCCTCTACTTAGCAGGCTCCAGCCTACTCCAAGTCCCCCGCCCACCCCACCCCACCTTTGGCCTTCAGCCTCTCTGCCCTCATCCTTAGGAACTCCATCCCACAATCCCTTCGCCTTGCTCCTTCCTTTAGCACATCTCAAGACCCTCCAATTCGACCGCGTCTTCGGCCATCCTCCCTCCCACCCTCTCAGACCTCCACCATCCCTGATCCCAAGCCGCATCCCTGACTGTCTAGCGCCTTGGCATGTCCTCCCGACATGAAGGCACTACACACAGGTAATTTTGTATTGTATTTGTATTGTGTGTGTGACTGTGGTGTGTGTGTGACTGTGGTGTGTGTGTGACTGTGGTGTGTGTGACTATGGTGTGTGACTGATGACTGTGGATGAAGCTCACTGGACACTGTGTTCTGTTACAGTATGAAAGAGATGCTGAAGACACAAGCCGACAGGTTCAATGAAGTAGAGGTAACTTTGGACAGTGAACGGGAAGCGAGATTGCTAGATTGCAAGATTGGCAAAAGGATGTGTAACTAGCACACGTGCTGAGTCCTCAGCTGTGCTATCCAGGGGGGGGGTTGGGGGCGGAGTTGGTGGGGCCTGTTATCTTGAGGAGAATAACAGATGTTGGTTACAATGAGGATTGTCACCTCTGACACTGGAGGATATTTGGCAACTAACAGCCATCCTGTGTGCTTGTCCTCAGTGTGAGCAAATGTTCACCGCCTTCCCACCTGACGTCTCAGGGAACCTGGACTACAAGAACCTGTGCTACGTGATCACACACGGAGAGGAGAAGGATCAGGAGTGAGGAGGCCACGTGGAGCGGAGCAGAGCAGATCCCAGTGGGAGGTAGAGAACACAAGAGACCTTCCACCACCTCCAGCACAACACTATGGTTGTAAATAAAGTTATACCCTTGTCAGAGCTCCCACACACTGTAAATAAAGGTGTTCTGGTAACATGGTGATCGTTAACTTGCTTTATTTTGGGAGGTTTTGCCCACAAAAATACACACTTTACAGAACTTTATATCCAGTGAAGCACTTTGAGATGTCTCAACGATGTAAAGAAAAACATTTTTGTCACTTCAATCCACAACTGTTTGGGACACTGTGTGCAATTGGCTGCCAGGTTTTGTCCACAAAATACAGTCACTACACTTTACAGTTTATATTCTGTTTAGCTTTTTGAATTCTCAATGATGCAATGAGGCACTTTATCAAATGCAAAGATTATAATTATTATTAATTCCCATGATCTTTCATTTTTTTAAAAAAACTGGAATTTTTATCAAATTCCTTCTGAGAATCCAGGTCAGTTCACTGCCTGCCCATCGCATCCCTCAGTACCTTGAAGAATTATAGTGCATTACTGAGCAATGACTTCACGCTTTCAAACAGACACTTATTGTGTTCAGCAAAGACTGCTATTCAGCACAATTCCACATCATTAAACAATGTGTGTTACTTTTTCAGTTGATTTGTGAATGAGAGATTGATGCAAAAATGTATCAAAATCCTGATTCCAGGTTCATTTTTATACCCAGCAAGTTATTAACTGGATTGGCGGATCACTTTCCGGGGGTAATAATCCCTCCCAAATCAAACTAAAAAAATGTGGCCACCCCAGTTCACGACTGTTTGTGGTACCCTGTTGGCTGCTGCTTTACACCCACAATATACAGTCAATTGGGTATAAAATCGTGGGCAGCTGTTAGTGGCTGGAGTTCATGGAGGCCAATCTCCAGATGTTCTTAGCCCCAAGTCGTACCATAGTCAGGGTTGCAATCCCGGGATTTCAGGATTCTGGGAATCCGCACAAAGCCTCAAACCCGGAACAACTCTCTCCAATTCACAGTCAATCCTGTGAGGCTGAGGCGCTTTGAGAAGTCTCGACCACGTGACACGGGGTGCCTCGAACGCGAGGATTATTATTATTATTGATACGTTTCTGCGGAAATGGCTGTTTCAGAATGAAACTCTGGAATTCTCATCAATCATTTGCCACAGGTTTCGGGCTTTTTATTTCCTGAAAACAATAAAACAGCTTCAAATGTAGTCATTTTAACCCAATAAAATGACGTGTTTTGCCCAAAAATACCGTCACTCCAATTTAAAAGTGTATCCCGTGAAGCTCTTTGAGACGTCTCAACAACGTGATAAGGCGCTATATCCAATGCAAGTATTATTATAATGAATTCCAGGGTAGTCAGTGTAACAGTCCTTTAGCTGGTCTATACTGTATGAGCCAGTGAGTGCCAAGACAATGAGCACGAGGTGTTTGCCTCGCTGTTGGGACATACCTGACCTGTCACAGCACAGAGCAGGAATAGCAGCCCCACTGGGAGCCTGGGGGGGGCTTATTTGCAGCTGCTGCATTCTCACAACCACTCTGACCCACAAACGACAGCCACGCCTGTGTCCAACCATGCCGATGCTTATCACACTTCAGTGCATTGCGTATCCACACAGGGCAGCCCCCCACTCCCCCCTCCCGCGAATCCAGGGGGACGGGACGTGGGTTTCCTGAGCAATGTCAGACTGGTCCCTGTTGTGACTTGTGCGGTCAGTGAGTGACAGTTGACACAAGTCCAGGGTCCCAGAGCCACTCAGTAAACCTCCCGCCCCCCCCACCTCGTGGCCACTATAAGAAGTGCAAGACAGTATTCTTGTGGTCAGTTATACAAAAGCGGAAAGATCGCCTTTATTTATCCACATCAAAAATAGCCGCATTTATTGCTGTATGTGGGCAATGCTGTGCACAGATTGGCTGTCACGTTCACCTACAAAATACACAGTCACTACACTGGACAGTAGGTACCTGTGAAGAACTTTCGTAATAAGATGATACAAAAGTGCAAGTAATTTTGTCAGTGTATTCTCTATGTGTGTGTGTGTGGGGGGGGGGGGGGGGGGGGGGCTCCCGGCTGACCTGTCCAGGACTACGACTGGCACATGCGGAGTCGGTGATCAAATGGTTTAATGGGTCACTCGGTAAATACAACAACACATATGTTACTCAATAAATAGGGGCTGGTGCCACTGAATACAAATACAAAATACAAAATGACATATTTGTGTAGCGCCTGTCACGTCGGGAGGACGTCCCAAGGTGCTGGATGTCAGTGCGGTGGATCATCGCTCTCAGCTTCAACTCTGCACAACACACACTTCGCAACACACGGCAACTCATGGCAATCCCAGGCCAGGGACAGAAAGCAGTCAGTGTGTATAGTACGGTACCGCCATGGCTGTGACACTGCAGTAAGACATCACACGTAATAGGAGTCCTGTAGCTCAGTGGTTAGAGCACTCACTTTGCAATTGAGAGACCTGAGTTCAATTCCAGGCAGAGGGCGAAACCTTGGGCAAGTTTCCTTACTCCACACAGAGCCTAATAATAATCCCTCCAAAACCAAAAACAATAATAAATTGGTCCTTTTCAATCTACGACTGTTTGTGGGACATTGCTGTGCGCAATCGGCTGCCGCGTTCGCCCACAAATATACAGTCAATTCACTTTACAGTATATTCTGTGAAGCGCTTTGGGACGTCCTCCCGACGTGAAAAGCGCTATATCAAATGCGAGGATTATTATTATTATTATAGAACAAAACTCCTCACTATTTTGTATCAAAGTCTCAGTTTGATACAAAATAGTAAATGATATCCTTATACTATTAGCATTAACCTGGTAATAATAATAATATTATTATCAAATAGGACAATAGGTAGTATCAAATAGGACAATAATATTCCTTGCATTTGATATTGCGACTTATCGCATCTTTGAGACGTCTCAAAGCGCTTCATAGAATATACTGTAAAGTGGATCGGTTGTATATTTTGGGGGCAAAAAGTGGCAGCCAAATGCACAACAGAGTCTCACATACTCTCATGGATTTAGTGACCAAATTATTGTTATTTACTTTGAAAGGATTATTACTTACGGAAAATCGATCCACCAATTGACGAACAACCAGGTTCCTACTCACTGCTAACTACACAGAGGTGTGTGGAGTAAGGAAACTTGCCCAACATTTCATTTCACCCTGTCAGGGAATCAAACCTGGGTCCTCTCGCTTGCGAGGTGAGCGCACTAACAAACCACTGAGCAACAGGACTCCAGTATCAGAAGAGTATCAAACTGAGACCTTTGACACATGGCCCCTGCCATGACACCGGCATCAAATTATACTGTGGTTTAGACACCTAACAATGTGGAGAGAGAAAGAGACTCACCTGTCACTGCCCGGAATCCAGCGAGTCAGTGCACCATTCAATAATAATAATAATTCAAGTTTAAATGACCCCCAGGAAATCAGGACAAAATTATATTGATAAAAAAAAAGGAATTGAATCTGGTGCAAAAACTACATCTAAATGTAAATAGATATTAAATGTACAACAAACACACCAGACAGACATGACAGAACAGGTATTAAACTTGTGTGTAAGGCTTCAGAACATACAAGATACAAACTGCAGGATGGCAGTTGAGAGTTGCTGTAGCGCGTGTTCAGACGGGAGCCCCAGTCAGACTGGCACACGGGGCCGACCGGGCTCTCTGTGGTCTTGGCCGGACAGCAGAGTGGACAGGAGGTGATGTCGCTGCCCTCCTTCCCGCTTGACTTTAACGGCCGAAGGTAATGTTCCCCCCCCAGAACCGGGCTCCAGGGATAACGTGGTGTCTACAACAGCAACAGGAGGTAAAGCTGTGAATCTTATGGGCTGCTTCATTCCCCCTCAATCTCTCCCCCGCTCTCCCCCAAACCTCTCCCTCCCCCCCTCGCCCACTCACCGTGGATGCCAATCATATGCTCTAAGATTAAGACTCTCTCAGCCAAGATCTTCAAGGCCTCGCGAAGCTGCTGAACAGCTTCTCCCTGTGGAGGAGAAACCAACATGAAGGAGAGTCACCCCATGTTATCTCAGCCCCTCTCCTCTCTAACCCCATTCCCTGCTCTCTCCCCATGGTGTCTGTGCTGGGGCTCGCTCCCCACTGGAGCTCTCTACCCTAACCCCATTCCCTGCTCTCTCCCCATGGTGTCTGTGCTGGGGCTCGCTCCCCCACTGGAGCTCTCTACCCTAACCCCATTCCCTGCTCTCTCCCCATCATGTCTGTGCTGGGGCTCGCTCCCCCACTGGAGCTCTCTACCCTAACCCCATTCCCTGCTCTCTCCCCATCGTGTCTGTGCTGGGGCTCGCTCCCCCACTGGAGCTCTCTACCCTAACCCCATTCCCTGCTCTCTCTCTCTCTCCCCATCATGTCTGTGCTGGTGCTCGCTCCCCGGAGTCTGACCTCTGATCCTTTATCGTCAGGGTCACCTTTCTTTCCAGGTTCCGCCTGTGGAGGAAATAAAAATGTCAGTGATGAGGCTGTGTCTGTGTGGTCAGCACAGTAACTACTGCAACTGCACCGAGAGCTTTAATACATCTGGTGTGAGCGGTGTGATCAGCGTCAGGGTGTCAGCAATCACCTTCTGCCTCTGTAGAAAGAAGCCTCCTGGTGTCTGTCCAAGACTCGCTCACAGCAATCCCCACCCATAGCCCAACCACACCCCGACCCCAACCCCAACCACACCCCAACCCCAACCACACTCCAACCCCAACCACACCCCAACCCCAACCACACCCCAACCCCAACCACACCCCAACCCCAACCACACCCCAACCCCAGCCCAGCCACACCCCAACCCCAACCACACCCCAACCCCAACCACACCCCAACCCCAACCACACCCCAACCCCAGCCCAGCCACACCCCAACTCCAACCACACCCTCAGCTGCTAACAACTGGCTGCTGACTCACCGCAGGTCCAGGGGGGCCGGGGAATCCCTGGGAGCCGGGGGGTCCTGGGGGGCCGGGGGGCCCGGGGGGACCTAAATTCATACAGAAAAGCAAATAATGTTATGATTTTCAGGGTTTGTTCCCACTCAGTTATTTATCCGGTACGTGACCCCGGCCTGACCTCAGCACCGTCCCAACCCACGCACAGCGTTACTGAGCCGGGAACCCAGAGCTGAGAACTGTTACCTGTAGAGCCAGGTGTCCTGGGGGGTCCCGCTGGGCCGGGGGGGCTGGAAGCCAACGAGATCACTGCATCTTCATCTGAGAAAAAACGCATATTAATAACAACAGATCCCGAGCCGCCCCCACCCCCCCCCCCACCCCCCCGACCCCAGAGACAGAGAAAGTGGGATCAAGGCACATACATCCAGGTCAGGGTCAGGGTCAGGGAGTGAGCAAGAGAGAGAGGGAGAGAGGGAGGGGTGAGGGAGGGACAGAGGAAGAGAGTGAGGGAGCACCGCTCATTGACAGGAATCCTGCTGTTGTCTGCTGTTGTGAAAGCTGACCAACAACAACAACAAATTATATTTGATTACGTCAGGAGGAACAGATCGATCATTGGAGGCAAAGCAGAGGCTCTCCTGACTGAGTGACAGCCACCGGTCCACACTGCGGGGTGAGATGGTGCCCTGACAGGGGGGGAAGCCATGACAAACATCCACAAAGCCTTTGATAAAGTTCCAGATGAGAGACTCATCCCAGACAACCTCAGAATAGGTGGTTACAGGGCAGGAAGAGGAGGAAGGAAGCTGGACTCACAGTCCCGCGTGTCCGGGCTCGGACTCCTCCCTCCAGGGAGGCCTCGCTGACCCGGGAGGCCTGTCTCTCCGGGGAATCCCGGCCGTCCCGCAGGTCCCACAGCACCTAATAGGGAACGTCAGTCACAATTAGTGGGAAACACCTCAGTGTCTAGAGCACCGCTCCCTCAGTGAGAGAGAGAGAGAGAGAGAGAGGACAGAGAGTGTGAATGAGAGACAGTGAAAGTGTGCGAGATAGAACATGAGGGCAAACGTGGGAGAGAATGTGAGAGACAGAGAGAGAGAGGGAGAGAGCACGTGAGAGAGAGAGCATGTGAGAGGGAGAGAAAGAGCATGTGTGAGAGAGAGAGAGAGAGAGAGCATGTGAGAGAGACGGAGAGAGAGCACGTGAAAGAGAGCATGTGAGAGGGAGAGAGAGAGCATGTGTGAGAGAGAGAGAGAGCATGTGAGAGAGACGGAGAGAGAGCACGTGAAAGAGAGCATGTGAGAGGGAGAGAGAGAGCATGTGTGAGAGAGAGAGCACGTGAGAGAGACAGAGAGAGAGAGAGCACGTGAGAGAGAGAGAGCATGTGAGAGAGAGAGAGCATGTGAGAGAGAGAGAGCATGTGAGAGAGAGAGAGAGAGACAGAGAGAGAGAGCATGTGAGAGAGAGAATGTGAGAGAGAGAGAGCGCATGTGAGAGAGAGAGAGAGAGAGAGCGAGAGAGAGCGAGCGAGCGAGCATAAAAACAGAATGTGAGAGAAGGAGACCCTGCAGTGCAGTACCTGGCTGCCCAGGCAATCCTGCCTCCCCGGTTTCTCCCGGTTTTCCTGGAGGGCCGGACGGGCCTGGTTTTCCGGGTAATCCCATAGGCCCGGGAATGCCAGGCAGCCCTGAAGAGGCGGGAACCAGATCCGGATTAGAGTGTTACACACACATTATTGATCCTGATTAGTGTTACACACAGTGTTATTGATCCGGATTAGTGTTACACATGGTGTTATTGATCCAGACCAGAGTGTTATACATAGTATTACTGATCTGGATTAGAGTGTTACAAACAGCATTATTGATCTGGATAAGAGTGCTACAAAGGCATTATTGATCTGGATTAGAGTGCTACAAAAAGGCATTATTGATCCAGATTAGAGTGTTTCACACGGCATTATTGATCAGGATTGTTACGCATTGATCAGTATTGGAGATTTACCTGCTTGCCCTGGCTCTCCTTTCTCTCCGGGCGGCCCTGTTATAAAGATCATAGGGTAATATCAGCTGTCCCTTAGAGCCTCTGTCTGTGTGCGCATGTGTGGGTGCTTGTCTGCCTGTCCTGTCATGATGGACATGTCCAGAACAGACTCTCAGACAATGTGTCGCTCCCCCCACCCCCCCCCAGCGCTGGAGCGTCAGCCTGGCCTGTAAGCTCAGAGTCTCCGATGTGGGGATGAAGCCACAACCTCCCAACCCAGAGACAAGAGTGAGTGAATCCAGGTAAGGTCATGGGTTAGAGGTTCTCCATAAATATATCCACGGGCGCAGTTGTGCACACACTAACACACCCACACGCACACACTCGCCATTCAGTGGTCAGCCCAGAACTCACCTCTCGGCCCTGGGGGTCTCTGTGTTCCTGTGTCTGACGTCTCATTGCCTGTAGCTGACCAGCCCCCCTCCAGCAGCATCAGCTTTCATCAACAACAGAGGAACAGTGTCACAGTGTCAGATTCAGTGTCAAAGTGTCAGTGTCACAAAGTCAGTGTCAGTGTCACAGTGTCAGTGTCACAGTGTACAATGTCAGTCTCTCAGTGTTACAGTGTCACAGTGTTACAGTGTATAGTATCAGTGTTATTGTAGTGTCACAGTGTACAGTGTCAGTGTCACAGTGTACAGTGTCACAGTGTCAGTCTCACAGTGTCAGTGTACAGTGTCACAGTGTACAGTGTCAGTGTCAGTGTTACAGCGTCACAGTGTAGTGTTAGTACCACAGTGTACAGTGTGACAAGCCGCTCTCTCCTGGAAATCCCACTAACTGTCCATCAGCCTATCTCCCAGGATCCACCCACACTGGAGGTTTGCATTTGATACAGTGCCTTATCACATCTTCTAAACGTCCCAAAGCGCTTCACAGAATATACTGTAAAGTGAATTGACTGTATATTTGTGGGCGAAACATGATGATGTGACACTGACTTTCACAGTCTCAAACCTACTCTTTATGAGCTGTCTCAAACCTCCAATGCGAGCGACCACCCCAGTGACCCCACCACACCTCCATTGACCACCCCCCCACCCAGGAACCACCACTCCGCAGGATCCACCCGATGATCACCACCCCCCCAGCCACCATCTTAAGCTCATGGTCACTAATGGAAAAGTAACTGCTAACATTTACTTTAAGTGACATTTCTCAGAACGAACAGATTGAGGGGGGATACGATGACTTATTAAAGCCGGGTTGTCTTTACCTTTGACTCCAGAGTGTGGACTCTCTGGTGGAGCTGAGCAAATGCTGAGCAGTTCATGCATTCTGAAGAGAAGACATTACATATATTAATATCATATTTATATCACGTCATAAACCCAACCCCATACCCCGAGAGAAAGCCCTAGAGTTACAGACTTGAGGAGGAATTGTCCTCCACCCTCAAGAATCCACCATCGCACTTTATCATTTTATTCCGACAGGAGGTCTCAAGCACTTCACAGACAGTTAATGTCCAGTCTAGTAACTCTGCATAATAATAATAATAATCCTTGCATTTGATACAGCGTCTTATCACATCTTCGAGTCGTCTCAAAGCGCTTCACAGGATATAGTGTGAAGTGAATTGACTGTATGTTTTCTGGGCAACATGTGATAGCCAATTGCGCACAGCAGCGTCCCGCACACAGTCGTAGACTGAGTGATCATATGACCATAAGACATAGGAGCAGGAGTAGGCCATTCGGCCCCTTGAGCCTGCCCCGCCATTTAATAAGATCATGGCTGATCTTCTAACCTAATTCCATTTACCCGTCATATCCCCATATCCCTTAATCCCTCTATCCTTTAGAATTATTATTAGATCAAATTATTTTTATTATCTTTCTTGAAGGAATTGTTATCCCTGGAAAAGCTGAGCCGGATTGACAGGTATAGAATAACGGATCATTTCTTTAAGACTTAACAGATATTGTAATGGTATCACAACGTTTTGGTGACCCTATAGGAATCCTTGTGCTTCCCTGAGAGACGTGTTGATGCCGGGGGTCAGTGTCGCTGCTCATAGCCCAGGAGAGATATCGGATTCTCGCTCTCTTTCTCTCTGACTTTCTCTGCTTCTAGACTTGTCTCTCAGTTGCACAAGTCCCAGGTGGGGCATACTAGTTTAGGAGTTAATTACACTGGATGTTTGTAATTCCTGAACTCAGGATAATCTGTCCCATCTGGGAACGTTTTGCTGGGTAATTGCGGCCACAAGGAAATGGAATGGCACATGGGACTCTCTCTGTCTGATTGACTGTGAGTGAGTAAAAAACAGCGACGAACGCAGCCCCGGGCTCGTCTCGCAGCGTTCCCCAGGCAGGTCCAGTGACTGGGGATTTCTAGGAAAATCCACCAGGAAATCTGTGCCCCTGCACAGCCAGTGAAGGATCCGATTAGGAAGCAGGAAAACCGGGAGAGGGGAAGGCTACCTGAGCAGATACAAAACACAGTCACTACACTTTACAGTGCATCATGTGAAGCTCTTCGAGTCGCGACAAGGTGCTGTGTGGAATGTGAGGGTTATTGTTATAACAGTAAAAGATCTCAGCACTGCATGGCCAAACCTTCAGTTATCTTAGCAGAGATCCCATCAGCTCAGAGCCAGTGTTTAGTCTACGCTCCATACTTTAGGCTCCCTCGAAGCTGTTGTGTAGTCTATTACCACCCACCCCCCCCCACCCACCCTCCGGCCCCCATCCTCACTGGGCTCCACTCCCCTCTGTTTGTACAGCGCCTGTAACATCACAGACTCTCCCAGTCACTGCTGTTAAACACAGTTATTGCTTTTAACCCGGCTGTTAGCCGATTAGTGGATCGCTTTTCTGGGGGTAATAATTCCTTCAAAAACATAATAATAATAATTTGGTCACTTCAACCCACGACTGTTTGTGGGACACTGCTGTGGGCAATTGGCTGCCACGTTTCGCCCACAAATATACGGTCAATTCATTTAACAGTATATTCTATGAAGCGCTTTGAGACAATAACAACAACAAGATCACATTTGTATTGCGCCTTTCACGTCGGGAGGACGTCTTAAAGATGTGATAAATGCAAGGATTATTATTATTATATTATTTTAAAAGTTAACCTAGGAGCTATTTTGCACAGAGCTGGCAGTGAAGGAGCTGAGCGATTTATCTGGGGGATTTTTCACCCGGGACATTGGGTGGGGGAAGAGAGAGAAACTTTATGAACAGGACCTCAGGTTAAGAGAGGGAGAAGAGGGAGTGTGAGAAGGACAGCGAGAAAGAAAGAAAGAGAGAAATAGAGAGACAGGACTACTGAAGAGCAAAAGAGCACCTTTAATGACTTTTAAAGGTTGTAAAATTAGTTAATTGAACAGGAAGAGAGTGTGAGAACAACCACATTCTGTGGTTCTCCATCCCAAACTGGTGACGAGCTCTCTCCTCGCTGCCACCTCCCCCCTCCAATCGCAGTGTAAGCACCCCCATATCACCCCTCACCCCCACCCCCCCCACCCCGAGCCTCAGACAGACTCTGCTCTGGCTCTGGGAGCCGTGACGAGATAAGCATCTCAAGTGGTGAGATTGTCAGATACCTTCAGCCATCACACCCCCCACTACAGCTGCACAGAGCCCCCACCTTTAACCCTACACATACCCTTCGGCACATTTGATCTTATCCCTCTAGACGGTCCCCCTATCACTGTATCAAATTGTTTAGTAAACAATTCTCACACTTCCTGGCAACCCTGTTCCAGTTCTTAATTCCCCTCTGATCTGCGTAATGAAAACCTTCCTGGTGTCTGTCCTGAAATTGCCCCTTTACACCTCTAACCCCATGTCCTCTTGATCTGCTGTCACAGTCAGTCCGTGAGTGTTGATCTGGGTTTACGTTTAAAATCTCATTAAAAAAACACTTCTCTAAGGGCTCCCTGAGCTGTCTTCTATCAAGATTTAGTAGCTCAAATGCACAGATATACACATGCTCACAAACACACACAGATACACACACACACAGATACACACAGAGATACACAAGCACATACACACAAACAGATACACAGACAGACGACAGATACATACACACACACAACCAAACACAGATGCGCACACACACAGACCACACACACACAGATACACACACATGCATACAGATACACACACACAGACACACACATGCACACACACGCATACAGATACACACAGACACACACGTACGTTACAGGATTCCAGGCACTCCAAAGATTGAGAAATATGTAACAGGTTACAGTCTGTTGGAGATTTTCCGCGATGATCAGTGGCATTCACTAATTATCTGAAATTCAATTTAACTCGATAAAATCTTACAATCCCTCAGCATTTCCTTCACTATTTACAACATAATCACTCGCTAGCTGAACACAGAGTCTTGATGCAGCAGTGTCAGCACACATAGACTGGGAGTTTCGAGGGCTGTCACATTGTTTGAAGCGCCTTCTCGCGCTGAAGCCATTGGGAGGAGGAGTGGTGGGGGTGGGGGGGGGGTCATCATCGGAGGTGCTTCAGGTGGGAATGCTAATCTGAGCCAGTTCACATGAACATTAAAGATTCGGTGACGCGATTGGAAAAGAGCAGGGAGTTTCTCTCTCTCTTGTCTGGTGTCCTGGCCGACAATCCCTCAAATAAACTGGCTCTTCGCCCCCAGGGACCTCACTGCCATCTCACTTACAAAACAGAACGAGCTTTCAGATGTCGGGATGTGATACAGGCCGTCTCGTTATTAGCGACGGACAAGCTGACACCAGCGAGAGATATTTATGAGATATTTTAAGCAGAAACAGATGTGGGGAATGATGGAGGATGAAAGCAGCCGCAGAGCATCACATCATTGTTTGTGGAGTCTAAAATAACACACACACTAAACAGGCAGAGACAGTGTTACCTGAATATTTTCAATGGCTGTCCTGCCTCCCAATGCCCCCCTATATGCTGCCCCCCACACGCTGCTCCCCCCATACACCCAGCCCCTCCCGTGCGCCCTGCACCCCCACGCGCTATGCACCCCCGCGTGCCCTGCACCCCACACTGCACCCCCGCCACACACCCCAGAACCCCCCACACACTGCCTCCCCACACAGACTGCCCCGCTGCTCGCCTCTGTTCAGTCACTTGCACTCTCGGCTCGGAGTCAGGAGATTGTGGGTTCAAGCGGAGGGTTGGGGGAACTTTAAGCTCAGTCTAGACTGACGCTTCAGTGCTGGGGGGAGACGGCCATGTTGTAGGAAGCGAATGAGAATGAGACGTCAAATTACCTTCCCAGGGAATTGCTCTGAAGTGTAGTAACTGTGTGTTTGCCAGAAAATTAAACCAGTGTATAGTGACTGACTATTGTAGGACATATTATAGCGCCGCCCAGTAGCAGCAGCCAGATACTGCAGGTACATTCCCCTGTCCTGTCACAGAGGAGAATTCCCTCAGTCAGCGCTGCCAACGACAGAGGGTACAAGGCTGGACTGAATCTTGGTGAATGTTTGGGTTCAGAGCATCTGACGGGGCTCAGACTCGGCCTGTTGCAAGGGAAGTTGAGCCTCTGTGTGCTGGGGACCCAACAGATGGAAGGTATTACAGCAGGAGGAAGGGAATGTGGGGAAGGAATGCTCTTACCTCTCTCTGCTAATAAGTAACAATTCAAGACGAAATCTGATAACCTAAAGAAAACACTTTGCAATGTTCTTCTTGGTGATCTCCACAGAGCTCCGCCACATAGAGCTCAGCACAGTCACTGCAACCGACAATTGGGGGTACAGACAGACAGACAGAGACAGATAGTCAGACAGGCAGACAGGCAGGCAGGCAGGCAGAGAGACAGACAGGGAGACAGAGAGACAGACAGACAGAGAGACAGGCAGGCAGGCAGGCAGGCAGAGAGACAGGCAGGCAGAGAGAGCGAGAGACAGGCAGGCAGAGAGACAGGCAGAGAGACAGGCAGGCAGGCAGAGAGACAGACAGGGAGACAGAGAGACAGACAGACAGACAGAGAGACAGACGGCAGGCAGGCAGACAGAGAGACAGACAGGGAGACAGAGAGACAGACAGACAGAGAGACAGGCAGGCAGGCAGGCAGACAGAGAGACAGACAGGGAGACAGAGAGACAGGCAGGCAGAGAGAGAGAGAGCGAGAGGCAGACAGACAGACAGACAGAGCGAGCGAACAAGCAATTCCAAAAAGGAATTTGGAAGGCTGTTCAGCCCAACGTTTCGTCCATTTGTAATGGAGTGGCCTGGCCCAGCCACTCGCACTCCCAGCTCCGGGTTCAAGTGTCCGAGCAGGACTTTGAGCTCACAGTCTAGACTAGCGCAGTGTCAGAGACACTGTCGATAACAATAATAATCCTTGCACTTGACTTATTACGTCGTTGAGACGTCCTAAAGCGCTTCACAGAAAGAGTGGATTGACTATATTTTGTGGGCGAAACACAACAGCCAATTGCATACAACAGCGTCCCACAAACAGTCGTGGATTGAGTGGCCAAATTATTAATTTTTGGGGGGGGATTATTACCCAATCGAAAGCGATCCACCAGTCGACTAACAACCAGGTTCCTACTTACTGCCATGTAAGCAGAGGTGTCTGACGGGAGCTAGGAGTAAGGAAACTTGCCTAAGGTTTCAGCCGCCTGGGAATCGCATGGGCGACAAGTGCTCTAGCCAGTACACTATAGGACTCCTTCAGGTGAGATGATAAACCGAGGCCACGCCTGTGCCCTGTCTCCACCACCAACCAATACGAGGAACTATGTTGTGATGAGGCAGGCAGTCAGTACCCCCTATCCACCACCCCACCCACCACCCACCAATCTCATTCATCTCACTGCAGGGGGTAATCTGCCAGTGTCCTATGCATGTGTCTGTATGACATTCTCACCTCCCCTCCTCTTCTACCCCTCCCCCCCAAAACAAACCCCAGCATTCATTCATTCCCAAGAGATAATAATATAATAACAATAATTGTTGCATTTGATATATGGCCTAATTAGGTCTTCGCGATGTCTCAAAGCGATTTACATAATACCCTGTAAACCGAATTGACTGTATATTTGTGGGTGAAACATGGCAGCCAATTGAACACAGCAGCGCGCCACAATGTCGTGGATTGAATGACCAATTAATGATTATTATTATGTTTTAAAAGGAATTGTTACCACCGGAAAAGTGATCCAATCAACTAACAACCGGGTTCCTACTTACTGCTCGATAAACAGAGGCGTGTGGAGTAAGGAAACTTGCTCAACGTTTCGCCCCTGCCAGGAATCAAACCCAGGTCTCTCGCTTGCGAGGCGAGTGCTCTAACCACTGAACTACAGGACCCCACTTTAGTGAGGAGCTGTGAGCCTGGGACTGGCAGAGCACAGTAATGAATTGCTGACGTTGATTTTTTCCCAGTTATGGGGATTAACACCAGATGTGAGTGAGCAGGAGTGACAGCGACGTGCCTGAGGTTGAGAGGATCAGGTCGATGCTGACACAGTGAGAATAACTCCGGCCCCAGGGCACAGTGGCTGCTCCCCACCCAGCAACACGCTACCTACACATCATCCAGTCCCCAGCTACACCCGACCTACACCAGCTAGTGCCTCTCTCACTGTCTCTGATCTTTGGACTCCGCCATGTCCCCAGCACTGAGGTGGAGGCACAGAAATTTACACGAGCATCAAATCACCCAGTCCATCCGCATTCCCACTTCCCAAAGCCATAACCTGGCTGCAATCAGCTCCCAGCTTCACACACCGCCAGCCAGACAGACAAACAGACACAGACAGACAGAGTCTTGCTCGTACTCTCACCGTCCTCACAGCTGGTCCCAGTGAAGCCGGGGCAGCACCTCCACTCCAGCGCCGTAATGTTCCTGTAGGAAAGGCTGAAGGTGGGCCTGACGATGGTCCTGTAACTGACACAAGAGGGTCCATCAGTCCCAGACCATTGCCATCGCGCCCTCCCCCCACACTCACAAAACCCAATCTTATAACATTTCTTCATTCAGAAATCCAAGCACCTGGAATTACCTCCCACCACATTACCCCCACATCCCCACCAAACCCCCATACACCTCCACCCCTACACACTCCACCCCCACCCCAAGACTCCTTCTTGTCAGTCTGTTGATGACAGTGCTGCTGTTGGTGACAGGATGTGTGGCTGTTGGTGACAGGGTGTGTGTGGCTGTTGGTACAGGGTGTGTGTGGCTGTTGGTACAGGGTGTGTGTGGCTGTTGGTAACAGGGTGTGTGTGGCTGTTGGTACAGGGTGTGTGTGGCTGTTGGTACAGGGTGTGTGTGGCTGTTGGTACAGGGTGTGTGTGGCTGTTGGTACAGGGTGTGTGTGGCTGTTGGTACAGGGTGTGTGTGGCTGTTGGTGACAGGGTGTGTGTGGCTGTTGGTGACAGGGTGTGTGTGGCTGTTGGTGACAGGGTGTGTGTGGCTGTTGGTGACAGGGTGTGTGGCTGTTATAGAGAGGGTGGCTGGTACCTGACGAGGCTGCTGCAATGACCGGGCCAGTAGCAGCTCTGGTAAACCCTCTGGACCAGGGTCTCTGATCCATTCTGCACTTGGCAGGTCACAGTCTTGGAGACGGGATATTGGCACCAGTTCCTGTGTGGGGGTGGGGTGGAGGAAGAGGGAGAGACACAGGCGGCAGCTCAGCTCTGAGACAATAAACCCCACATCCCCGTCTCCTGGGACATCACTGCGATTACAGACAGTAAACCCAGGTCCCGTCACTGCCTCTCCTCTTGTGTTCCCGGTGATAACTATCACGTGTGGCATTTTTCACCTCAACCAATGAGTCCACAACTGTCTGCCCCAAAGACATTTACACAGTGCCCTTCACGTCGGGAGGACGTCCCAAGGCGCTGGACATTCAGGGATTTGGACCCAAGCTGGGTGTTGGGATCAAGAGGACTGGAGGGCAGGGAGGATGGCCTAAGGCGCGGGCAAAGAGGAGGTGAGAGCACGATCGCCCGAGTCAGGCTGACAGTGAAATAAGTCCATTATCCGGGGAAGAAAAGCCAAACCTCGACAACATTACATTACTAATTGTGTTTTGTTATTTCGGGGTTTCATTTGGGGTAAATTTTTTGAGGTGAATGTAAACGGGTCTGAGGGTGAGAGTAGGGGAGGGAACGCACTCACTACCGCCACTTGGTGGGTAAATGGGGAAGTGCAGGGGACTGGAAAAGGACATGGAAACCCCAAAGTAACAACCACTCTCCATCTTTCTGTGTCTGTCTTTCACACTCTCTCACACACTATCTCCCTTTTCTCTCTCACCCACACACTCTCTCACACACTCCCACACACACTCCCTTTTTTCTCTCTCCCTCTCTCTCTCACAATCTTTCTCACACTTTCTCTCCCACTGTCTCTCCCTCACACTCTCTCTTTCTCATCCTCTTTTTTTTTCTCTCTCACATACTCTCCCACACACACTGTCTCCCTTTTTTCTCTCTTTCCTTCTCTCTCACACTCTTTCTCACACTTTCTCTCCCTCTCTCCCACTGTCTCTCCCTCACTCACCCTCTTTTTATTTCTCTCTCACACTCTGTCTCCCTCTCTCACACACACTCTCCCTCTCTCACACACTCTTCTCCCTCATCCTTCGCCCACAAATATACGGTCAATTCACTTTACAGTGTGTTCTGTGAAGCGCTTTGGGACGTCCTCCCAACGTGAAAAGCGCTATATCAAATGCGAGGATTATTATTATTATTATCCTCTCTCTCTCTTTCTCACACACACACACTATCTCCCTTTTCTCTCTCTCTCTCTCTCCCTCTCTCACACTCCCCCTCACTCTTCTCCCTCACCCTCTCAGTTTCCTCCAGTTAAGTTAAAGAGCGAGTAACCCAACCAGAGATCCCCATTTACTGGGGACTGAAAGACCAAATGTAAGGATTAGAATCAGTGAGTGAGCGGAGTGTGTGTGGGGGGTCCCCAATGGTGGGGGGTCCCCAATGGTGGGGGGTCCCCAGCGCCTCCTGCTGACTGCTTGAGGAGTCCATCAGCCACTGCCAGTGACCGAAATGGACACAGAAGTGACTGGGAACCCTCAGCAGGTCAGGCAGCAGCGATGGAGAGAGGACAGTGACTGAAAGTCACTCACCTCCTGAGTGTTCCCACCACTACTGTTTCCATTTCAGATTTACAGCATCTGCAGTCTTTTGCCTCTTAGTGTCAATGTCAGTGCCCACCCTCACCCCCACCCTCACCCTCACCCCCCACCCTCACCCCACCCCCCACCCTCACCCCACACCCCCCACCCTCACCCCCCACCCTCACCCTCACCCCCACACCCCCCACCCTCACCCCACACCCCCCACCCTCACCCCCCACCCTCACCCCCACACCCTCACCCCCACACCCCCCACCCTCACCCCCACACCCCCACACACCCTCACCCCCACACCCCCCACCCTCACCCCCACCGACATACACCCCCCACCCTCACCCCCACACCCCCCACCCTCACCCCCCCACCCCCACATCCCCCACCCTCAACCCCACCCTCACCCCCACATCCCCCACCCTCACCCCCACCCACATCCCCCACAGGGAAGGTTTATATCAATGAATTAAAGGGATAAACAGCAGCTGAGAGAGAGAGAGAGAGACCCACGTGGCTGAGCCCTGTGTGTGGAGAGCGAAACATGTAACTTACCGACGAGTGTTGGCGGAGGATCCCGTCCTGTGCTGCAGAGAGGCGACTGTGAGCGTCTGTGGGAAGCCGGAGCCCAGCGCCTGCCCCAGACACAGCACCAGCAGCAGCACCGCCATCCTCCCGCCCTGCCCCTGCCCCTGCCCACAGCCCCCCGCCCTGCCCCTGCCCCCTGCCCCTGCCCACAACCCCCTGCCCACAGCCCCCTGCCCCTGCCCACAGCCCCTGCCCACAGCCCCCTGCCCCTGCCCCTGCCCACAGCCCCCGCCCTGCCCCTGCCCACAGCCCCTGCCCACAGCCCCCTGCCCACAGCCCCCTGCCCCTACCCACAACCCCCTGCCCCTGCCCACAGCCCCCGCCCTGCCCCTGCCCACAACCCCCTGCCCACAGCCCCCTGCCCCTGCCCACAGCCCCCTGCCCACAGCCCCCTGCCCCTGCCCACAGCCCCCTGCCCACAGCCCCCTGCCCACAGCCCCCTGCCCACAGCCCACAGCCCCCTGCCCCTGCCCACAGCCCCCTGCCCCTGCCCACAGCCCCCTGCCCCTGCCCACAGCCCCCTGCCCACAGCCCACAGCCCCCTGCCCACAGCCCCCTGCCCACAGCCCCCTGCCCACAGCCCCCTGCCCACAGCCCCCTAGCCGCAGCCCGAGCAGTCACCGGGGACCAGGCGCTCTGCCTCCCACCGCCTGCTACACGCTGCAGATGGACATCGCTCCTTGTTCCTCTCCTCTCTTTCTCTCTCTCCTTCCTCCTATCCTCTTTCTTCCCTCTTCCCTCTCTCTCTCTCTTCTGTTCGTTTCCCCTCTACCCCTCTCTCTCTCTCTCCCTCTTCCCCTCCTCTTCCTTTCTTCTCTCTCTCCTACTCTCCTCTCTCTACCCTCTGAGACTGTGTTTTAAACTCTCCCCCGATGGAAGCGCAGCTCAGCTCTGACCTTAACCCTATCAGCACCGGACTCTCTCTCTCTCTCTCTTCTCTCTCTTTCCCTGCGGGGGGAAAAAAGTCAGGGGTTCTCGTGTCTCACAAGAAAGGTTATTCGAGTTGATAAAAAAAAGAAGAAAAGTTCTCGCTTGGCTTCACATTTCAGTGCTTTGCAAAGACAGACAAGGAGAGTGAGAGGAGGACACAGAATTCATACAGCAATTATTTGGCCTCAGTTTGCAATGTGGCTAATGATTTGAAAGCTGCAGTCAGTCTCTGCCTCTGCAAGAGGCAGAGACTGACTGCAGCTTTCAAATCATTAGCCACATTGAGCTCTGATCAGACCAGACACTGGGCCAATGTAAGAAAGCAAATTTTTTTCTTATGTACAGTTCACGTAAGAAATCTTCGAATTAATTTGCTGGTTCAGCGAGCGCGCAGCAAACAGGGTATGGAACAGGGAGAGACGGTGGAAGCAGAAAGTGTCAATTCTTGCGAGAATAAATTAGATTAGGTGTCCGTTAGGAGATAATATCTCGGGATGCGGTGTATATTTTGGGACATGACGTGCCAATGCAAAGGCCGGGATGGTGGAGGGCGAACTGGATGGACCTTGGTCTGCGTTTGCCAGCAAATTCTTATGCTCTTATGTTCGTTGTATAGTATAATAATAATCCATACATTTGATATAACACTCTTTAATCAAAACCAGTTCTCTGGCTCTGCTCCACTCTCCTGTCTCCCGGTAACTCAGTCCATCGTCTCATTTCCTCGCGAAACGAGAGAACAGATCTCTTGCCGTTTCTGGTTTACAAAGAAAAACAGATTTTTTTATTTGCGGATTTTAAACTGATTTGTCAACTTTCTTGGTGGTTGCCATTTGCAGTAATATTTTTATTGTGTTAAGAAAAAACTGGAACCTTTCAGAAATGAATACTAAAAAAGTTCATTTTTTTGCACTTTAAACCTGAGAATCTCCTTGTGATTTCACCCCTTCCCTGATTGTGAGCCTCTGTGTGTGTGTGTGTGTGTGGGGGTGTGGGGGGGGTGTGGGGGTGGGGGGGGGTTGACTTTGCACTCTATGCTGAGGCTGGTTACCTGAGCTTTGGGGATTCACTTCACATGTGAAAACAATCAGAGGAATGTGTTCCTGAGCAAAACTCTTTGTTTTACAATCCCCGGTAAAACATCTGATTGGAGCTGACAAAGTCTACTTCACACACAAACTGTTCACAGCTGCATTTTCACTATTCTTTTACAATTGGAAATACCCCCAACTCAGGGGCTTTGAGCTGACAGTCCAGGCTGCCGCTCCAGTGCAGTGCTGGGGGGGGTGAGGGGGGGGGGTGAGGGGTGGGGGGGGGGTGAGGGGGGGTGAGGGGTGGGGGGTGAGGGGTGGGGGGGCTGTATTTTTGGAGGTGTGGTCTTTCAGATGTGACGGTAAACTAATGACCGGTCACCTGTACCTGGTCAGGTGGGCCTTATCGATCCTGTGGCGGTTTTGTTGGTTGTGTGAAAGATGAATGCAGTTCGCTGTCCGGGCTCACAGGTGACGTGTAACATGCACTGGTGTGTGTGTTACATGGCTTCCCTGTGTGTGTGTGTGTGTGTGTCGTGTTTCATACCGAGAAGCTGGAAAGCAGCAGAGAATGTGTGACACTGTGTAATGTGTCACTCCTGAGCGCTGAGCGCTCTCAGTCACTCTGGACACTGTCCGGGACCGCGGACAAGTCCTGTTGGGATATTACACCCCTTGGATTTAACCCTAACCCTGAACACCCGACAGGGACCGCACACCCTGGCCTCCGGGCAGGCGGGGGGGGGGGACAGTAAACCTGCGGACAGTCAGTCAGTCCAGCACCTCACCTCAGGGGGGGAGGGGGAGGGGGTGGGGGGGAACAGCGGGTACCCCCTCCCTCAGTCCCAGGGCAGAATGTGGCGAATGTGCGGGCGCTGGCCGAGCGCTGCCTTTACTCCGAGGGTGAGCGGAAAGTGCGGCGCGCGGAACGGCGTTGCGTTTACCCAGAGCCCAGGGCCCGGTTACCAGGGAAACAGCGACTCGGCCCCGAGCGCTATACACCGTACACTACACACACTGTACACCGTACACTACACACACTGTACACCGTACACTACACACACTGTACACCGTACACCATATACACTGTACACCATATACACTGTACACTGTATACACTGTACACCGTACACTACACACACTGTACACCGTACACTACACACACTGTACACCATATACACTGTACACCGTACACCATATACACTGTACACCATATACACTGTACACTGTATACACTGTACACCGTACACTACACACACTGTACACCGTACACTACACACACTGTACACCATATACACTGTACACCGTACACTACACACACTGTACACCGTACACCATATACACTGTACACCATATACACTGTACACCGTACACCATATACACTGTACACTGTATAGACTGTACACCGTACACCATATACACTGTACACCGTACACTACATACACTGTACACCGTACACTATATACACTGTACACTATATACACTGTACACCGTATACTACACACTATATACACTGTACACTATATTCACTGTACACCGTACGCTATATACAGTGTACACCGTATACTGTACATTATACACCGTACACTGTACACTATACACTTTACATTATACACTATATACCGTACACTTTACACTATATACCATACACTGTACATTATATACCATACATTGTACACTTAGTACTTAACCCTAACCCTAACTGTACATTACATACCATACATCGTACATTATACACTGTACACATTCTATACATTATATACACAGCCCATACACCGTATACACACAAATTATACATTATACACAATATACACACACACCACATACTATACACACTATATACACTACACACACTATATAGACATCCTATACATTAGATAGACACTGTGCACACTATATAACAAACACTGTATACATTGTTATAGACATTATTTGTATTATACTGTAGACACTACATATTACCTACAGAATGTGCATTATGCTATAGGAAGCTCAGACTGTATAGATTATAAACATATTAGGCTGTACAGATGTTCAAAGTGCGAGTATTGCTGGTGGGGCCCAGAGAGGTGAGTGATAGATGAGAATCAGGAATATTATCCCTATATAATATTCATAAGGCGCCTTCCACATCTCAAAGCGCTTCACAGGATTCACGGTGAAGTAGAACAGGCTGCCTGGGGTGAGTGGCCTGTTTCTGTGCGGGGACAGCAGTCTGTTATTCATGTTCCCTTGTTTATTATCCACAGAGTGGAAAAACCGTTCTGTCCAATTTTCTGTCTGACACGACTGAATCCATAGGTGGCGATTACAGCCCAACTCAGGGTGTGCGGTAAGTGAGGGGTTAAGTCCTTGTTTAAAGGCACATTCCTACAGGATTAATATTTTGCTGTGGTTTTGGCAGCTGCTAGCGTATGTTTCAATGTTTCACGTCTCTGTTTCTATCCAGCTGGGACAATTCTACATATGCTTTTGTTTCTGGTGTATTTCTCTAACCAGCTAAAAATGCATAGCTTGCCATTGATACTGATGTCAGGCAAGCTTTCCTGTTGCTTGTCCAGTTAGGACCACCCTACCCGTTAGGGATTTAGCCTGCACGGTTAACAGAAGCTACGTGGGAAGATTTCCTGCCCCCAGTGACTGGTCTGCCCTTCCAGGTCCTGCCGATAAGCAAGGTTGACTGTGCTGTCATCAGCAGTGCCCTGGAATACTGCAGACCCGTCTGGCTCAGTAACTATACTGGAGATCACCACAGAGGGCCAGCTCGATTTCGATGCCAGGCATGTCACCTTGGAGCCAGTGTATTTTACATGATACAATACAATACATTTATACAGAGCCATATATATATATATGGGGAATGACCCAGTAGGGTTGTAATGTTAACTTTAATTGGAAGGGATTGTTTTCTAGGATCCTGGAGTTCGAGTGCCCGAATGTGAGTGCGAATGGAAAAAGTGTTGGATGTGAAGTGGAGCTGTGGGACTGCTCTGGCGATCAGAAGTAAGAAAACTAGTCAGTCAATTAACCGGTGTCTGTCTGTCTGCTCACTGCTCCTCCCTCTCTCCCTCCAGAACTGACCCACATATCACTTTGATGAATATTTAATCAAGAACATTTCAGCTGGATGTCGAACTGCATTTTTTTAATGACCTGTGGCTGTATGTTCATCATGGTTTGTACAGACTGTGGTTAATGAGATGAGTTTTGCTGTCAGTATAATCATTACAGACTCTTTCTCAATCTCTCTTGCTCTCTGAAGGTTTGAGACCTGCTGGCCAGCTTTAATGAAGGATTCCAACGGGGTGGTTATTGTGTTCAATGCTGATCTTCCCAGTCACCTGAGGGAGATTGAGACCTTCTATTCCTCCTTTGTACACCAGCAGAGGTTACAGGACTCCCAGTGCCTGCTCGTCGCCCATCACAAGCCGGGTTCGGGGGCGGACAAGGGGCAACCTAGTTTGTGTAAGTTTACAGGGAACACGTTTATGTTACTGCAATCTCGCTTGGCGAGGAGCCTGTTTACAACCCAGTTAGAGATCATAGAATCATAGAATTATACAACAACAACAAAATTAGATTTGTTCAGCACCTTTCACGTCAGGAGGACGTCCCAAAGCACTGGAAGGAGCACAGAAGGAGACCATTCAGCCCATCATGTCTGTGCCGGCTCTTTGAAAAGAACTATCCAAATCAATCCAACTGCCCCGCTGTCTCCCCATCGCCCTGCCAGCAGGTTCCTTGAGGAATCCTTTGATGCTGATCTGGTTACCGAGGTGACCAGAGCCTGTTTGAAGCATGCATGTCTTGGAATGTGATGTCACATCGCAATGTTTTTATTAATAACAACTTTACATTTTCTCCTCAGCCCAGCAGCTGAGCAAACTCAACCTGATCCACTCTGACCTGGAGGATGATCCAGAGGAAGTGCGCACGGAATTCCGTCAGTACCTGGGAGCGGTGCTTAGCTCCCTGTCAGAGAGCAGAGACCGGGAGGAGATGTCAATCATCACCTGAGCGAGGGAGAGGCCTTTCCCAGTGTGTGTTGAACATGCAGTTCTTGTACATCATTAGCCAGAGAGTGAGGGTTTAGGTGGAGTGAGAAGGCAATGCAGTAATGTTTCTATGGTTTGGCCTCCCCCAGATTTTATAATTTCTCACTCTAGGATGGTAGAAAGTTTCGCACAGAAACAATCAGCCCAGCCGTCTATAACTTAGTGGTATGTGAGTGCATGGGGAGTATTTCTCCACGAGTCACACAATTTCCCGCTCACTCTGCATATTCTTTAATCATCCAGTGAGTAGGTATCTTTCTGACCCAGTGCATGTGCGGTGTTACCAGCCTACTGTGCACAGTATACATGCATTGATATTAGGACTGGCTCTACTGCCAATTTGTACTGTTTTCTGGAGTGCATGTAGGCTTGCTTTGTTATCTAAGTGGCTGCTACCGTCTTGTGTTTAGCCCCTAAAACAGAAGAGCATAGACCGGGAGATGACAATCATCACCTGATTATTGACATCTTCATTGTCTAAATGCTAACCCTCTCTTCAAAACATTCCATAAACTGCTCTCCTGTAAATTGTAATTAGAGATTGAGGCCAGGTGTGGGGAGTGTGTACAGCAGGGATTAGCTCTCCCTGGTGATAATGACCCATTAACTGAACTTGGCCTTTTCCTGCCATTTAATTGACCACCTTGTTCTCATCGTTTCCCTGCTTCTTTTCAATTTATAGGGCTCCCCAACGAAGCTTCCTTCCCAAAAGAACTTCAGCCATTACAATCCTGCCACACCTCAATGTGCTGACTGACCCAGGTTGCCTTCAAGGGAATTCTACCCATAAAGAGGGAAATATTCAGCCCATGAAAACCCCACGTTGTGATTTATGTCACAGTGTATTCACTTTTATACCAGCTTTTGTAGTAAAAAAGCACAAAGCAGTGTGTTACAGGAACATAAAATGTTCTGCTGTGGTGGAAGTAGATCATTGTGGTGCTAACATGTGATGGTATTTTAATCAAAGGAGACACAGGCAAAGTACAGAATTCAAGGTAACATCTGGAGGAAACATTTGGTCAGGACCTGCGGAACAGTGGAAATCAAACGTAAAAGCGCTCTATATTTATTTTCTCCCGAGACATGCATCAAACTGTGTACGAAAAGGCAGATGTTCTCCACTGACAGCTCTGAACTAGAAGCCAACTCAGTGATTCTTCCCTGCAGCCCTTATAGTGCTGAGCCAATCAATCAGACACCCCCTCCCCTGAGTCACCTACACTGCACATGCTCATTATACAGATACATCGCCACACATCTGCCCCGCCAGTGAAATAGAATATTGGTTGTGTGGAAATGGAGTATTGAGGCAGGAGACACACAAACCACCAGCTGCCTATGATGACAGCCTGACAAATGAAATAGTCAACATGGGATTTTACCATTTTTTTTAATAATTGTTCCATCCTATAAACACACACACACAAACAGCTTTCATATGAACACGGGCCTGTAAAAAACAAAATGCATTAAAGCAAACATTTTTTGAGGATTGTTTTACAAATGCTAGATTATAAATTCTGAGTGAAAAAATAAAAGCTTATTTGGAATATTGGCATGTGTGCTGGGCCTTTCGTAGCGAGAGAAGTAAGGAAAACACATTGGTCTCTATCAGCACCAAATGTTGTGCAGCAGTAACTCTCGCTAACCAACAGGTAGTAAAACAATCTCGGTTGTGGTGGGATTTCTGTTGTTTTGCTCATCACAGTAAAGGATGTCAGTGTCAGGAAATGGAACATCCAGTGTCAAGCCGTCGTATTGGTAAGTGATGCTTCTCTGCTACCTGCATGTACACCAAGGGAGCACCTCATTACTTCACCAGTGCCATAATTTCCATTTCATCCCACCCCGAAGAGCATATCAATCTTGTAGCAGATGTCGAGTGGGTCTGCGCTGAGGTCTCGCAATCAACAAGAAATGTGATAGAGATTGGCCGAGCTAGTTTCAAGCACAATTCTGTGAGGGAACCCTCGCCAGCTTTGGATCTTAGTTCAACTCAGATTCCAGAAGTGAAAAGTCCATTCTCTAAACCTACTTACTGCAATGCTCAGTCTCCAATCATTCGATCTTTAACCGTTTTCGTTTGGTCTCACACTCATCTTCTTGTTTGCTGGTAGCCACAGCCTGCGACTTGCTCAGCTCACCTTCGCACTGAGCTATGATTTTCTTCAGAGCATCCGGGACCTTTTGGACCGACTGCTCGATGAAGATCAGGCTCTCATGCACGTCACGGATCATGTTATCCTTCCACATATTCTTCAGTCCGTCAAACCAATGAATCCTCTGTTCCAATTTAAGCTCTACCATCTTCTGCTCTTCCTGCTCGTCCAGAAGGGCCTGTTTGCCGCTGAGCTCTGCCTTGTAGCACTGCTGGAGTTGAGCGATCTCTTCTTGTAGCTCACTATACTGTTCCTCAGGGTACTGTTCATGAACTTTGTCTTCTGGGAGCAGAACGTTTGCAGGAATTTTCAGAATGTGCTGCAGGAGACCGCGCTCCAGCTTTTCAAAGGTAACATCAAAACGGCTCTTGATCACCTGCAGGAAAGTTTTGGTGCAGGCGCGGACACTTGACGGTGTGATGCCGCAGTCTGGCAGCTCATCCAGCTTCCTGATAACAACTTGTTCGGCCACCAGCATCACATCGAGGAGAGAGTCCTGGATGGCACATTGCACCCGAAGGACACAGGTTTGTGGCGAGAACCCAAAAAACTGAGTCTCATACATCATCAGGATGTCCTCCATCTTTAACTCAATTGGATTTTTAAAATCTGTTTAAAAAAGAATTACAAATAGATCAAAACGCTGAATAAAATTGGAGTAGGATATTTGGGGGTAAATTTGGATTAGTTCAGTAAACGATGGGAATTTTCCCGTGTCTCTATTTCTCTCCCCGGACGGATGCAACAGGTTTTACCTAATTCTGGAAAGTATTAGGCGCTGGTTGGCAACAGCCAAGACATGGGGGGAGCCCAGAGCGTGCGTTGGGGTAACTGCTGGAGGCTAACCTGCTAAACACACATAGCTTGCCATTGAAAGCGCGGTTTGGCCAGCTAGGGACCACCTAACCCTTTAGGGCTTTGGCTGCGGGGTTAACAGGAGCTGAGGGGAAGGATTCCCTGCCCCCAGTGACTGGTCGGTCCCTCCAAGTCCTGCCGATGAGCCGGGCTGTGCTGTCATCAGCAGCGGCCCCTCTTGGCTCAAGAACCGGACCAGAGACCGCCACAGAGTTCGATGCCTACAGAGGGTAGGCCCTCAGCCCGTTGCCTAGCAACAGTGCAGGCCCGAGGCGCCCCGCTCACCTGCCTCGGGATCTCGGCTGAGAGGCCGCCAACTGTCACAACCACTCCCGCCTTCCGCTTGCGCATGTGCAGACCGGCCAGCCCGTGACGTGACCCGCCCAGCATTTGATTGATTGATTGAGTGATCGCGCATCTCGACCAATCAGCGCGTCCCACCGCCACACGGCGGTGTCTGACGAATCAGCGAAGACCACACACACGCTTTTTGTGCGCTGCGCACGCCGTGGCTGGCGGGAGGATTGACGGGCCCGCTGTCCAATCAGCTATGGGATTTAGTGCGTGGCCCGTCCCCCTCGCGGGCCAGGTGGCCAATCAACGCCGGATAGCTGGGCCTGTGCGGCGCAGGTGCAGTGAGCCGGGAGGGTCCGGTGCGGCGCAGGCGCAGTGAGTTTGTAGAGACCGGGCGGGAAGATGGCGTACCAGACGTTGCAGCAGGAATACCTGCAGATCCCGGTGGTGACGAGGGCCTACACCACCGCCTGCGTCCTCACCACCGCCGCCGTGGTAAGGCCCCGACTCTCCGCTAGTGGCCTGACTACAGGCAGGGTATCCGGGGTGAAGGTCAGCCTCTGCCGCCGGCCTCGGGGCTCCGCCAGCTGTTGCCCTTCACTAGAGCCGCCGATAACCCCAGGCACAGCCCCGGGAACCCCAAGGCGGAGTCCTGTAGCTGAGTGGGGTTAGAGCACTCGCCTCGCAAGCGAGAGGACCTGAGTTCGATTCCCGGTCAGAGCAAAACATTGGGCAAGTTTCCTTACTCCGCGCACACGCCCCTGTGTGCGGAGCCGTAAATAGGAACCTGGTTGTTAGCTGATTTGGCGGTCGCTTTCTTGAAGGGTAGTATTCCCTTCAAAAATAATAATAAATTGGTCACTCAATCCAAGACTGTTTGTGGACGCTGCTGTGCGCAATTGGCTGCTGTTTTTTTTGCCCACAAAATATACAGTCACTACACTTTACAATATATCCTGTGAAACCCTTTGAGATGTCTCAACGACATGATAAGGTGCTATATCAAATGCAAGGCTTGTTATAGGCATTTCCCCCTCTCTCACACGCACATACACACAAACACACTCACTCTTCCAAGTTGAGATGACAAATATTTGTACATCAGGTGAACTGCAAAAACAGTCACTACTTTGACAGTTACTGAAAGTAGGAATTGTTACTACCGCCAAGAAGGTGGAAGGAAAACTAGATGCTCCTTGTTTTTTTTTCACCTACCATTTCTTATGTACTGTACCAGTATTCTTGCCGCGACAAGTAACTATATGCCTGCTTGTTCCTTCTTTTGTTTTGACCTCCTGGCTGTTAGTTAGACACTTTTGCTCCTCATCTTAGATTGGGATGTTTAAAAACGAGTTGAATAGATCCTTGGTAGGTAAGGTTATTAAGGGATGTGGCCAAAAAATAAAAAATAATGATAGAACCATAGAAATTAAAGCACAGAAGGCCATTTGGCCCAAGGTATCAGTGCCAGCTCCCCTCAGTCCTGTTTACCTGCTTTTCCCAATACTCTTGCAACTGACTCTTAAGGTATGTTTAAGATCTGCCTGCTTAATAACATGCCAGAAGAGACAGAATGTTCCTGTCCCGGGATCAGTGGTGTGTGCTGTGACGCTTGCTGCTTAATCTAAGTGAGGAGCTGTATGTTGGATCAGACTTCACATTGCCACTCTTTAGCTACCCTAACAGTAACTCTTTTCTGTCGCTTTCAGCAATTAGAAATCATCACCCCCTTCCAGTTGTACTTCAATCCAGAATTAATATTTAAGCACTATCAAGTAAGTACGACTTTTGGTTTGTGTACTTAGTACCTCTCTTTACCAGCTCCACATCTGTGCCTGACGTCCAGGGTTGTGGCTGATCCCTTGTATCCTGACGACTCAATATAATATTAAATGCTGGGGACCTAAGACATTTCTTGTGGGAAGGAACAACCTGTAGTCTAATGTTCTCTGGTATCAACTGTGTGTAACATGAATCTGTTTTTTTTCCTTAGGTATGGAGGTTAATCACAAATTTCCTATTTTTTGGCACAGTGGGATTTAACTTTTTATTTAATATGATTTTCTTGTATCCTTTGACAGTTGATGACTGGCCAGTGGCTTAAAACTGCAAGTTATTATTTTAATTTTAAATGAAATTGATGTCAGATGGTTGCAGCTGACTAGATCTCTGGGTTTCCAGTTTTGGTAATCGTGAAAAAACAATTGACGATTTGTCTGTCCTGATCACAATCTCCCAGGTGATGTTCTCTTTAGGAGGATTTGAAATGTTTTATAACTGGTACATTGGGTAATGTGAATACATTGGGAGTGTATTAAGAGAATAGACTGAGGTTCAGCAGTGTTACATAGAGAGTGGCTGATGCGTGGAACAGTTTACTCTGAGGCCTGTGAGATAAGGATTTAGAGAGAATTCGATTGCTGTTTTTCACAGCGAAAGGGCTGGCTGAGTGAGAAAGGAAAGAGTTGGGAATGGTCAGATAGACCGTGCACGTTTATCTGGTTAGCTATCTTAGAATACATTAGAATATACAGTACAGAAACAGGCCATTCGGCCCAACAGGTCTAAGTTGGTGAATCTGCCTGCTTATCTTAAGTAGCTTTCAGCGTGTCTGTATTTGGAAGTTTTCTAATGATCTTCTGCTCGCTGTATTTTTATTTGAAATGCTTTTTTGTCAATATTTTGCCATCCTTTTCCTTAACCAATAAACCACAGGTACAGGTACTGTCGAATGCTTGAAGAAGGATCCTTCAGAGGCCGAACAGCAGACTTTGTCTTTATGTTTCTCTTTGGTGGATTTTTAATGACCGTATCCTTAAGGTTCAAATCAGAAAGGGAATTAAATGTTAGGAAAAATGTCTATGGAGGGTGGTTGGAATATGGAATTTGCTGTCACAAACTGTAGTTGAGGAAGATTCCATCAGTTGTTTTAAATGGAATTAAGTGCTTGAAAAAGAGGAAGATTCTGGTGAGGAAGCGAGCAAGACGGTGGGAATGGATTGGGTTGGCAGATGTGGAGACCCTGATGAGGGTCTGGCGTGAGAACTCATGCATTGTAAACAAATTGAACGGGGAAAAAAAGTTCTAACGGAAAGGGAGGAGGAGTGAACGTCAGCAGTTCGCTGCAGATTGAAAACGAGACTGCCATAAATGATGTGGATGAAGGCAGCTTAACCTCCCCCACTCACATACATAGAGAGAAACAGCTGGACGCAGTGTTTGCAGACTGGTACTCTAGTTGCTATAGGTCTCTCCCTCCCCTGGGAACTGTACAGTGTGCCTGCTGCAGGCTGTTGGCTAAATATGACACATTTTCCAATTGACTTCCTTCACGGTGTGCCAGATCTTCGGCCTGTTTGTGAATCTGGTGTTCCTGGGTCAGGCCTTCACTATAATGTTGGTGTACATATGGAGCAGGAGGAATCCATATGTCAGGATGAATTTCTTTGGACTTCTCAACTTCCAGGCTCCCTTCCTGCCCTGGGTGCTGATGGGCTTCTCCCTCTTACTGGGCAATTCCATCATTGTGGATTTGTTGGGTAAGAATACACGTCAACTCTCTCTCTCTCTCTCTCTCTCTCACTGCTGTGTCCCCTCTCTCCCTCTCTTTACCTTGTCCCCTTTCTCCCTCTCTTTAACTTGTCCCATCTCTCTGTCGCGCTCCATGTCTGTATCTGTGGCTTACCTGTGCTTCCCTTTGATTTGTAGGGATTGCTGTCGGCCATATATATTACTTTTTGGAAGATGTCTTTCCAAACCAACCTGGAGGAGGAAGGCTGCTCAGAACTCCGGGGATTTTGTAAGTTTTCTCCTTGGACACGAACTGCTGACGTGAAAGGCGCTGTAAACCCGTCACCTGTGTTCTTGAATCTCTGTGGCATGTTTGTACCAAGATAGTACCAACTCCAGGTCCGCTGATGTTCTATCAGCTTGTCTGGCAGACATCAAGGTCTGGATGAGTGTAAACTTCCTGCAACTGAATATGGACAAGACAGAAGCCATACTCCTTGGGTCTCGTCAACTTCTTCACTCCTGTGGATCTAAATTCCTCAACCTCCCTGGGCTCTCCGTCAGACTCATCGAACCAGTGTGCAACCTAGGCTTCGACACCCAACTGTCCTTCCTCCCCCACATCCGGGACCGCTTTCTTCTGCCTCTGCAACATTGTCCGCCTCCTTTACCTTTATCCCAAATGCAGCCGAAACCCTCATGCATACATTTGTCACCTCCTGCTTGGATTACTCCAATGCACCTCTCGCCGGTCTCCCCAGTTCCACCATTCACAAGATCCAGCTCATTCAAACTCTGTACCCACATCTCACCAGTTCTGGCCCAGGTTCCACTGGCCCCCTATCACCGAACGGATCGACTTCAAGATCCTCACACTCGTGTTCAAATCCCTTCACTCCCTGGCACCTCCCTACCTCTCCGACCTCCTCACTCCCCAATCCACCACCCGGCAGCTCTGCTCGACCAGCACCGACCTCCTGCTCGTCCCTCGCACTCTCTGCCCCACCGACTTAGGTCTTGCCACTACTCTCCAAAACTCTGGAACACTCTTCCTCAATCCCTCTCCCTTGCCCTCTCTCTTCTTTCAAGTCCCGCCTGAAGAATTTCCTGTTCGACCATGCTTACAGCCACCTCCCCCCTCCCCTCGGCTCGGAGTCAGACTCCGCCACTGTTAAGCTCTCTGAGATGCTACCCTGCATGGAGGACGCTATATAAGTGAAGTTTTTGTTGCTTTAACAGTGATGTTCATACCGATTTTGCCTTTCCCCAGGAAAGCCGTGTTTGATACTCCTGACGAGGATCCGAACTACAATCCGCTGCCTGAAGATCGGCCCGGGGGCTTTAACTGGGGGGAAGGACAGCGTCTCGGGGGCTAGCAACAACCGGACTGCTATCCTGCGGCTGCGCACCCACCCCCAGGATGTGCACGATCTCTGATCTTTCCCCAATGGACCACCGACTCTGTACCTCTGTTCTCCCTTCCTCCATCCCACCCCAAGAAATGGGGCCTTGCAGGTTGCTGAGTGAACCCACCAAGCGAGCGAGCAAGTGAAGCACTTTTCACTGGGTATTTGCAAATTCCTGAGGGCGATGTGCGATTGTCCAACAGTGCCTGAGACATCCGGCTGGCGTTACACTGGCAGACGTGATGTTTCCACCAGACTCCTTCCATCTCACAACTGGGAATCGGGTGTTCAATTCAGTTGTGTCTCAGAGGATAAGAACTGAGTTACACTCGTCCCAGTTGTCCCCACAAACACAGTTCTTTTGTACACCTGAGACCTTTTATGAAGAGCTACTGAGGATTCCGCTTTTACCTTTTTATATAAAAATGTATTTCAGTTTTACAATAGAAGCAGAACCTGTGGTCAGACTCGCTCACTCCACAGACCTCTCTCACACACATACACCGCTGAACACTTGTTTCCAGAAACAATGAGTAAAACTCTTGATAGCTGGTGCGTGCGGGGCAGCTGTGTGGGATTCATCCCCTGCAACGACCGAGCACAGTAACCTTTCTGTGAAGGTTCAGTTCAGTGGCATGCACAGTGGCAGCATGTAGCTGCGCTGATCACATCACCTGCTCCTCAGTCACCCCAACAGTTGAGCACCTGTTACTGTTAATGCTGCAGACGTCTACATGTGAAACAAGTGTGATATGTTAAATGCTTCAGAAATGCAGCTTCTTTGTTGCTCTGTTTGCTCGCACACAGAGTTGTATTCCAGCAGTGATCATTAACAGGCTGGCTACAATTGATAAAAACTAACATTTTCTATGGAAAAGTTGTACTTTATCCCAATATCTTTTGTAATCTTGAAATCCTAATAACTGTCCTCAGAATGTATTGTGTACGCATCATTGCCAGATTTTTATTATAAATTGACAGAGTTTTATCTGTTGGGCTATAAGGAGAAGCCGACTTGTTCTGTGTTCTGTGCCAAAACTTGATTTTGGATTTGTTTAGAGGGGAAAGGAGCATTTTAAACTTATAATTTAATCGTCTTTAGTTGGAGCATTCTGATAGTGAAACTGATCTAGTATAATGGACACTATTAAACGGTGGCTGTGCTCTTTATAAATGTACAGATTGCTTTGGAAATAACTTTTTTACAACCCGCCAGAAGCTTTTTTGACAACCGTGCAAGACACCTGTCTGTGCTTTTTGGGGATTTCCTGCAGCTGAGTTTGGTGGTGAAAATAGTAAAAAGCAACAATCACCATTATCATTTCCTGTTTAGAGAGCAGTGCCAGTGTAACAACAGGCAGAAAACCACTGGTCCGCCTACTCATCACTATATCAAATGCAAGGATTATTATTAATATGTCTAGCTGATTTTTAATAATCCTCAGATTTGATACAGTGCCTTTCACGGTAAGTGGATGTCTCAAAGGACGGCTATCACCCGAGTCCTCGCCTGCCTCCGCCTGTTCCCAGATCGACTTCAAGCTCCTCTCCCATAAATCCCTTCACGTTGTCTGATGTCCTACCCCTCTCTCCTCGCCTGGCCTGCTACGTGTCCCTGCGTTGTCTCAGCCACCATCAGTGACCAAGCCTTCAGACCAAGCCACCCCTAACCTCAAACTCCCTCTCTCATCCCTTCTCTGTCTCTAAAACCTACGTAAAAACCTATCTCTTCAACCGCACTTGTGGTCACTGCCCCGTGGGCATCCCTATCAAATGGGTTGTTGCCTTCCACAAAATATGCAGTCACTTCACTTTACAGTAGATGTTGTGAAGTGCATTAAGATGTCTTTCCAATGTAAAAAAGCCATGGATCAAAGTTTGGAGCCCTGAAGCGTAGTGGTTAGACCACTTGCCTTGCGAGCCAGAGGACCTGGATTTCATTCCTGAGTAGAGCGAAACGTTGGTCAAGTTTTCGTTGGTGACCGTTGGTCGGTCTTCTCTTTGACCGAGCCTTCAGCTCCCCTCTCGACTCTCTTCCCCCTCCTCGCTCCCTCCCTTCCCTCCCCTCACCCTGACCATTTCCCCCCTCCTCGCTCCCTCCCTTCCCCTCACCCTGACCATTTCCCCCCTGCTCGAGTCATGACCCAACTGTGCAGCGCCTTGGGACGTCCTCCTGACGTGAAAGGCGCTTTATAAATGGAACCTTGTTGTTGTTGTTGTACTGTTTAAGCCCTCTGAGCCGCTGCTCTGCATAGCGGGCGCGAAGTTGTTGTTACTCCACGCGGTTCTTGGTTCACCAGCAGTCCGAAGGAACCCGGTCGCTACTGATCGGCGGATCACTTTTCCGGGCGGTGATGATCCCTATTTTTTTTTAAAAAAAAAGGGAAGAAAAATTTAAAGACGATAACTTGATCACCCGATCCTCGGCTGTGTGTGGGGACGCCGCTGTGCGCAATTGGCTGCTGCGTTTCGCCCACAAAACGCACAGTCGCTACAGTTTACAGTGTATCCCGTGAAGCGCTTTGAGACGCCTGAGCTACAGATTACAGTATTATCATCTCCCCGGGAGGCCCCGCCCCCAAGGCCACGCCCTAGGCCCCGCCTCCATGACCCAGGCCCCGCCTACATGACCCCAGGCCCCGCCCCTGAGGGGCGGGGCCTGGAGTCATGGAGGCGGGGCCTGGGGTCATGGCGACACTCTCTTTACGGGGTTCAAAGGTTAAGTGCGATAGCAATGGCGGCGGTCAGTCTGAGCGCTGTGGCTCCGGGAGCCTGAGCCGCGCCGGGGGATGGCCGGGATCGTCAGCCGCCTCTGGAGCCGCGGCCTCGGGCCCCGGTGGCTGCTGGAGCCGCGGAGGGGCCTGTCCGAGGCGGCGAGCCGGAGGCGCGATGAGCCCTCTCCCGTCCACAAGTACGTGGGGGAGAGAGCCAGGCGGCGCCACCGAGTCTTCGTCTGGGGCTTCTCCCCCACCGGGGCCCTCGGTGTCCCCAGCTTCGTGCTGCCCGACAGCGGCAGGAAAAAGCCCAGGAAGATACAGCTCAGCCCGTACAGGTTGGAGATGGAGGCCAAGGCGAGTCCAGTCCAGTCCAGGCCTCGCCGTTACAGGCACATTATTATTATTATTATTGTAATTATTATTGTCATGAATAGCAATAATAATAATGCACATTAGTATTATCATCAAACAGATTAGGGCTGTAATGCAATTATTAATATTAGTGTATTTGATACAGCGCCCGATCGCATCATCCAGACTTCTCACAGAGCTTCACAGGATTTATAACAATAATAATCCTTGTATTTTATATAGTGCTTTTCACGTCTTCGAGACGTCTCAAAGCGCTTCACAGAATATAGTGTAAAGTGAATTGACTGTGTTTTGTGGGCGAAATGACAACAGCAGTTTGCTCTAATCTGATAGCAAGGAGTTATAATCAACAATTTGATACAGTGCCTTATCACGTCGTTTAGACGTCTCAAAGCACTCCACGGCAACGCTATATTAATAATAATAATAATAATCCTTGCATGCTTCACGCACAATAGCCTCTCTGACTGCTGATTTACTGAAAGTGTAGTGACTGTTTATTTGGTGGATGTTAAAGATCTCCCCCCACCCCCCCTCCCACATATACACTTTGGAATAGAGAAGGAAGTTTCTCTCTTCCGCCATCCTGGCTGACAATCCCCCAGATGGAGAGTCAGTCGCACCAGGGCTATTTCTGGTGTGTTGCTGCTTATACGGGGCTGCTGTGTTTGTCTTTAAAAACAGTCACTACACTCGGCAGCAGTTATCCAGGTGCCATAAACACCGCCTTCTTGTTACAGTTGGTTTCTGTGTGTAGATCTCCTCTGCTTCCTGTGGCTATGGATTTACACTGATGTCCTCATCGACCAGGGACATCACAAAGCTCTGGGGGATGGGACTCAATAAAGACTCACAGATTGGATTTCACAGGAGTCGACGTGATCGAAGTGAGTCACCAGCATGGTCTCAGAGGAGGGAGGCATGAAAGGCATGGCTGGGGAGGGGGGGGCGGCGAGCATGAGGAATGGTGGTCTCGAAGCAAGGCCGGTCTCAGGCACATGGGGGGGCATGTGTGCGTGCTCTCCACCCACTGCTGTAACTTGTGTCCTTTCAGCAAAGTGCTACGAATACGTCCTGGAACCTTCTCCAGTGCCGCTGCCGTTGGAAAAGCCTCAGGATACTCGGGTGCTGCAGGTGGCCTGTGGGCGAGCTCACTCCCTCGTCCTGACCGACCATGAGGGAGGCATGTGTGGTTAAGACAATGCATTGTAACGTCAGACATTTTCTGTGGATCGCGACTGTAACAGATCTGGCTCAGGCTGGGTTCCGGGCGGTGAGGGTCGACAGCTCAGTCTCCTGTCACTGATTATGGTTTGTTTGTAGTTTTCAGTCTGGGGAACAATGCCTATGGACAGTGTGGCAGGAACATGGTAGATGGAGAGATTTACAGGTCAGTGATTGGGCTGCAATGTAATGTAGGGGGTTCTGAGCTCCTGCACTCACAGCCAACGGGTGGGTGAGGGGGTGAGGACGGCAGGGGCAGGGGGAGCAGATGGGGATATGTGTGACGATGAGGGGCGTTGACATTGTCTCTGTCTCTCTCAGTGGCAGTCACATCATTCACCGGATCGAAGGCATTGACGGGAAGGTTGTGGAGGTGAGCAGTGACGTGATGATTGATCCTGAAAAACACGATCACGGAATGAAAAGCTTTCACGGTTCAGAAGGACTGAAATGCTTCCTTTGTTTCGCGTCTTTCTTCTTTCTGCTTTCACACCAGATCACAGATGATTACACGAGATAGCACGTGAGATTCAGCTGAAGAATCTTTGGCCTGTTTGATCTCATTCCTCCACGCCTCTTGTCCTCCCATTACACCATCCAGTTGTTTATAAGGGAGTTCACCGCCCTGGCCTCAAAGCCTCCTGATAACTGCTTTCCAGTCATTCGTTCCCCTTTGTATGCAAATAAACACTTCCTGGTGCCTTAATAACCTCCTGGTGTCTGTCCAGAAGCCTGTGGCCTCCACAGTCTCTGTTCTTGGTTGTACACATTGAGAATTGCTCCACTGTCTGTGCTCACCTGCCTCCTGTCTCCCTGATTTCCAGGTCTCCTGTGGACAAGATCACAGCCTCTTCAGGACAGACAAGGGAGAGGTTTACTCCTGCGGGTGGGGAGCAGATGGGCAAACAGGTGAGAACAGGAGAGTGGCAACTATTCAACGTGAGGAGGAAAGAGCCATAAACAACCGGCTCCATTTTCCTTCCTGCTGAATACTTTGCACACGGGACTGACATCCGATCTCTGGTGTGTGTTTATGTGTGTGTATATTGGGGTGTATGTGTGTATCAGGGTGTGTGTGTATATGTATTGGGATGTGTGTGTGTTATGCCCTGACAATCACTCACTCTCCTTTCCCCAGGCCTCGGGCACCACAACATCAGCAGTCGGCCGGCCCAGGTGCAGGGGGACATCGCAGGGGTGGATATCGTACAGGTGGCCACGTACGGAGACTTCTGTCTAGCCGTGTCTGCAGACGGCCACCTGTTTGGCTGGGGCAACTCTGAGTATATGCAGCTTTCTGCAGTGACTGAGTCCACACAGGTCAGTGAATGTGGAGCCGCACAATAACAGACATCACTGGGGGTGGGGGGAAGCGGAGGGGGTTAGTGAGGGATGAGGCTGAGGGGTACAGTATGTGTAGTGACTGTGTTCTCTGTTACAGTTGTTGGCTCCGCGCCATTTGCCATTTGCTGGAGTTGGGAAGGTGGCACAGGCAGCGTGCGGTGGGTCCCACGCAGCTGTTCTGAACCGTGAGTCTCGTCCTTTTACTGGTCACGGCCTGTCCGGGCACATGTTAAAGATCACCGCGACGTGGAAAGAAAAGGGAGTTTCTCTCCCCGGTGTCCTGACGGACAATCCTCCCCCTAGATAAAATCAGTCAATGGCTGTTTGCAGGAAATTGCTGTGCGCAAGTAGTCTGCCGCGATCATCTTACAAAACCCTGTCACTGCACTTTGTAATAAATCCTGTGAAGTGCTTTGAGATATTTTTATGTCGTCATAAGACATTGTAACAAATGCACAGATTATTTATCCTCCTATTGAGACACAGAATCAGGCCTTTTGTTGAGAGGAAGGAGTGTCTCTCTGTGATCCCGCAGGAGATGGTGATGTCTTTGTGTGGGGCTATGGAATTCTGGGCAAAGGCCCAGATCTGTCAGAATCCCAAGTGCCGGAGATGATTCCGGGAACGCTGTTTGGTCGCTCAGAGTTCGCTCCTCATGTCCGGGTCGATCAGATTCGCTGCGGCCTCAACCACTTTGCAGCCATCACCAGTAAGTAAACAACAACAACTTGCATTTATATAGGGAGGGGGCGAGGCATTCACTTCAAGATGCAGGAGAGTGTCTGTAATGCAGGGGGAGTGTGTCTCTGAGTCACGTTTGTCACAAGGCAAAACGATGGAGCAGTTTGAGATGGTTTACTGCCCCAGTTGGTGTGTGTGCTGACAGTTGCTCTGGGTTACAGATCAAGGAGAGCTGTTCGTGTGGGGGAAGAACCTGCGCGGTTGCCTGGGGATCGGGAGACCTGACGACCAGCACTTCCCGTGGCGGGTAAGATCTCACTTTATCGTAGGCACCGGGATCCGTCTCACACTATCCCATTCGGCCTGTCATGCTCAATCTGTAGCCTGTAAATGTAGTAAAGAGTCCTGTAGCTCAGTCTTTGCAAGCGAGAGACCTGGGTTCAATTCCCGACAGGGTGAAACCTTGGGCAAATTTCCTTACTCCACACGCCTAATAATAATCCCTCAAAAAAAAAAATAATAAATTGGTCACTTCAATCCACGACTGTTTGTGGGACGCTGCTGTGTGCAAGTGGCTGCCGCATTTCGCCCACAAATATACAGTCAATTCACTCTACAGTCTATTCTGTGAGGCGCTTTGAAAAGCGCTTTGAAAAGCGCTATATCAAATGCAAGGATTATTATTATTATTATTAAAACCTCCTCACTGCTGCAGTCTCTGAGCCGCTGAAGAGGCCGGAATTTCATGTGTTTGTTTATCCCGTTTCCCAGGTGACTGTCCCGGGAGAGGTGCTGGATGTGGCGTGTGGCGTGGATCACATGATTGCTCTTACAAGATCATTCATCTGAGCACCAAGTGCCATGAGGGATTGGCCAGTGGGCAGCCTGGGCTGGGACCCGGCTCTGCTCTGTGGGGAAGCCTGGTGTTTCCTGTTGGGAGTGAGATTTTGGGATGAGGCGGGGCTTTGCCAGGCCTTTTGTGTATATAATGTGTGTACCACTGTGTTTAACTCAGAACTGTAACCATCGAAATAAATGTCAGATTTGTGCAATTATTTTATATTGATGTGACAATAAACATGGCACAGTGAGAGTCAGCTTTCTCATCACATCTCGCTGTCTGCCATTGCCCCCGGGCTTCTGTTACTGATGGGAAGGAGAAGGTATTAGTAAGCAAACCTGTTCCTAGTGACATGCTCGCTCCCCACTGGAGCTCTCTACACTGATCACTCCGGGACTCGTGTTGTTAATCCCATTCCCTGCTCTCTCCCAATCGTGTCTGTGCTGGTGCTCGCTACCCCAATGGAGCTCTCTACTCCAACCCCATTCCCTGCTCTCTCCCCATAGTGTGTGCTAGTGATTGCTCCCCCACTGGAACTCTCTAATCCTCCCCAAATAATCATGTGGAGTCCCGTAGCTCAGTGGTTAGAGCACTCGCTTTGCAAGAGAGAGACCTGAGTTCAATTCCAGGCAGAGGGCGAAACCTTGGGCAAGTTTCCTTAGTCCACACAGAGCCTAATAATAATCCCTCCAAAACAAAAAACAAGAATAAATTGGTCAATTTCAATCTACGACTGTTTGTGGACATTGCTGTGCGCAATTGGCTGCCGCGTTCGCCCACAAATATACAGTCAATTCACTTTACAGTATATTCTGTGAAGCGCTTTGGGACGTCCTCCCGTCGTGAAAAGCGCTATATCAAATGCAAGGATTATTATTATTCCCTACTCTCTCTCCCCCTTAACTTTACAGTGTATGTTCCTCTTCAAATGTTTATGTATACCATTTGAAGCTGTGGGTGTGCTTTTGAATAGGGCTTTGTTCCATTCCCCGCCTCCTCCCCGAACTGAGCTGATGAACTCCACCAGTTGGGGTGCAGCAATCAATCCACAATTGTCACCAACTCGTTTTAAGGGGGGAGGAGGGGAGAGTACATGTGTTTCGCAAGACTTGTGTTATATAAAAAACCCAGTCAGTAAAGCAGCCCGGCCCAAACTGGCCTGACATCACAGTGGCCAATGAACACACACACAGCCTGGCTCAGGGCCACACACACTGACTGATGCGGGTTATTTACACATAAGCTGCCTCGCCTGGCTCCATACACATTGTCCTGCTGCTGAGCAAAGAACGTCTGGAGATCTGATCTGCACAGTCTCTCTCCTCTCATTCTTTCTCTCGCTCACTTTCACCGAACTAACTCAACATGTCTCATGACAAGGACAGCCTCGACTCCTTTGAGGAAGCTCACTACGATCACTATGATTACTATAACCTGCAGGATTACCCTGTTCACTCCGGGGGCAAAGGCAGGAGCAAGAGAGAGATGGAGCAAAACACTAACCGGCCCTTGCCATCGGGACACGAGAGGAAGATCGCGGAGAAGCTTCGCAATAGCGAGATGAAGAGAAAGCGAGCCCGGAGCCTCTCCTCCTAGCCTGACTTCTCCCTCCCTCTCTCTCTTTCTCCCCCTCTCTCCAAGGTTTGCAAAACTTATTTTCGTTACAAACTCCTACGATTTACTCATGTTTGGTTTTTAATAGATAAAAGAAAATCGGTGTATTTTGTTTCGCTTTTTTTTGTTAAGAGAAAGTCACTTTCGTGATTTGTAAAAGTTCCTCCCCAGCCCCACCCTCTCTCTCTCCCAAGAAAAACATTACTAAGTTTGTTTAAGAATACTGACGTGTGATGGGCGAGGCTGGATTCAGCTTGAAAACAACTTGGTGCTGTGTCTGTGTGAGAGAGAGAGAAAGCTCACAGGATTTGCTCTAACTCTGGGTTCCTCACAGATCACAAACCCAGAACTTTTATAAATCACAAAGTGGTGCGAGAGTCCGGCTGCTGTTGAGGGTTTAGAACACACAGAACTGAACTTTTTGTGTTTCTCTCCACAGGTTTACAATGCAATGGATTTGACCATGAACTGGACATGACTTGAGATGTAGTGCCAGAGTTCGGATGTGTTGTCATTCTGTGCTCTCACTGAAGTACACTTCAGTGCCTTTCACAATGTTTTGCTAGTTATATGTTTCCTGAATTCTGGGCAACATGTTTTATATTACTTGTGAAGTTTCTGTTGTGCAAAGGTTGGGATTAAGAAGCCAGATTTAGTGTTTTTCATTATTTCGCAGTGAGGACCTGCAGTATCTGCAATGCTAACTGTTGCTGTAATACAAGCCTGACGTTGTGTTTAACACTTTGGTTCTGGATTAGTCATTTTCCTCCTTCCTTACCGTTTTCATTTATTGAATATTGATCACGAAAACGTAAGTCAATAAAGAGATACCAGGTGTATCTGTCATTTGATCTGATGTATCTGTTGTATCTGTCATTTGATCTGTCAAGCGCTACTGGACACTACCCCTGCATGAATGGCGCTACATGGCAAGTTGTTGTTGTGATAGTGTCTGAGCCGGCTCTTTGAAAAGAGCTTTTCCAAATCAACACCACTCCCCCCGCTCTCCCCATAGCTCTGATCAACCCCACTCCCCCGCTCTATCCCCATAGCCCTGATCAACCCCACTCCCCTTCTCTCTCCCCATAGCCCTGATCAACCCCACTCCCCCGCTCTCCCCATAGCCCTGATCAATCCCACTCCCCCGCTCTCTCCGCATAGCCCTGATCAACCCCACTCCCCCGCTCTCTCCCCATAGCCCTGATCAACCCCACTCCCCCGCTCTCTCCCCATAGCCCTGATCAACCCCTCCCCCGCTCTCTCCCCATAGCCTTGATCAACCCCACTCCCCCCTCTCTCCCCATAGCCCTGATCAAACCCACTCCCCCTCTCTGTCCTCATAGCCCTGATCAACCCCACTCCCCCGCTCTCTCCCCATAGCCCTGATCAACCCCACTCCCCCGCTCTCTCCCCATAGCCCTGATCAACCCCACTCCCCGCTCTCTCCCCATAGCCCTGATCAACCCCACTCCCCGCTCTCTCCCCATAGCCCTGATCAACCCCACTCCCCCTGCTCTCTCCCCATAGCCCTGATCAACCCCACTCCCCCTGCTCTCTCCCCATAGCCCTGATCAACCCCACTCCCCCTGCTCTCTCCCCATAGCCCTGATCAACCCCACTCCCCTGCTCTCTCCCCATAGCCCTGATCAACCCCACTCCCCCTGCTCTCCCCATAGCCCTGATCAACCCCACTCCCCCTGCTCTCTCCCCATAGCCCTGATCAACCCCACTCCCCCTGCTCTCTCCCCATAGCCTTGATCAACCCCACTCCCCCGCTCTCTCCCCATAGCCCTGATCAACCCCACTCCCCCGCTCTCTCCCCATAGCCCTGATCAACCCCACTCCCCCGCTCTCCCCATAGCCCTGATCAACCCCACTCCCCCACTCTCTCCCCATAGCCCTGATCAACCCCACTCCCCCGCTCTCTCCCCATAGCCCTGACCACCCCACTCCCCCGCTCTCTCCCCATAGCCCTGATCAACCCCACTCCCCCGCTCTCTCCCCATAGCCCTGCAAACAGGTCCTCCCCAAATAGTGACCTAACTCTGGAGGTGTCCCAAAGCTCTGAAGCCCAGAAATGCAAACCAGTCACAAGATTCCATGACTGGATACAGATTGACTTCATGTCCATTGCAGTGTGTGTTTGACCTGAGGGCCTGTGGTCAAGTGTGTGTTTGACCTGAGGGCCTGTGGTGCTGTGACTTTACACACAGGACTGACACTGACTCCACAACACAACACCACGTGGTGCTTGGAAGTCACGTGTAACTGGGGACGGATCACGTGCTCGGGGGGAGGTCACGGGACAGGAAGGGCGGAGCTTCCAGAAGTTTCCTCCCCTTGCGGTGCGCGGAGGGATACTCTAACTCCCGCCGCGTCTCGGGCTGCCCCGGGACTACATGTGGGCTGGGGCCCGGGATGCGCCTGCGCCGTGCGGCGCGTGCTGCTGGACTAGGTGGCCGTCGCGCAGTGAGTCGGTCTGACGCCGGTGTGTGAAGCGGAGCAGCGCGAAGGCTGTCAGTTGTCACGGTCGCCATTGCTCTCCTCTCTCTCTCTCTCTCTCTCCTCACGCACACATACAAACACACACACGCAGCCCCGCCGCCCGAGCGCCGCTCCTCCATCAAGCAAGAAGACGATGCCGAGAAGCAGGAGCCGACCCTCGCGGATGGCGGCCCCGGTCAGGTGAGAGGCGAGGGTCAGCGTGACATTGAGGCGCGGGGCCCAGGGTTTGAGGCTCGAGGCCGCCGCCGGCTCGAGGCCCCTTTTCCCAGCAGCAAATTTGCTTTGGCATCAGCGTCTCCCCGAGTCCTCTTCATCGCTGCTCGAACCACATTTCCTCTGCGTTTCACCCACAGTCGATTCACTACAGTATATCCTGCGAAGCGCTTTGAGACGTCCAGAGGACGTGATAAGGCGCTGTATCAAATGCCGGGATTATTATTATGAGAGAGTGTTGTTGTCTCTCCTCAAATCCCTGTTACTGACTCCCTCCAGAGAGAGAGTGCACATTCCAACCATCTATCCCTGGGATTCCCATACGTAGGTGGGACTCACTGAAACCTCAGTTTGGTTTGGATACTCTTCAGCACAGCGATGGGTTTCCGCGTATGTCAGACACCCGACCGACCAAAAAAAACACCACTCCGACTGGCCTTTGTGACAAAGTCTTGCTCAGCCTCACAATCCTCTTTCTGCTCATGTTCGCCTCTTGTTGCTCATTGGCCGCTCTATTTACTCCCTTCAAACAATCATGTAGGAAAACTTCTTAGACTTTTCAAGTCTCCACATAACACTGAGGACTGATATAACTGAAATGGCTCCACTGCAATAATAATAATAATCCTTACATTTGATATAGCACCTTATCATGTCTTTGAGACATCTTAAAGCGCTTCACAGAATATACCATAAAGTGAAATGACTATATTTGTGGGGCTAAATGCAGCAGACAATTGTGCACAGCAATGTCCCACAAACAGACAAATTATTTTTATTTATTTTGAAGGAATTATTTATTACCCCTGAAAAAGTGATCCGTCAATTGACTAACAACCGGCTTCCTACTTACTCCTAGATAAACAGATGTGTGTAGTAAGGAAATTTGCCTAATGTTTTGCACTGCCCAGGAACCAAACCCAGATCCTCTAGCTTGCGAGGCACGTGCTCTAACCGCTAAACTACAGGACTCCAATGAAGTGTCCTCACTAACTGACCAGATTTTAGCAACTGAGAAAAAAGAATCAGGAATGCATTAAAAAATTCAGTGACCTTAGAGAAGGGTCTGCCAATCTTCAACTGCACTGACGTGCCAGCCTTTTTTCCATTTACAACAACAAAATTACATTTGTATAGCTCCTTTCACGTCAGGAGGACGTCCCAAGGCTGGACAGTGTAAAACAATTCAGACCCGAGCTGGGATCAGGGGGGAGAAGGGAGGGGAAGGGAGGTGACCGATGGCATGGTTGGAAGAAGAGGATTTTGTGGCGGGACTTGAAGGAGGCTAAGGAGGGGGCGAGGCGGGGGATGGAATTCCAGAGGTTGGGGGCAGAGTGGCTGAAGGTTCTCCCGCCAATGGTGGGGCGGGTGGTTTGGACGTGGAGCAGCCGGAGCCGGCTGAGTGGAGGGAGCGGGCAGGTTGGTAGGGGGTTAGGAGGTCTCAGAGGTATGGTGGGGTGAGGCCATGGAGGGCTTTGTAGATGAGGACCAGGATTTTGAACTGGATCCTCTGAAGGATAGGGAGCCAATGGAGTCGGGCGAGAGTGGGGGAGATGGGGTCATGGAGTTTGGTGCGGGAGAGGACACGGGCTGCAGAGTGCTGGCCTGAGGGTTGAGGTAGTGGCGGAGTCGGGCGATGTTATGGAGGTGAGGGAAGCAGGTCATGGCTTGGATGTGGGAAAGAAAAGACAGTTGAGGGTCGAACAAGACCCCCGGGTTCCTGACTGGCGGTGAGTTGGTGAGTTGTAGTGAGCAACCATGGAGGTTGATGCTGCCACAGCCTGAGGTGCGGGTGTGAGCTAATCAGGAGCCTCAGTCTTGTTCACATTCAACTGTAGGAAATTTGCCCTCATCCAGGACTTGACCCCCCCCACCACCCCGCCCCCTCCCCCTGACCCCAGCTCGGGTCTGAAATGCTGTACTCTGTCCAGCACCTTGGGACATCCTCCCGATGTGAAAGGCGCTATACAAATGTAATCTTTTTGTTGTTGTTCGTTGTTGATGTCCGACCGGAAATTGTCAGGACAGCAGTGGTCCTGGAGTTGAGGGTGGAGGTAGAAAGATAGAGTTGGGTGTCATCCACATACATATGGAAGTTGACCCCATGTCTGCGGATGATGTCACCAAGTAGATATTAAAGAGGAGAAAGCCAAGGACAGAGCCCTTTATGTAAATGGGTGCAGGAAGAATGTTCCCAAATGAATTCTTGCCTTGAGACATGCTACAGAACTTTGAGAATGAGTGTTGGCAGAGTGTACAGCTGCAGGGTGGAGTGATCGCAGGCATTGTGACTTGATCCTATCCAAGTACCTTTCAGATCCCCTCTGGATAGCGATCATGAAGTCTTCTTTTCTCTCTTATTAATCCAGAAGTGCCAAGCTAATTAAATCCCAACTGAGATCAGTAATTTAGCACAGACCAAGGACCCATGTGACATTATGTCTGTGTATATTAAACTATTGAGTGCTGTTTCAAATAAAGAGTATTTTCTTCTTGAATGCTGATTTAGTAAAGTGGATTAAGCTCAGACAAGAAAACTATTCTTTGTGTCACGGAGATAAGAATCCCGGTGCAGCCTGGACATCAGGCAGCTGAGTTTATTCTTGAAATGCAGACTTTTAGAACACATTAATCTCAGCCCATAGAATTGGAAGGATTTGAAATCCTGATTCAAAAATAAATTTATCATCAGTGGATTGAATTAAGTGATTCATTTAAGGTAATGGAAGCAGATGGGGGCGAGGCACTTATCTGCCTTGCCTCAACCCTATGCTCCCAACATGGAGAGAAATTTGTATGTCTGCCCATATTACCTTTACCATCTTTCGAACAACACTGATGTGTGATTATCTAACGTATTGAATCTTAAGGTTTGGGTTTATTGGTGTAACTGTTGACAGTTTCATGCCTGATGCCTTTCTAACTTTTCTTCCCTTTTCAGACGGGCCCCTTCGCCAACACCAGCACCTCGTTCATTTGTACCTGCTCATGCCCCTCCAGCTGGAGTTGCTCCTATATCAGCAGCTCCAAAGCAGCCTGGCATGTTTGCGCAAATGGCAACAACTGCTGCTGGTGTAGCGGTGGGTTCAGCTGTGGGGCACACTTTGGGTCACGCTCTCACTGGAGGATTTGGCGGAGGGAGCAACTCTGAGCCTGCAAGGCAGGACATCACATATCAGGTATGTTAAGGGCACAGTTGTGGCATGTGATAGATTGCAATGACTCAACAATGAATCATGGAGTGAATTTGCTTGTGTAATATCGCACAAGTTGCCCTTGGGCTTGGGGTTGTTGTACTATAGTTTTTAATATATTCTTGTACAATATTTGCAGTTAGTCAGCAACTTTTAAACTTGTATTTATCAAAGGGAGGGATTTCCTTATGAGGCAGTGGAACACTTTCACACTTTATTACCATCTCTCGCTCACAAACTCTCCTTTCTGTTCCCTTCTGCAGGAACCTGCTTCAGCTGCACAGCCCATGTACCAGCAGCAACAGCAGCAGCAGGGTACCTGCGAGTACGAGATCCGACAATTCATGGAATGTGCACAGAACCAGAATGATCTGAAGCTGTGCGAGGGTTTCAGTGAGGTGCTGAAACAATGTAGATTTGCAAACGGTCAGTGACTTGAGACTCTCTGATATTGTGAAATATAGAAGTTACACAAGTGGAAAATGTTTAAAGACTGGTGTCCTGGTTTACCCACCTTTTGAACATGGCCTCAATAATCAGCCGCTGTTATTTCATCCCAGATTTATACTGAGACAATGTGGTGCACTCGTGGTGAAATTGTCGAAGTGGGAATTAGACCTGATCCATCCATAAAAAGAGTGAATATCCAAATAAGTTATTCAGGTTTCTTCAGAATCCGCAAAGCAGTTCCAAGTCTACAATATGGGAGAGCTCTGATCTGAAACAAACTTCTTGCCCCCCCCCCACAACCCCCCATTGATGTAATGTTGGATTTATGCCACTGGGGTCCCTCAGTGAGCTGTTTGCCCTTGTGATTGCAGATTCACCTTTGTTTTACGGGGTTGGGAGGAGGGTGGGAGGAGCTGCTGGTTATACAGAGCTTTACTGAGTTGCTGCAGATTGTCTTGACATGTTGATCACTGCTTTGACTTTTCTTTTTGTAGGACTGTCCTAAGCAAATACTTTGAAGATTCCAGTTTCACTTGAAAATAAATAACAGAACCATCGAAGACTAGGATGTGGAAAATGTTTTCAAGTTAATTTATCATGTAAATTAAACATTAATTTACTGTATAATCTACTATTCTAAATGTGTCTAATTAATGAGATGCATTGTTTAGTTTATCACATTGTAGGAATAAAACAGATTTCAACCAGTTTGAGTTTGAAGAGCTGGGTTCATCATCTGGCTTGTTGAATGTTGCAAGTTTTGGGTAAAATGTTCAAAAAGTAATGGCTCCTGGTAATTATTTTTTCCATATGGACACAAATCCCAATTCATATCTTTCTCTTCATGGGAATGTTAATGGAGGATTGAAGCAGGAAGGGAGAGAGATGATCAAATATTAATCCTACATACTAGAAATGTTTCGTCCTCTCAGGTGTGGGGGGAGGTTGGTGTTTTTTGCTGTTCTTGTATTCTGAATCAAAGAAACTTGTTTTTTTTTAAACTTGGCTTTTTTCATCAAATGTTAGGGAATAATGTCACAGAGCAGCACAGAAAGGCCATTTGGCTCAGATTCCCAACCCATGGCTGCCTCTGGTTTTAATGTTATCAGAACTTTCTCGTCTTTCTCATTATCTTCATTTTATTTGCTTTATTACATCTAGGCTCAACTATGCCAACTCCCTGCTTGTCAGCTTTCCCAACTCTTCCCTCCACAAGCTGCAGATAATCCAGAACTCTGCAGCTCGTGTCCTCTCCTGCACCGGGCTCCACTGGCTCCCCATCCCCCGGAGAATAGAGTTAAAAATCCACATCCTCGTCTTCAAGCCCCTCCACGGCCTTGCTCCTTCCTACCTCTGTGATCTGCTAACCCCATATCAACCTGTTCGCTCACTCCACTCAGCCTGTTCCACACTCCCAACCACCCCACCATCGGCGGTCAGGCCTTCAGCCTCTCTGCCCCCACCCTTTGGAGCTCTATCCACAGTCCCTTCGCCTCATTCCCTCACTTGCCTTCTTCAAAGCACGTCTCAAGACCTTCCTTCGATTGAGTCTTCGGGCACTTCCCTGCCCTCCACCTCTCCTGATTCCAACCCCCAAATCCCTAATTGTCCAGCACCATGGGATGTCCACCTAACGTGAAGGGTGCTGTGTAAATTTAATTGGTGGTTGTTTGTTGTTCCCAGATCCACTGTCCCAGGTGCTCTTCCTCTCCCGGCATGGGAATGGGAGGAGCACATTGAGCCTTTGTAGGACATCACGACAGGACTACTGTAGTACAATCAAAGTCAATAAAATCCATTTCAAGAAAATTCTGGTTCAGCAGCTAACAGTAACTGTCTGTACCTCCGCCAGGAGCTGAGTCTAACCACATCTAACCAATGTGAGGGTGGGTGTTTTGTCAGTTATGTATCTTTATGCAGTTAAAAACAACATAAAATATGAAAACCATTGGCTTTATTGTAATGTGGTCAGATATTTAGGCTTTCTCTCCCTGCCCTTTTCCCATGCCGCTTCATCCCCCGCCCTCCTAATCACTTACTGAGAGCCTGATTGATTTTGATTGTGCAGCTCTATTGTCAGGGCATTCCATATTCTTGCAACTTCTCTGTGACACGGATTTCTGCATCCTCAAAATCCAGTGTGTCATTTTCTGCTGAAGCTGGCAGGACTGTGGCCTTTCCTACATCCTACACTACAGGCTTCGGCTCAGTTTGCTGTCACCTGACCACCTGTCACTTATTTTCTGTTCTGCTTTTGTACTGAGTGTCACCCTAACTGACTGTTACACAATACACAAGCTCATTTCCAGGAACCAATGGACTCCCAGCCCACAGCAGCCAATCCACCTTGGCCTGAGGCTGAATGAGTTCAAACATTTGCAGTGTAAACGTGACAAAGATTGGTATGTTACACTTACATTTCTAGAGAAATACCTCGATGACGAGCAAAACATTGGCTTTTTGGAATGTGGCCAAATAATTTTTCTCTTCTTTTAATGGATACTATGGGGAAGGAGGAGGGAGTTTTTACCTGTGTCCTGACCAACAGTGTTCGATCAAGCAGTGGGTAGGGCAGCCTGATGGAGCTGCAGTTTATAACCCAGGATCCTGATGGAGCCTGTAATCCCTCTCGTGCTCAGTTTGCTGGTCTTGGCCAGTGCTGTAGTTGGGGCTAAATTGGCCCTGGTCTTCCCAGGGGAACCGAGTCCTGGACTGGTTCTGTGTGAGTGTGGCAGCCACTTGGCTCCTGACAAACACATGAACAACAGCCCTCTGGAAGGACAACAGCATCTCTGGACCTCCACCACAGGGGCTGAGAGCAGAGAGGGCTGTGCCATGGATTAGCAAATTAAATACATGTATATAAAATATTGTTCATTCACCTCATGTCCGTTGGATTCTTTTTACCTCTGTCAAACACAACCGTCACTGTGGACAGTCATTACTGGAGAGCACTCCGAGGAGACGCTTTGATGAGGTTGGGGAGGATCTGTTGGGTGTCACTTCATTGCAAAGAACTTTCTATTTAGATCCAGAAAGAAGGAAGAGCACAGGAGAGGAGAGAAAAAAACACTGTAATTGTAGGGAAAGATGTAATGAGCGAAGGAAGGTGATCCCACTGGTCTGTTTTTGTATAAATTTTGTATAAATGTATTTAAAGTGAGTACAGGGGAACAGTTGACCCTCCGTCCTGTGGGCACTTCACCTTTTGGTGCGATCCTTTCCATAGATTTCCAAACAATGTTTGTGGGGCTCCGCCTGTGGATGGGATACTCGGAATTCTCAGCGCCCTTTGGGGACCGAGTGATGGCGATGGGGTTCCACAGGTGTCTCTGACCCCCAAAACATGAGCCGCTGCGATGCGCTCAAAACTCCTTCGCGTAACAGAACCCACTCTGTAAAGAGGAGTCGGTCACCACCGTCACAGCGGCACAGACCCGACATCGCTACAGCTCAGGGAGAGGCTCTGGTTAATCTGAGTCTGGCTCAGAGCCACCGCTCCGGCCGAGCCGAGCCGAGCCGAGCCATGTTTGGTCGCACTGCGACATCCGAGAGGGAAAGGCTGACACCCGCCCCGGTCCTGAGCGGCTTCACCCCAACTCCCGCGTCAGGAAGTGCTCTCAGAGCCCGAGACGGGGGGAGCGCTCGGCAGTGGGTGTGAGAGAGGCAGAGCCGCGGCACCGACAGAGGGACAGAGGGACGGACAGAGGGACACAGTGAGACCATCTCCTGCGGCTTTTGGTGTGAAAGTGGAGTGTTTTGCGTGTGAAATGCTGGTGATGCGCTCGCGATTACACAGAGAGAGAGAGAGAGAGAAGCGCTGAGTCCCGCATCACATTGCACTGCACTGACCTGAGACACAGATCGCCGCTCCACTGCCGTCTCCCCCCCCACCCCCTCCCCCCCACCCCCCGGGCACTGAGGGTTGGGGTGTTGTTAGTCGGGGGGGGGGGGGGGAGATGGGAGGGGACTGTAACCCCAATACCACAGCTTCACAGACTCGCACTTTGCTTCCTGTTTTTTGTAGTTTATTTTAAACGAATTTAGTCAAATTTAAGCTGTTGGGACCACACTCCCCATTTCCCCCTCCTCTCCCCCCCACACATACTGCCCCCCCCCCCACACACACACACCCCTCCCCCCACACACAGCCCCCCACAGACACACTCCCCCTCCCCACCCACACACAGCCCCCCCCACTCCCCTTTCCCCCCCCACACTCACGCACTCCCCCTCCCCACCCACCCACACACAGCCCCCCCACCTACACACACTCCCCTTTCCCCCCCCACACTCCCCCACCCTCACACTCCCCCTCCCCACCCACACACACACTCCCCTCCCCACCCACACACAGCCCCCCCACCCACACACACTCCCCTTTCCCCCCCCACCCTCACACACTCCCCCTCCCCACCCACACACACACAGCCCCCCCACCCACACACACTCCCCCTCCCCACCCACACACAGCCCCCCCCACTCCCCTTTCCCCCCCCACACTCACGCACTCCCCCTCCCCACCCACACACGCACAGCCCCCCCACCCCACACACTCCCCCTCCCCACACCCCTTGGTGTAGGGGGGGGTCTGACTGACCCCCCCCCTACACCCCCACACCAAGGCTCAAATGGCTATGGTTCTATCATGTCAAACCAGCCGGAAGACAGTAACTAATGTCCTGTCAAATTAGTGACTGTTTTATAGGCTGTGGTGTTGGAGAGATCTCTCTCTGGCTGAGAATGGAGTTTCTCTCTCTCTCCCTGTGTCCTCGCCAAAAATCCTCTGAATAAAATTGGTCACTCACATCGTGACTGTTTGTGGGGGGGGGGGTTCCTGCGCACAAATTGTGTTCATGTACAAAACACACAGTCACTACACTTTGCAGCCAACCGCTCACTCACAGTTTGGATTAGTGTCTACCTCTCTGCTTCTCTGCTGTTGCTACACCCATTTCTCTCCAACATCCTCTTGCTCTTTCAGGATCGATGCCAGGATAAGGCAGCAGCCAGTTCCCAGGAGAAGGAATGACCCTCGAGGATGACCAAGTGAATGAGGTTGGAGCCCAGGAATTTCACAGCAATTATGACCCGAAGGAGATTCTGGGCAGGTAACGTGTCCCATGAACTCACACAGTCTCCGCTGGGACTCCAGTGCAGCACTGGGGGGGGGGGGGGGGGTTGCATTGTCGGAGGTGCTGTCCTTCGGATGAGACATTAAGCCGAGGTCCCGTCTGCCTGTTCAGATGATGGATGTTAAAGATTCCAAGGAGCTTTCGAAAAGAGATGGGAGATTCTCTCTCGGTCCTGGTGTCCTGGCCAACAATCCTGCAAGTAAAATTGGTCACTCGTTATTGTGGGTCACTGCTGTGTGCAATTGGTTTGCCAACAAATACACAATCACTCCATTACACAGTAATTCCTGTGAAGCTACTTGAGATGTCCTTTGGACATGATAAGGCCCTACACCAAACGCAAGAATTATTATTAATAATAATAAATTATATTGGATGGAGATACAGAGGTGTTTTGTCACCTCCAATGGTAAAGCTGATCGGGAGAATAGGATAATACTAATTCTTGCATTTGATACAGCGCTTTATCATGTCTTTGAGACGTCTCAAAGCGCTTCACAGAATATTCTGTACAGTGAATTGATTGTATATTTTGTGGGTGAACACAGCAGCCAATTGCACACAGAAGGGTCCCACAAACAGTCGTGGATTGAAGTCGCCAATTTATTATTTTTTTGAAAGAATTATTACCCCCAGAAACGCGATCCACTAATCAACTAACAAGCAGGTTCCTACTTACTGCCAGGTAAACAGAGACGTGTGGAGTAAGGAAACTTGCCCAACATTTTGCCCTGCCAGGAATCAAACCCAGTTCTCTCGCTTGCGAGGCGAGTGCTCTAACCATTGAGCTACATAACCTCATGAGCTGTGACCGGGTGAGTGTGTGTTACAGGGGGGTGAGCAGTGTGGTGCGGCGCTGTGTGGAGAAGAAGTCCAATCAAGATTATGCCGTTAAAATTATTGACATCACCTCGGATCAGGTGACCCCACAAGAGCTGGAGGAAATCCGTGTTTCAACCGTCCTGGAGATCGAGATCCTACAGAAAGTGGCAGAGCATCCACACATCAGTACGTGTAGCAAGAGAGTGTGAGTGTGTGAAAGTGTGTGTGAGACTGTATGAGAGACAGTGAGTGTGAGAGAAAGGGAGAGAGTGTGTATGTATATGAGAGAGGAAGGGAATATGTGAGAGAGTGAGTATATGAGGGAGAGGGAGAGTGTATGAGATTATTATTATCTTACTAGAGGTAAGATAAGAGAGTGAGAGGTCAACCAGGTGGCTGACACATGCGGAAACCCATCGCCATGTTTAAGGTTCTCCAAACCAAGCAGAGAATTCCATGTATCCCACCTACACATGGAAATCCCAGAGATAGTGTGTGTGCGAGAGAGAGAAAGGGAGTATGAGTGAGTGAAAATGAGTGAGGGTCAGAGAGAGAGGGAGGAGAATGGGAAATGGAATAAAATGGTTGACAGTGAGTAAGCACCGCTGTCTGTCTTTGTGTGTTCCAGTCTCGCTGAAGGATTGTTACCAAACCTCAACCTTCTTCTTCCTGGTGTTTGACTTGTGAGTATCTCCCGTCTGCCCACCATCGTCTCTGTACAAAAGCGGGATTAACACTGACAGTATTAACCCCGATCAGTGTCTCACCACGCTCACCCCACGCAACACCCCCCCCCCTCCCCCCGCAAGAGATGTTACTTTACGTGAGAGACGCTGTATAAGTGCAAGTTGTTGTTACCAATTCCCACAAATGGGGAATTCTGAACGGGATTTGCCTGTGTATGGCTTTGGCTTTGCAAATCTCACAGATTGTGTATTTGGTGCTTGTGCGTTTGGTGTTTGTGATTTTCTTTTACCTCTGCGATAGTTTGTTATTTCAGAGTTGGTATCCGTTAACAACAGCTCCACTATTCAAAAAATCCAGCTCATTCGGAAAGAACTCTGCCGCTCACATACTGACTCAGACCAAACTCTGTACCCCCATCTCACCAGTTCTGGCCCAGGCTCCACTGGCTCCCCATCACCGAACGGATCGACTTCAAGATCCTCACTCTTGTGTTCAAATCCCTTCACTCCCTGGTACCACCCGAGCTCCCTGACCCCCCCAATTCCCAATCCACCACCCGACACCTTCGCTCGACCTGCTCGTCCCTCGCACGCTCCACCCCACCAATGGAGGTCGCGCTTTCAGCCACTACGGCCCGAAGCTCTGGAACACTCTCCCTCAGTCCCTCAGCCTTGCCCCCTCTCTCCACTTTTTCAAGTCCCGCCTGAAAAACTTCCTTTTCGATCATGCTTACGGTCACCACCTCCTCCCCCCGGCTCAAAGTCAGGCTCCGCCACTGTTAAGTGCTTTAAGACGCTACCCTGTGTGGAGGGCGCTATATAAGTACAAATTGTTGTTATTGAGTAATCTCCCACTGGCACACTGGTCAACTGTTTATATTCAGGCCACCATTGGGCTGAAAGGTTAAAACACTGAAAAGTGTGTTCACCTTTGTAATGTATTTATATGTGACTCTTTATGCCACTAGTGACTATCCTCCTTGATAGTCTGAACTGGCTCCAAGGTGACATGCCTGGCGATACAATGTCGGAATGGAGCCAGCCCTCTGGTTCCTGATCCAGATGGGTCCGCAGTACTCCAGGGCACTGCTGATGACAGCACAGCTCAGCTCATTTGCAGGACCTGGAAGGTTATCTCACTCAGCTCCTGTTAACCTTCCAAGCCAGAGCCCTAACGGGTAGATTGGTCCTAGCTGGACAAGCAGTGGAAATGCAGACAATATCAATGGCAAGCTATGTGGTTTTAGCTGGTTAGACTCCAGCAATTATGCCAACACACATTTTGGGTTCCCCCCGAAGCCTTGGCCCTGGCCAACCTGCGCCTAATAGTTTCTGGAAATAGGTCAGCAGGAAGCGTCCCTCCAGGGAGAGAGCGAGAGAGCGCACGCATTCCAATCCAACAATCTATCCCTGGGATTTCATGTGTAGGTGGGATGCACAGACATCTCAGCTTGGTTTGAATACTCTTAAGCACAGTGATGGGTTTCCCCATGTGTCAGACACCCGGCTTACCCCCAAAAAGTGCCAGTGTGAGCCAAAACGTTTTGACGTGTGTTGTGCTGTGCGAGCGTGCTGAAGGTAAGCTGATACTTGGGGTTGATATTGTGTAACTTTCCTCAGATGCAGTTATCCGCAGCCTTCTCAAAACTGCTCCTCACTAAAATAGCTACAGCTTTACACAGCAACATCCCAGCGCTGAACTTTGATATTTTCTATCGCATTTTTCTGTTCTAAAGGTTGCTGCATTGAAAAAGTACTCCCTCTCCCTCTGGCACTGACATATTCAAATACGCTCATATACTGACATACAAACACAGAAACTGACACACTCACACACACTGGGAAGGAAGCCATTCAGCCCCCATCTCCCCCAATACCTGGGATTAATTTTCTTCAGTATCAGGTCACTGTCTGGGCCTCTCGTGCTGATGGGTTTGTGTCGCAATGACTGTGGGTGAAACGCCCTGTAATCTCCCCCCACTCTGACCCTCCTGCTGACCCCATGTTCTGACTGACCTCAGTGGCAATAACCCATTTATTCTCTCATACTCTGTTACAATTAACACGTCTATAACAAGAACTCCTGACCTTTTCCGGTGACACAGCCTCAGCATTTCAGTGATCAGTTACCCGCTCTCACACTGCCCCCCACCCCCACTCTCTCTCTGGGTCTAGCCCACAAAATATAGTCATTTCACTTTACAGTATATTCTGTGAAGCGGTTTGAGACGTCGAGAAGACGTGAAAAGCGCTATATCAAATACAAGGATTATTATTATTAGAACCAACAACAAGTTACATTATTCAGCAACTTTCCCGAGCTGAGGGTTGGGATCAGGATGGATCTCCTGATCCATGGGCAGGGAGGGTGGCATAGGAGGGTGGCTGAAGGCACAGTCAAAGAGGAGGGTCTTGAGACAGGCCTCGAAGAAGGCGAGTGAGGGAGTGAGGCAGAGGGACTGTGGGATGGAGTTCCAGGTGGTGAGGGCAGAGAGGCTGAAGGCTGCCCACCGATGGTGGTCAGTAACATGACAATCTCTCCTGTTCCAGGATGAAGAGAGGCGAGCTGTTTGACTACCTCACCGACAAAGTCAGTTTAAGTGAAAAGGAAACCAGGTAAACGGTGCCAGGAAACAGTATGTTACACTTCGCTGTTCACTACACCTCACTGCTCGTTCAGTCAACAGTCCCATCACTTCAGGGGCTGGTTTCCCCACACTGACCTGTCTGGTGTGTGTGCCTGTGTTCACACCCTGACCGTCTGTTCTCTGTGAATGTGTCTGTCTTCACACTGACTGTTCTGTATGTGTGTGTGTATGTCTGTGTTCACACTGACCGCCTGTTCTCTGTGAGTGTCTGTGTTCACACACTGATTTCTTGTTTTCTGTCCGTGTGTGTAGGAAGATCATGCGAGCGCTGCTGGAAGTGGTGCAGTTTCTTCACTCCATGAACATTGTTCACCGTGACCTGAAACCAGAAAACGTCCTCCTCGATGATGACATGAATATCAAACTGTCCGACTTTGGCTTCTCCTATCAGCTCGCTCCCGAGGAGCATCTCCGAGGTCAGACCCCTAGCTCTCAAACACAACACACAACAATTACAACAACAAGATTACATTCGTATAGCGCCTCTCACATCAGAAGGACGTTCCATACACCTCATCCCCCTCACGCACGCCCCAATCACACACCTCCCTAAACCCAAGGGGGGGATTGGGGGGATTTTCCCCTGGGACAGGGTTACCAGGGTAAGGTGGGGGGCGGGGAGGGGGGGTCAGACAAGGCCACTGGGACTCATTGAAGAGACGTCACAACGGTGTAAAGGGATGATTGATGTGGGGGTGGGGAGATGTGGAAAGGTTCTGTTGTGACTTCAACTTGTTTCCTGCAGAGCTGTGCGGGACCCCTGGCTATCTGGCTCCCGAGATACTGGAGTGTTCTATGAATGAGGCACATCCTGGATACAGCACCCAAGTGGACTTGTGAGTAAGAGCGAGAGGTCGATACTGAGGAATGACAACTTATAATCATGTGTTTGTACACTCAAGAGTGTAACTATTGAGCTGTGTAATTGGTGTGTAATTGGCGTGTGATTGGCGTGTGCAGGTGGAGCTGCGGGGTGATTATGTACACGCTACTCGCTGGCTCGCCTCCATTCTGGCACCGGAAACAGATGCTGATGTTACGGATGATCATGGACGGAAATTACAATTATGATTCTCCAGAGTGGGAGGATCACTCGGACACGGTGAAAGATCTGGTCAGTGGGGAGGCTGTGAGCGAGGCTGATCACTGTAAACACTAATATATAATATAACAGACAATCCTCCAGAATCCAGTAAGATTGTGTTCCTCAACTCTTTAAAAGCACAAAAAAAAACGCAAGAGGATTGGAGTTCTAGGATTGGCCTCACCTTTGCTGGTGTTTTAAGTGGCCGTGTAACAAACCCTCCAATCCTGAAGAGTCTTTATTTATATAAAATCTTAAGCCAAACACAATACAATGCGTTGTGACGGGTGTTAAACCTCCCTCCCTCCCATCGCTGGTCATTTCACTCAGTTCAGCACTGCCACATCACCGGTCTCTCAGTGAACGAGAGCCAGAGTGACAGGAACCGTGACTTTCACACTCACTGTAACCCGTTTGCTTTATATTTGATGCACAGACAATTCATCAGAAGCCTCATTATTGATCTCCTAGAATCCCATCTGCCTGACTGACCGCCCTCCCATTACAACATCGAGCTGTTTCTTAAATTAACCCCAAATTCCTGACCCTCACCACAAACCTGTTCTGCCTCAATCATGAGACAGGTACAGGTGTCTGTACGGTCCCTCCGAGACATTGTAATTTCATCACATTTCATATTGAGATGAGATCGAGGGCTGGAGGTAGCGGGAGATGAGACGATATCGGCTGATCCGGACCCTGCACTCACACAGCTGCCTCCTGTCAGTCTCAAACACACTGAGCCAGCGACGGGGCTTGTTGTGTCCCCCCCCAGTTTGTGGTGACTCCTCTCCTGCTGTATCTTGTCCCCAGATCTCACACTTGCTGGTTGTGGACCCTGACAAGCGTTACACAGCGGAGCAGGCGCTGGCTCATCCCTTCTTCCAGCAGTACATTGTGGAGGAGGTCAGAAACTTCAGCCCGTACCGAAAATTCAAGGTGAGAGACGCAGCGTGTTCACTGGAGCTCAGAACTCCGCCGAGGCCCAGGCCTGGAATTCCTCAGCATATGAGGGACATGGAAACAGGAGGAGGCCATTCAGCCCCGCGAGCCTGTTCTGTCATTCTACTCGTGGAGTCCTGTAGCTCAGTGGTTAGAGCACTCGCCTCACAAGCGAGAGACCCGAGTTTGATTCCCGACAGAGCGAAACCTTGGGCAAGTTTCCTTACTCCACACAGAGCCTAATAATAATCCCTCCAAAACCAAAAACAATAATAAATTGGTCATTTTCGATCCACGACTGTTTGTGGGACGCTGCTGTGCACAATTGGCTGCCGCGTTCGCCCACAAATATACAGTCAATTCACTTTACAGTATATTCTGTGAAGCGCTTTGAGATGTCTAGAAGACGTGAAAAGCGCTATATCAAATGCAAGGATTATTATTATTTATAGATCATGGCTGATCTGTATCTGAACTCCATTTACCCACCTTTGCTCCATATCCCTCCATACGCAGACCTAAGCATTGCCGTGTGTTAGTCAGCAGGTGCCACCCTGGGTGTCATTTGGTTTCTCTAACTCCCATTTCAGAGCATCATTTGGACTGTGTTGGCCTCAATTCGTATCTACCACCATTACCGTCAGTCCAAGCCCATCAGCAAGGAGCTGTTGATCAGGGACCCTTACGGCATCAAGGATCTCCGCAAGATGATAGACGGCTGTGCATTCAAGATCTACGGGCACTGGGTGAAGAAGGGCGAGCAGCAGAACAGAGCAGCTTTGTTCGAGAACACTCCAAAGGCTATTCTGTTTTCAATAATGGCAGAGAGCCCATTAGACCTGCCCTAAGGCACAGGGCTGGCTCTGTGTGCAGCCCCGGCCCCTGGCGTTCACACAAATCTTCTCGTCCCCATGTAAACAGCCTTGAATTATTTCTCTTTTTTAATAAATTTGTCCCCGAAACTTATGAAAATCAAACTCAATGGCAAATTGTGCCTGTTATTTACTTACCAACTTTTAAGAGCGGGATAAGGCGTCATCGATCCTGACCTCTCACCTGCTGAACCCGATCCTCGGGCCATCACCCCGGTAGTGGGGGTGACTGCGCGCACACTGCCCAATCCCTAGCACTAATCCAGCAAAAACAGCAGAACAATCTGATCCAGTCTCTGTAGGCAGATGCAGTCTTTGTGATGAGATGTTAAAAGTGAACTCCTGTCTGCCTGTTCTCGAGGCTGTCATTAAAAAAAATTGGGCGACACTTTCGAACAAAGAGAAAGCAGTTTCTCCCAGTTTCCAGCCACTATTCCTTTCAGAACAAACTTAGTCATTCACCTCACTGCTGTTTTCAATCCAGGGTTGTGCTGTGCATACAAAGAGATCACCTCTCCCCTCTCAGAAGGCTCGATGTGAGACTGACCCACACAAACCAGCAATGGGAGGGTGGGGAAGGGGAGAAATTGAAAATCTGTGCACAATGCGATGACTTTTCAGTTTTATTTCATTTCTGTCTGTAAAATTACAAAATTAAAAGGTTTAAATCTCTCCGTAGGAGAAGTTCCTCCCTGTGCAGTCACATCCAGATCCTCACTCCTCCCTCTGGATGGCTCACAGTTCTGCTCTCTTTCCCACTGGGTGTTTTTGCTGAGCGGACACCTTGCTCGTGGCACAGCGAAAGCCCAGGTTATCTGAAGCCGAGTCTGGGGTGTTCCCCATTCTGTGAAACAAAGACTCGGTCTGAAAACACTCACAAAGCAACCTCTGCCTCGGCAGTCACAGTGCCCCAGAATGTACCAACATTCCACCCTGTGGCACAGTACAGGCACTGCACACACAGTTCCCTTCCCATGGGGTGCAGAGATGAACTGGAGGCAATTAGCTGGCTTGTGTCGGGAGGTTACGATTACTGCATCACAAGAAACTTAATTTCTAAACAATCCCTCGTTCACTTCATGACTGTTTGCGAGGACGTCACTGTGTGCGATTTGGCTGCATTCACCTACAAAATACAGTCACTACACTTGGCAGTATATGCTGTGAAGTGCTTTGAGGCTTCTTGATGGTGTGGCAGTGAAAGCTTCTGTATCAAATGCAGTATTATTATTATATTACAGAAACATCCCAGTGTTACTCCTCTTTACCATTCAGTTACTCTTACTATTAACTCTTACTTCCGGTTACCAGGCTGTGACTGATTAATTGCTCAGTTACCTGCTGGTGACACGGGCTCTGTGATTAGCAGACCCATCGGCCGTGTCCAGCCAGGACGCTCCGCGCAGGACTCGCAGACTCGGGCCATTGGCTCTCGCGGGGGAGCCCGGAGCCAGGTATTCAGTGCTCGTCCACTCCCATACGTTTCCCAGCATGTCGTACATACCTGGCCCCAAATCAACATACATCAGTAAAGGAACCAAGTGACATACAACACAGCGCAGTACAACAAAACACAGCACAACACAACTCATCACAATGCTTTTCCTCAGTCAGGGCTATGGGTCACTGGAACATAGGCCTGTTACTCTGTAAGTAGCTGAGGGAATGCTCACCGTAACTGTTCTGAGGTGGGAAGGCCCGTACAGGGGAAACTCCGTGATGCCCATCAGTTGCCGTGTCCCGTTCTGGGAATTTTCCCTGTTACAGAAAATATTTTATACAATAAATATATGCAACGAAGAGTCATCAACGCTGGATCAGACATAAACATCATTTATATTTAATATTTTAAAAGTTTCTTAAAGCTTCAGTACCTGCCAGAGATTTGTACGATTTGGCTGGAACTTGTTGCCCCAGGGGTACGTCCTGCCTGAAAACAGACAAAGTGCACTATTAATTCTGTTTCACTTCTCCTCCCACATATTGCACATCGCTAAGCCACAAATCACAATGGTGTGTGTGTGTGAGTGAGTGAGTGAGGGTGGTAATGAACGAACACCTTCACAGAGAGGTGGGAAGGGAAGAAACAATCTCCCCATTTCTTCATTAGTTATGTTTGAGAGAACAATATAAACAGGGAACCTGGAGACAGAACCGTTACAGCCTGTGAACAAAAGCTTTTCACTTACCGTCCAGGCCTCCTCGAGCAGCAAACTCCCACTCAGGCTCCGTGGGTAGTCGCTTCCCCAGCCAGGCACAACAGGCTAGCGCATCTGCCCAGCTCACCTGCACCACCGGCCAGTCCAGACGCTCCTTAATCCCCGAGCCGGGACCTGCTGGCTTAAAGTTATTGCAGTGTCACCTGATCAATCTGATATTCCAGCCAGCAGTTAGCACTTTCGCTCAGCGCTATGTAAAATCACCCGTCAGATATTATCCGTGAGACATTGTCACCGCATGGCCAACACACAGCAACACTTACATCTGTCGCTCACTGGCAATAATAATCCTTGCATTGGATATAGCGCTTTATCACGACTTTGATACGTCTCAAAGCGCTTCACAGAATATACTATAAAGTGAATTGACTGTATATTTTGTGGGCGAAACACGGCATCCAATTGTGCACAGCAGCGTCCCCACAAACAATTGTGGATTGAATTCATTATTATTATTTTTCGAAGAAATTATTATCCCCGGAAAAGCGATCTGCCAATCGACTGACAACTGGGTTCCTACTTACTGCTAAGTAAACAGGGGCATGTGGAGTACTCAAACTTGCCCGGAATTGAAGCCAGGTCTCTCACTTGTGAAGCGAGTGCTCTAACCACTGAGCTAAAGGACTCCATCTCTCTAAAGGGCAAACAGAAGACTGCTTAAAGTGGCAGGATATGTACATTTAGATATGTGTGTGAGGTCTGTATATGTATGTGACACTGCTATGTAACTCAGGGGATGAAAATTAAAGCTTATTTGACTGTGGACAGAGGTGTAACTGAACCACACCCAGGATACCAGGAGCTAATGAGACTTTCACTCATCATCACACTGACACTCACCTGTCGCCAGAACGTCTTCTCCACGGGCAGCCACCAGGGAGCAGACTGCAACAGAGACCAGGCGCCAGTGTTAGTCAACACATGCTGCACAGGAGCAGCCCTGAGACCTTGGCTTGATACTAACACACAGCTCCAGCTACCTTAACTGTTACCTCCCTGGATTATTTTCATTTGGGCTATTTGAGGACCATTAATATTAGAATTGTTCTGTTAACAATACCGTAAATTTATTTGATTTCTATCAGAAAATCCCCCCTAGCACCTTACCAGCACCAGCATGCAAGAATTCCTTTCCAGTGTATGCTAACTCCCTGCTTGCCTCACTGCGGAACAGGCTCCCTAGGGAGACAACAACAAGATTACATTTGTATAGCGCCTTTCACGTTGGGAGGACGTCCCAAGGCGCTAGTCAGTGTAATAGCATTTCAGACCCGAGCTGGCATCGGGCGGGGAAGAAGGGAGGGGAGGGGAAGAGGGGTGGCCGATGGCATGGTTGAAGAGGAGGGTCTTGGAGAGACGGTTGAAGCAGGAAGTGTTGATTCTTTCAAACACAGATTAAATAGTTTTCTTTTAGGAAATAACATTATGGGATATGGTACATAAGTAGTTTGGGACATATGTGCATACGACTGCCAGGGAGGTGGAAGGCGAACTAGATGGACCTTGGTCTTTTTTCGTTGGTCAGCATTTTGTTATGTTCTTATGTTCCCCAACTCTTGCCTCCATTGCAGACTATCCAGAACTGCAGAGCGTGGAGAAACTATTTCCACTCACTGGCGGGTGGGTTGGTAACCGGAGGACACTGATTTAGAATAGTTAAAAGATTAGGCAGTAATAGTAACACTAAAATAGTTGTTAAAAAAGAGGGGGGGGTGAGGAGAAATTTTTTCACACAGTGAGTTGCTGGGATCTGGAATGCATGGCCTGAAAGGCTGGTGGAAGCCGATTCGATAACAACTTTTAAGAGAGAAGTAGATGATTATTTGGGGAGGACAAGTTTGCAGGGCTATGGGGAGAGAGCGGGGGTTGGGGGGGGTGGCATTGATTTGGAAGCTCTTTTCAGAGCTGGCACAGTCACGATGGGCCGAATGGCCTCCTTCTGTACTGTATAACTCTATGAACTCTCAACTTGTGCCCTCTGCTGTAATATGCTTTGCAAACCTGTTCCAGCACCTCGGGACGTCCCACTGTGGTAAAAGGCGCTGCGTAAATGCAATTTGTTGTGTTGAGATCACACGTACAGAAGCACAGGATCAGCCGGGCTGCAGGACCGATGAGAGCCTGCAGGTGGCACTGCCCCATCACTCAGCAGCAGCTCCAGCAGGTGGTAGCGGTACTGCAGTGAAACAGAAGTGGGTGGGAACACACACACAGGAAAGGTCACCGACCTGAAACCTTAACTCACTTTCCTCTCTCCATAGATGCTGCCTGACCTGCTGCGTGTTCCCAGCCACTTCCGTTTTTATTTCAGATTTTCAGCATCTGAGGTATTTTGCTTTCTGCAGTGAAACAAGTTCCACTCTCGTCTCCACACAGGGTTCCTGACCCGGTTGACAGGCAAGTAACCTGGTTCACCGTGCTACCGATCCACTAGTTATTCTTCGCAGATGTGAACTTTTACCGTAAACATCATCCTGGTGTGAAAGGCGCGAAACAAATGTAATTTGTGGTGGCTGTTGTAAGGAGGGGTCTCCTTGGAGCTGAATTGGCTCCAAGGTGACATGCCTGGCAATGGAATAATAATAATCCTTGCATTTGATATAGCGCTTTTCACGTCGGGAGGACGTCCCAAAGCGCTTCACAGAATATACTGTAAAGTGAATTGACCGTATATTTGTGGGCGAACGCGGCAGCCAATTGCGCACAGCAATGTCCCACAAACAGTCGTAGATTGAAAATGACCAATTTATTATTGTTTTTGGTTTTTTGGAGGGATTATTATTAGGCTCTGTGTGGAGTAAGGAAACTTGCCCAAGGTTTCGCCCTCTGCCTGGAATTGAACTCAGGTCTCTCACTTGCAAAGCGAGTGCTCTAACCACTGAGCTACAGGACTCCACTACGTCAGAATCAAGCCAGCCCTCTGTAGCTGTCTCTAGTCCAATTCCTGAGCCAGGCAGGTCCGCAGCATTCCAGGGCACTGCTGATGACAGCACAACCCATCGGCAGGACCTGGAAGGGTAGACAGGTCACTGGGGGTAGGGAGTCATCCCACTCAGCTCCTGTTAACCCTGCAAGCCAAAGTCCTAACGGGTAGGGTGGTCTAGCTGGACAAGCAGCAGGAAAGCTTGCATGACAGCAATATCAATGGCAAGCTATGTTACTTTTAGCTAGTTAGACTCCAGCAGTACCCCAACGCACACTCTGGGATCCCCAAGCCAGGCAGGTCCAGGCAGGCTTTTGCCAGCCTACACCTAATACTTTCTGGAATTAGGTAAGCAGGACCTCCAGAGAGAGAGTGCACATTCCATTCCAACAATCTATCTCAGAAATTTGCATGTGTAGATGCAATGCACGGAAATATCAGCCTGGCTTGGATACTCTTTAAGCATGGTGATAAGTTTCCGCATGTGTCAGACACCCAGCTGGGCAAAAAAAAATTGTTGTAAAAGCCTTTTCTGCTCCTGTCCTCAACGAGTTAATAGGGATGCATAATCCAGATAGGATGCTAGCATATAAAGAGTTCATAGAGAAGTAATATGAACTTGAAACTTGTACTTCCCTTACAGTTTACAAATATTCTGCTCTAACCCTCTCACTCTACAGTGTCAGGCACATGTTACTGTACCTCGATTTTCTGTGTCACTTTCATTCTCAGTTCCGCCGAGACAAAGTCTTCAAAAACAAAACTCCAGCCGAAGGATTCTGCCTCAGTCTTGTATTTCTGGGATCTGACAAACTCTCTGTTTAGGAAGCAGAAGGGGGGGGGGATAAAAAAACATCAATCAGAGAATTCTGCCACCCGCTCGTGCCGCCTTCCAGTACTCCTGTGCCTCCCAAAAGCTTTCTAAACAACAAGAAGATTTCATTTATAGAGCGCCTTTCACGTCAGGAGGACGTCCCAAGGCGCTGGACAGTTGGGTCAGGACCCGAGCATTGGGGGGAAATGCTCAATTTCACAGCAGTGTAACAGTAACAACTGAGGTTTCCTCAGCAAACTATTGGGATGCAATTTGGTCTCTGAAATGCTGCTGACTTTGAGGAGTTGTTTTAAAGGCACTGCTGACCCCTGTGCCTCACCTGAACTCAGCGTTAGTGACGGGATGCACATCAATGGCAAATGGCTTCACGGTCACTCCTCGAGCAGGTGCCTCTCCGTCCCGGGCGTCGGAAGCATCCGTGCCCATGCGGAACGTCCCACCAGCCAGCTCCACCACACGCTGGTCTGAAAGCACCGCAGGCTGGGGTCAAAATGGCATTTGATCAGTAACAAAAACACCAATGAGGCCCGAGTGGCAGGTTACCCACCTTGGGAAGTCTCTCTAACCCAGCTCCAGGCACAAAGGAGAAACGATAACAGCCGGTAGTGTCTCATGTTCCCCTAGAAAATAAATGAGATTTTAATCCTACACAAAAACCCGATCATCACACACACACACACATGCACACGCAAGCCCCACCCCCCTCCCACCCCACCCCATATGTTCCTCCTGTCTCAGAGCACTCTCATCTCTGAGACAGAAAGTCATAGGATCAAACCCCCACGTCGGGGAATCTGAGACTCAAATAGTTTAAACTGACGCTCCAGCGCAGCACTGGGAGGGAGGAGCGTCGCATTGTCGGAGAGAGGCCTTCCTTTGATGGGAGACGTTAAACCTCACTCCCTCCTCCCCCCACACGTGTGTGGCCTCTCCGGGAGGACACAAACGGTTTTACCGCAGTGATGATGGGAGCGGGAAAGAGAAGGGACTTTCTCTCGCTGTCGGGGTGTCCCGCCCGACAATCCCTCACGGGTTAAACCGCGCGCGCGCGCGCGCTCGCTCGCTTCGTGGCGGTTCGCGGGGACATTGCTGAGCGCAGACGAGCCGCCGAGGCATTCACCCACAGACACACACACACAGTCACTACACCTCCCAGAGCTGAGCTCTGAGCCCCCCCCCCCCCACCCCCCACTGGGGGCTACTGGGAAATAAAGGGGATGATTTGTTAGATATTAATTCAGGGCCTGAGGCTCAGCCTGTAGGCCTCGCCCGGCGCCTCGGGCCCGCGTTTATTTCACAAAATGCCTCAGCGCGCACCTCCTGGCGGCCCGGGGTGTCCGCTCAGCGCCTGATGTGAGCGGCGCCGGGAGGCGCCGCTCACATCAGGCGCTGAGCGGACACCCCGGGCCGCCAGGTCCAGAGGCCCCCGTTACCACGACTCCCGCGCATGCGCAGACCTGAACCCGGCGCCACGTGTAATCCATTCAGTGACTCGCCGGAGTGTGGTTGGCGACGGCCCGGTGGCAGGAGTTGCCCACCTCGTAAACAACGGAGTACACGTGCACAGCGCCCTTCACGTCGGGAGGACGTCCGAGGGCGCTGGACAGTCGGGGTTTTTTTTTTTGGATCCCATGCTGGGTCAGGTGGGGTGGAGGGCAGAGGGTGTGGTGTGGCCAAAGAGGAAGGTCTTTAGCCAGGACTTGAAGGAGGCGGGGGGGGGGGGGGGGGGGGGGGTGGGAGAGGGGGTGAGGCAGAGGGATTGCGGGATAAGAGTTCCAGAGCGTGGGGGCAGAGTTGCTGAATGGCCAACAGCCAATGGTGGGGAGGGGGGCGCAGGAGCCCTGAAGCAGGCTGGTGTCTGCCAAGCAGCGGGAGGAAATGACCCATCTTGGTGCAAATATTATTATAACCGTGTGGCCAGTCAACAGCTTGGCTCAGGTGCCAGCAATCTTGCCTCTGAAGTATGTCGAGTTGGAATCATACTCCTAAGATGACACTCCAGTGCATTGGTGGGGTGTAATGTACTGACAGAGATGCCATCTTTCATATCAGAGCTAACACATCTACCTGTCCAGGAGGACCTTAAAGATCCCACTGCACTGTTCAAAAACAAAAGGGAGTTTTTCCCCTGACCTGGCCCATAATTACCCAAATAAAATTGTCTTTAACTACTTCAACAGAAGCAGAGGTCTCTGCGAACAAGCTGTTACCTCATGGCACAAATGCAGACTTTTATTAACCTTAGATCTTAAAATATTTATGCAATCAGCTGATTTACATATGTATGTACCTTTACTAAAGCCTTGTCTTTACTGTCAGACATTTTCTGAAATACAGTTCTATATTAAAATCCACTCAAGACATGTAAACCACTTGCAAAACAACTAATTTTATTCAGTGCTTGGATACAAATGGAAAACCAAGCCATTCAGTTGAATGTGGGTCAATACAAAATTATTCAAATAAATAACCGTGAAACATGAACACTAGTACTGCTGTGCTGCTAATGGATTAAAGACTGAAGTGAAAATGCCAGACTTCTCTGAAAACTATTATAACCAGAGAAATGGAAGCCTTGTTCACATTAGCTACACTTTGCTTTGTGGAGGAGTCAGGCAGAAGGTTGCAGTATAGTGGTATGCTGGATGTGAAGGGGCTAGAGCTGTTCATCCATAAAAGAATTCCATTTTTTAACTAACAATTTAGCCTTTCAAGGAAGACATTCCAGCTCGCATGATTTCATCAACCAGGAGGATATTGCTGGCAATCACAGTACTGAAAAACAGAAGAGATTTCACTATTAAGAGTGTTAGTTCAAAATAAATACTGTACTATAAAGAGTTTAGGTTTTCATCAGTTTAAAACAGTTATTTTCTTTGGTCACCATTTAGTTCATGACTTAGTTAAGACCCAAAAGTGACAGGTCTGGTTTACATTACATTGACACCAGCTACACCAATAGATATGCAGTGAAATGGGAATGGCAAGATTCATTTTCTAATGAAACTTACCATGAATGCAGAAGCTGTTTCTTGACATTATAATTGTCCCAAACACCAGCTTCTCCTGCTAACATTGGTTCACCTATTAAACAGAAGATAACGACATCAGTAACAGTTTCCTACTTATACAAAAATATGCAGAATAAAGAACTCAAAATCACTCCTTCCTTTTTTCACCAGGGAAGTGAAAGAGGATCGTTAAGGATGAACTAATGAATGTCAAGGGGAACTGTCCAAACCCTGAATGTAATAACACAAGTTTAGTTACTTTTAAGTGAAATATTGTAACACAAAAGCTTACCAGTGTTTAAGTCCACACCAACAAGTTGATGTGATTCAGAGAATTCAGTCTGAACCTTTACAAGAGTCTCCTGAGGATCATATCCAGAGTTTTGTGCAAGAATCTGAAACCAATAAGATTCTTAAATTAAAATCCTTCCATGTGATAAATCACTTATGGGGCATTTCCAATAACCCAAGACAACTGCAATCTATTATCTCTATCTGTACAGATGAAGACATTGGCAAATCAGTGTTTCTAAAAATCAGGCTCACAAAGTCCAAATCCCACCAAATACAACTTGGGTTACAACTTCCAACCATTAAGTAACATTTTGTCCTATTTGATCATTCTACTCTATGCTGTTGGGTACATTTCCCTTGCACTCAGCCTGGAAATAGAATGGCATTTTCTGTAGCTCAGGGTACAACCCAAGCCATTTTACAAGTGTGGCTGAGGCTGGCAATGGTACAATCCCCCGAATTTAAAATCAATACAAAAATAGTTCGTCCAGACACAATCCTTACCTGTCAAAGCTCTGGATAAAGAAGAAATAGCATTGAAAAATGTGAGGGAGACATGCTTACCTTAGGAATGATCAACAAAGCATCAGCGAATGCCTGTACTCCCAGCTGTGCTCTGCCCTTTATATTGGACTTGTGCTTGACCAAACCATCTGCCACAGCAATTTCAAATGCACCTGCACCTGGCACCACACAACCTAACAGGAAAGATTTTTAAGAATTCCCGATATCAGCAGTTATCAGTTTCAAACAATTCTAAACAAAATTCCAGGACATTAGCTTCATTTCTAGAAACCAACAGTTATATTCCTTCCTTCTCCCCATTATCCCCCTGATCTACCCAAGCTATTGTACCAGCAGCGAGAAAGTAGTACTTCAGTGCTCAAGCACTTCGCACCAAGGTTCAGTTACAAATTACAATTGTCCGTAACATTTTGTGCACTTACCATCCTCAATTGCATTTTTCACAGCACGAAGCCCATCACGCACAGCATCTTTGATCTGTGTTAAGGTGTGCTTGTTTGGTCCTTTGAGAAGCAGAGTCACAGATCTGGGGTTGTCACATTGCTCAATAAAGGTGAACTTCTCTTCACCCTGTAACAACAACGACCAGCTTTCATCACATTGCATTGCTACTCAGCCAAAACCTCCACAGTAACTGCCTCAAAAGAGAATATTACAGCCCTAATACTTCGTTCACAGCCCCAGTCACTCAGCAGGTCAGCGGCCTTACTCTTGGGGTTGGGAATTCACCTGCTGATGTTTTTAAAATCGACCACTGGAGAGCCAAACATTAATAAAATACTTGCATTTGATATAGTGCCTTATCACATCTTCAAGACGTCTTAAAGCGCTTCACAGAATATAATGTAAATTGAATTGAGTGTATATTATGTGGGCAAAATATGGCAGCCAATTGCACACAGCAGTTTCCCACAAACAGTCATGGATTGAGCGACCAATTTATTCCTCTTATTATTTTTGTTTTGAAGTAATTATTACCCCCAGAAAAGCGATCCGTCAATCAACTAACAACTGGATTCCTAATTACTGGTAGGTAAACAAAGGCGTGTGGAGTAAGGAAATTTGCCCAACATTTCGCCCTGCTGGGAATCGAACCCAGATCTCTCGCTTGTGAGGCGAGTGCTCTAACCACTTAGATACAGGACTCCACAATAAACACCTACCAATGTGTGTTCATAGACAAGTCCAGCATGCCCCAAACAGTCCACGGTGAGATCCTCCACAGAATTCATGGCAATTCCTCCACAGGCAAGTGTCAATCTGAAATAATTAAAGTAGCTCTGTCAAAAATGGTTTCATACCAGCAAACACCCAGCATTTTGCATCAACCCAGCTCTTCATTATAGACTACTTATCAATTATATTTAGAATTAACCATTTTCTAAGAGTTTTAGATTCACCTGAAGATTTATAACAAGTTCAGACAAAAGATTAGCTGTTTGTAGGATAACTATTACCAGTCTGAATGTGTTGTGAAGATGGGAAATTGTACTTTCAAGTTCGTTGGCTGTGAGCAGCTCTTTGACAAGTGCCACATGTGTAGCATATTATCAAAAGAATATGGTTTTCATAAGCTTCACTTGATTTGAATACTGAAACTACAAATCCTGGTTGATTAGGTATGTTAAGAAAAACAGCTTTTTGCAGATTTAATGCATCACCATTAGAGAAGGAATGTCTAATCAGACCCAATGAACAATTCACTGAAAAAGATAAATTAAAATAAATGTTGCCCAAGGGCATAACACAAACAACACTATATTTATAGAGCGCTTTTCACGTCTGGAGGACGTCCCAAGGCGCTGGACAGTCAGGGGTCAGGACCTGAGCAAAGGGGAGGGGTGGGGTAGGGGTGAGGGAAGGCAGAGAGGTGGGAGGGCGACTGAAGGCATGGTCGAAGATGAGGGTCTTGAGACTGGCCTTGAAGGAGGCGAGGGAGAAATCGAGGCGAAGGTAACTGTGGGATGGAGTTCCAGAGTGTGGGGGCAGAGAGACTGAAAGCCCGGCCACCGATGGTAGGGCGGGTCGAGCAGGAGACAAGGAGCAAACCGGAGCCCGCTGAACGGAGCGAGCGGGCAGGTTGGCAGGGAGTCAGCAGGTCAGAGAGGTAGGAAGTGGCAAAGCCATGGGCGGCCTTGAAAGTGAGGACGAGGATCTTGAATTCGATTCTCTGGGGGATGGGGAGCCAGTGGAATTGGGTGAGGGTGAGAGTGATGGGGTCACGGAGCCTGGTGCGTGAGAGTACACGAGTTGCAGAGTTTAGGATGATCTTCAGCTTGTGAAGGGAAGAGTTGGGAAGGCTGATGAGGAGGGAGTTTCCATAATCGAGCCTTGATGTGACGAATGTGTGGGTGAGGGTTTCGGCAGCCTGAGGGTGAGGCAGCGGCAGAGTTTGGCAATGTTGCGGAGGTGGTGGTAGGCAGTGCCGGTCATGGCGCGGATGTGGGGGAGAAAGGACAGTTAAGGGTCAAACAAGACACCCAGGTTCCTGACTGGCTGTGAGGTTAGTGAAACAAAAAAGCACATAATAAAATACACCGCAAATACATTCTGTCCAACAGCTTGACATCACTTCACTAACCTCTCCATGTTCCTTCTCTTCGCTCTCCGCAGTGCCACAATGCCTTCCTTTGCAAGAGCATCTAATGATAATGGATCAACACCCTGCCAAGCAAGATTAAAGGTGGTCACAAGGATACTCCAGGACAGCCCCACATTCAGCAAGGTTTGCTTAGCTCTACTGCCCAGGGCAAATATTCATCACATTACGAAGGCGAAAGCTAGCAATGCCTGGAATTCTCTCTGAAATGGGTGACAATTAGTGTTGGTGGATTTCAATAAGGGTGAATGCTTATAACGATGTGAAATCATACATTGGAATATTCAACCTGCATCAAAACCATCCTGCAAACCAATCACATCTCCAGGCTTTCCTCTTCAAATATCATTATAACAAGGGGTAAACATGAGAATGATGGGAGAGATAATTGTCACAGTTGGCAACTTTCTTAAGATAAGGTTAAAAAAAATAATGAAATGTTGTAAACCAAAATACTTGCCTTTTGGTTAATAACTACAAATCCTTTACTGGAGTCACCGCAGGCTTTCCTCTTCAATTCTATAATTTTACTAATTCGATCTTCAATAAACTTTCTCTCAGCTTGCACTAACTTTTCTCGTTCGCCAGCACTTTTGTAGAAGAATCCCGAGTTTACCTCTCTGAGGTGAAATGAAAAACAACTTGTGATTGTTTTGCACAACAAAGTCTGCTTAACCACATACATGTGTAACCACGTGTAAACTTGCAGCACGGTACTGATGCCCCATTCAACAGATAAACAGTTCTGAAAGCCGCCCATACATACGTCTTTTCATATTCCAGGGAAACATTGCAGGTAAGGATGAATGCATCTTCTACTCTTTTCTTCATATCTGGATGACGAGCACCATGATCTAACACTAGCCCTCTCACCAGTCTGTTGGGAAGGGGAAAAAAGCCAGTTATATTTACTCTCAGAGGGAAAGAACCTAACTACACAACTTCAGCCAACAAAACATTACTTTTTAAAAACACTTCCTTTTACAGGTGATTTAGTGCTGCACATTTTTGGTGTTCCTAATGGTTAATAATAATAATTGCATTTGATATAGTGCTTTTCACGTCTTCTGGATGTCTCAAAGAGCTACACAGAATATGCTGTAAAGTGAATTGACCGCATATTTGTGGGCGAAACGCGGCAGGCAATTAATAATAATAATCCTTGCATTTGATATAGCGCTTTTCAAGATGGGAGGACGTCCCAAAGCGCTTCACAGAACACACTGTAAAGTGAATTGACTGTATATTTGTGGGCGAACGCGGCAGCCAATTGCGCACAGCAATGTCCCACAAACAGTCGTGGATTGAAAATGACCAATTTATTATTGTTTTGGAGGGATTACTATTAGGTGTGTGGAGTAAGGAAACTTGCCCAAGGTTTTGCCCTGCCTGTAACTGAATCCAGGTGTTTTGCTTGCAAGGCGAGTGCTCTAACCACTGAGCCTCAGGACTCCACAATTATTACTCCATAATGCAAGCAGCAGACAATATTCAGGTGACCAAGCCTCTCCCCACCTAGATCAGACACTGAAGCATCTCTGTACCCAAATGCAGATTGAACTTAAGCAAACTAAAAAACCAATTCACCTCCAGTACAAGAATCCCAATAATCTTCTGAGGGTCAACCATTAATCTAGTCATTTTACATTTAAGACCTAGCGAAAATTGTATTCACTGAATGAAAGGTGTTGCCAAAACAGACAAGGCAGAACCCTCTTGCTAAACTCAGTGAGGATACTATAGCATGGTGTCTGACTGCATTAACTAAGGAAGAACTAATGCAGAATTCGCTCATGCCTATCATGTCTTATATCAGGGTTCAGCTGGCTGATCACTTACGTGGTGTCACTCTCAGATTTATGCTTCATCTCCATGATCTCAACCATGAAGAGATCAATGGCTTCCCCTGGTTTCTTTATTGCCAGCACAGCATCCACTACAGCCTACAATAGAAAAAGCATTATGTCTATGCAGCACTGGAAGCAATATCTTGTTCAGAGGAAGAAACTTGTCAATGCCCCTTCAATCACAACCATTTAAAATTTCAGCAATCTTGGCAGTTAGAAAAATAATTTTTAGCAAATACAACATTTTACCCCAACCCCATGAAGACTGGAGAATGAACATATGGGAAAATGCTCTGTTCACGTATTTTTAAACAGCCTTGTTAAAGTTACATTAGCAATTATATTGGAAGACTTGTTTTCACCTCCTAAAAAGTTCGTAACAATTATCCTGTAGCCAAACATACCAATTAGCACCAATAATGAAAATGTCCGATTGCAATAACCAAAGGAAAAGCTAAAGTAGAATTTGGTCATGCTCAGCTAATATCATATTTAATAAGGCGCTCTATAAATGTAGTTTTGTTGTTGTTGATAAACATCAAATCCTTATTGGAACCAGAACTCTGTTATCGATTCTGTAATTAGAATTTTCAAATCGAATACATATGGTTAACAGATTAATTTCTTAGAATTCAGCTTCTAGCACTGACTCTAGCTTTCTCACACGAGAAAAATGAACGTCTTTCTGAGAGTTGTTGTATCGGGCTCCCCATCCGATTCCAAATAAGCCACAACAGAATGAAAGGAAACAAAACAAAAACTAGGTTCGGTTTCTCTTGAACAGCAAAAGTGTATTTAAGACATACAGAGAAAGTGAGTAATACAGGAACAAATAGCAAAATCATCAAGTACCTCTGTTAAGATATCAGCCAATTCCTTGTGAACCTTGGTGCGTAATGATGTCCGAGCAACATTGAAGAGAGTCTCTCGATCCATCTCTTTGGTCACTTTCACCTGCTCCAGAATCTCAAGTGATTTCTCTTTAGCCGCTTCAAACCCTTCGGCCACAATCCTGGGATGGAGACCCTAAACAGATATGAAATACGCAACACTCTGAAAATAAGTTGTCTACAGAACCTGTATGTATGTACATCAAATCCTTATTGGAACCAGAACTCTGTTATCGATTCTAGAATTAGAATTTTCAAATCGAATACATATGGTTAACAGATTAATTCCTTAGAATTCAGCTTCTAGCGCTGACTCTAGCTTTCTCACACAAGAAAAATGAACATCTTTCTGATAATCAAACTGCCACTGACATGGCTTACGGCGCAGAGTAACCAATGTCAGCAGTGACTCACAGAAGTTGGACATTTTTCACGTTGCATAATGCAGTTGATGAAACATTAGACCATGATAAAGTGGGTTCCCTGTACAACTGAAAAGAATGGTGCATGAACTCAATGTGAAGCACAGATTCAAGGAGAAAATCTTCCAATAGGCTCAGCCAAGCAGTGCATTTAGCAAATGAATCATTGATGGGTCTACAGGAGTAAATTCTGAATCACTTGCTTCCAATAGCAATCAAATACAAGCAAAGTTGTAAATTATAAAACTAATATATGAATATATTCTTTACCTCTGAAATGTAAAGATCAGCTTGTTTCAGCAGCTCCCCAATAATCAGCACATTGGAGGTGGTGCCATCACCTGTCATGTCATCCTGAGCTGTGGCCACCTTAGCTATCAAGGAAGCTGTTGGGTGTTGTATTTGCTGCAAGAGAACAGTTTTGACTCTTGAATATGATGAACTTGGAAACATCAATAACAAGTTATTTCATCATGTTTTGTTTGGCTAACTAGATATAGAGAATACAATTACCTTTCATTAATAAATTCCTAGATGTGAAATGCATTACAAATGATTGTATTGCCTATTGCTTCTACTGATCGTTTCTAAAAACTTAGTCAAAGTTTTCAAAGTTTACAGTTGTTGTTTATGAATTACTGCAAATAACACCATTCCATTTTTAATTATATTCCAATTTCTGCCCTTTCCATCGTACCTAAGGAGAATAACGTTGAGATTTTAGGTTACATATGGTACTTACCATCTCATGCAACAACACGTTACCATCTTTAGTGAGCTTGATATCGCCAGCACCAGACACCAGCCTGCAGAAAGCGATAAATAATAATAATCCTTGCATTTGATATAGCGCTTTTCACGTCGGGAGGATGTCCCAAAGTGCTTCACAGAACACACTGTAAAGTGAATTGACTGTATATTTGTGGGCGAACGCGGCAGCCAATTGCGCACAGCAATGTCCCACAAACAGTCGTAGATTGAAAATGACCAATTTATTATTGTTTTGAAGGGATTATTATTAGGCTCTGTGTGGAGTAAGGAAACTTGCCCAAGGTTTTGCCCTCCGCCTGGAATTGAACTCAGGTCTCTCACTTGCAAAGCGAGTGCTCTAACCACTGAGCTACAGGACTCCTAAAGCCAATTGATGCGAAGTAAATTTAACGGATGCTTAATATTTCAAAACTATCGAAAGTTTTCGTTATGGCTACTTTGACAAATATTACTTCATTCCACACCACAAAACTTTCTAAATTCATCTTAGCAAAAATCAGTTCACGCCTCTGATAGGCGGAGTGCGGTTGCTGGCGGCTCTCATGCTGTTCCGCTCGTCCTTTGTTGCTCTCAGTCCCAGAATTAAAATGTCCACTTGCGGTCAGATCGCTTTTACAGGACAAGTCAACGTATTCGGGTAACCGAAAAAAATGCTGTTTATTACCAAAGAGAATAAATCAACACAACTTTTTTTTATTCTTAAAAATCTTCAAAAAATATATATATATAAACGAGAAAGGTTCAAAAATCGAAAGGCAGAGGTTAGTTGAACCGGTGTAAAACTCTCGAGTTTAAAAAAAAACGAACCTTATCCACTTTTTTAAAAAAAAATCCGAATTACAATAAAGGACCAAACGTGGCCTAAATAAACGGCAAAATCGTGCCTCAAAACGGTGACGAGCGGTAATTTTCCGCCGCGGGGGGTGGAGGCGGCAATCAGCCGCCGACAAGTAACTTCACATCCGAAATTCCCAACTTCGTTTTAAATGAAATAAACGTTTAAAACGGCCCCACGTGCGGACAGAGACAGACAGACAGGCGCCGCCCCTCCCCTCCCCCAGCCCGCGCCCCAGCCCCTGCTTCCCCGCCGCCGCTAGGCCGCAAAAAAAGCCCGGCCCGACTCCCACCCCCTCACGCTCACATTTTCATGGTGCCCTTAGGCCCCAGGTTGGTTCTCAACACATCCTGCAGACCGCGGGCCGCGCTGATGTTCACGGCCAAAGCGGCCTGAGCCCTGGCCACCTCGGCTTTGGGGTTTAAGGATTTAATCGCGGACATAGCGGTGTGAGGGCTTCAGCGGCGGCAGCGCGAGACAGAGAAAATGCCGAAGTCACTGCGCCTCCAAACGACCGTCACTCTGCAACCCAACTTAGGCGGAACGCGCACAGCCCGCCTCCGGTCGCATTGATTGGTCCCTGCTCCGCCTCTGTGTGGTCAGATGACACGTCAATCAGTTGCGCCTCTTCGCACCCTAACCTGATTGCATGACCCGCCTTCCACGCGTCCCTATTGGTCTGCGGCACCCGTTCATTAGAGGAGGCTCGCTTTCTAATTAGTCAGAATAGATGTCAATCACTGGTGGGTCGTTCCTCCCCCCCCACAACACTGATTGGTTCAAACCCGCCCAGTAACTGGCGCCTCCGAGAAACTTCTGGAAGGTCTGTGCGGCGGGAGGTCAGGGCGTGCACAGGGCATGGCAGCACGGTGTGCCCCCAGGAGGGGCAGCAGGAGGCGGTTGGATAAGTGGTCGTTAGTGCAGAAATGGTTAGGATTTAATAATAATTGATTTGGGAAGAGGATGGAGTTGCTCTCTCCCGGTGTCCTGGCCCACAATCCCTCACATAAAACCCTCTCAACTCAGTTTACGGCCGTCTGCAGACTTTGCTGTCCCCAAATTGTCTGCCGCGTTTCGCCCACAACGTACACATTCAACAACAACGTGCCTTTATACAGCGCCCCTCCCGTGGGGTAGACTCGGGAGTGCTGAGTCCTCTCGGCACAGTGGGGGACAGTGGAGTCCTGTGGTTGGAGCACACGCCTCGCAAGCGAGTGACCCGGGTTTAATTCCCGGTCAGGGCGAAACATTGGGCAAGTTTCCTTACTCCACACACGCCGCTGATTACCGAGCAGTGAGCAGGAACCCGGTTGTTAGTCGATTGGCGGATTGCTTTCCTTTAATTCCTTAATAATAATTATTAAGGTAATAGTTCCTTTAAAAAAATAATAAAAATAAATTGGTCACTTAATTCATGACTGTTTGTGGGACACTGATTTGTGCAGTCGGCTGCTGCATTTCACCCACAAAACAAACAGTTATATACTGTGAAGTGCTTTGAGACGTCTTGAAGACGTGATAAGGCGCTATATCAAATGCAAGAATTATTATTAAATCAAAACTTCCCAGTAATAGCCGACTCCCAAGAATCTTCTGCAGTAAAGCTCTTTGAAGCATCTTGATGACGTGATAAAGCGATTAAATCATGGGGTGGTTTAGGTTGTATCTCTACACGAGATAATAATAATAATCCTTGCAGTTGATATGGTGCCTTATCACGCTGATGAGATGCCTCAAAGCGCTTCACAGAATATACTGTAAAATGAATTGACGTTATATTTTGTGGACGAAACACGGCATGGACCTCAAAGGGAGAAGCACTGTCAGATACACAGCCCTAGCTGGTCAAGCAGCAGGAAGCTTGCCCAGATAGTGCTCTTAATGGCAAGTTATGCAGTAAGGAGGAACGACCTTGAACTCTTAGTCAATAGACTCAGACTGGTTTACCCAGTCAGGGAGGCGATCCATCCGATGACTTGATTAAGAGATTGTGATGCAAGGAATCAGGTCCATTCAGTCTTTTGAATGTAATCTTGTTGTTATTGTTGACAGGGTTTGGGTTGGGAGTCAGGGTTGCCTCCAGTTTCCCGGCTGTGGAACAGGATTTGGTTTAATTCGGTTTATTGAGGGTGCATAATAATAATAATCTTTGCATTTGATATAGCACTTTTCACGTCTTCTAGATGTCTCAAAGCGCTTCCCAGAATATATTGTAAAGTGAATTGACCGTATATTTGTGGGCGAAATGCGGCAGCCACTTGCGCACAGCAGTTTCCCACAAACAGTTGTGGATTGAAGTGACCAATTCATTCCTTATTATTTTTTGGAAGGAATTATTACCCCTGGAAAAGCGATCCACCAATTGATTAATAACCGGGTTCCTACTTACTGCTAGATAACCGGAGGCGGGTGGAGTAATTTATTTGACCGACATTTCACGACATTGTCAAGAATTGAACCCGGGTATCTCGCTTGCGAGACAAGTGAGCTACAGGATTCCACAATTTGGACAAGGAACCAGAGGGCTGCATTCAGTGCCTTAAAGGAGAGGGGGAAGGAAATAAAAAAAGACATCACGTTTGTTTCGTTGGCATAGACTAGTTGGACCCGATGACCTGCAGTTTCTATGCCAACACTCTGAATTAATTCTACTGCACTCTCCCCCCCCCCCCACTTTTTTTTAAACAGGACAACGTTATAAAATAGGGTCCACCAGTGACTAAAACGAAAGTAAGATTTCAGTTGTAATAATCAAACCATTCCAAAAACTTCATTCATTTAGTGAGGGGTCTTAGCAACTGCTGCGGGAAGGCACCACTCGCTCATTGTTCCCTGTGCTGTGTTACTGAGGTCGGCGTCAAATGACGTGTTCCCCCGTCTCCCCTCCGGCTTTGTACACAGAATAAATCATCTTTAAAAATTCATTCGCCTGATCTGCAGCTCTGCGGCAACAGCAGCAGCTTTGCATCTTCTTTGCATTTCAAAGATTTTAAAAATATATTTAAGTAAGCGACAAAGCGAGGGCGAGGGAGGCAGTGTGTGTGTGAGTGTGTGTGTCTGTGTGTGAGTGAGTGTGTGTCTGTGTGTGTGTGTGTGTGAGTGTGTGTGTCTGTGTGTGTGTGTGTGAGTGTCTGTGTGTGTGTGTGTGTGTCTCTGGATGGGTTCGTTGCTTTGCCCACATACCGACTATTTAGGCTTCTGAAGTTTGCAGTGCGAGACGGTGAGTGCTTCAGGGTTATTCCTGCTTCTGCTTCTGCTTTCTGTTTGATCTCTGACACGGAATGGTGGCTGTTCGGTGATGATGTGTTTATATGTTTGGGAGAGTGTAATTATTTACTGATATCAATAACTTTGATTTTCCTTTTTGGGAAGTTTGCTCTCAATTCAAATGATGCAAGAACATGGTGAACAAACATCATCTTCTTCCTCTCTCCCTTTGCCAAACTAAACCTGGAAAACATGCACACAAGACTGAAGCCTAAACTGTTCATTTTTAAAAAAATAATACAGTAAACTGGGTTAGAGATTTGGGGAGGATGGCTTTCAGCTTCTGTTACTTTTCTTTAAACTGCGGGCAACGTGACAGATGGACTGCTAATTGTATGTAAAGGTGTATTATATTATAATCTATGGTTTCCCTAACCAACAACCAGCGCATTTTGTGCAAAATCTGTGCAAAACGGCCACGTTTCAGAACATGTCAGACGAGCCTTTATCAGAGCAGTGCTCCCACCAGCAACAGTTTCCATTTAGCATTGAGACCATCAACTTCCAATACCATGGTTTATTTTCCACACTAAGAACTGTGTATAATATGTATGTAATATAATTGTATGTCATGTCATTTCTTGTTGTTGCTGTTCGCATCTTGTTTAAAATCTAAATGTAACGTGTCTTCAGATTGCGCTGAGCATCACAACAACAACAACAAGATTCCATTTATAGAGCGCCTTTCACGTCGGGAGGACGTCCCAAGGCGCTGTACAGTTGGGTCAGGACCACACACAAATTGATTTTTTAACCCTTCACTCTTCCTGCCGTGGTCCATTGGGAACTGACAACCGTTCACCTGAATACTCTTTCTTCGTTCAGTGTGTGTATTAGAGGGAGGGAAGCCAGTCCAACCAACCTTGCCCTTTCCCAATGCGCACTTGCCCTTTCTGGGGCAGGTCACTGGTTAGTGATTAGGAGGCAGGTCATTAAGCTTGACCTTCATGAGCTGCCAGACATTGCTCCCACTCCCTGAGTGACTAAAATACAAAACAAGGGAGTGTTTTTGTTGAAAATGTATATTTATTTATAAATATAATATTTGGTACAACAGAAATCTGAAACAAACACAAGTACAGTATCTTCTGTTCCATTTTTCCCTTTCATTTAGGAGTCCTGTAGCTCAGTGGTTAGAGCACTCGCTTTGCAAGTGAGAGACCTGAGTTCAATTCCAGGCAGAGGGCGAAACCTTGGGCAAGTTTCCTTACTCCACACAGAGCCTAATAATAATCCCTCCAAAACAAAACAATAATAAATTGGTCATTTTCAATCCACGACTGTTTGTGGGACACTTCTGTGCACAATTGGCTGCCGCGTTCGCCCACAAATATACAGTCAATTCACTTTACAGTGTGTTCTGTGAAGCGCTTTGGGACGTCCTCCCGACGTGAAAAGCGCTATATCAAATGCAAGGATTATTATTATTATTCCGTTCTTTACATCAATTCCTTCACAGGTTGTATGCACTTTGTTTTGGGACGCTCCCTTTAAAACAGTCAGGATTCGTCCCTGTGTACACCACATCCATATGTCTGCCTGAACACGCTGATAAGGCCTACATGCCATTTTCGGAATGCGCCTCGATGTGTACCGTACGGGTATATGTTTACCGTACATACATTTTTGGGAAGCTCTTTGGTTACATCTCCAGGGTCCATCTTATGTTTATTTCAGTCAGTTTTGGGTTCACTCATGGGCTACCGGGTGGGTGCACCCTGAGCGGTTTGTGCCGGAGCGGCTCCTGACAGGGTCATGTCCCATCTGGCATTTGTCGCTGTTGAGCCAAACTTCAGCTTGTTCCTCAATATATATATGATCCTAGCGTGCACGAGCCTGAGGCAGGAACTCACAGTACCCTTGTTCTGCCAGAAGAACACCTGGTTTTGGGAATGCCAAAGAGCTTCCTTTACTGAGTTTATGATCCTCCAGGCATACTCGATGTCAAGGTATTTTTAAAAATATATATATTTATTTATAAATATAATATTTAGTACAACAGAAATCCAAAACAAACACATCTTCTGTTACAATTTTTTTCTTTTCTCCTGATACAAAAACACATTCTGTTATTTACGGTACATTCGTTCCCCGCACACAGGTTGTACACACGTTTTTTGAGACGCTCCCTTTAAAACAGTCGGGAGTCGCCCCTGTGTGCACCAGATCCATGTGCCCACCCGCACGCAGCCTGATAAGGCGCACTTCGGAAGGTGCCCCAATGTGCACCATTTGCGCACATATTTACTGTACATACATTTTTGGGACGCTCTTTGGTTACATCTCAAGCATCCTTCTGTGCCGTTACTGAAGTCAGTTTGGGGTGCGCTCGTGGCGGGTTGTGACGGAGCAGCCCCTGCCAGAGTTATGCCCCATCTGATCTTTGCTGTTGTTCAGCTGAACTTCAGCTTGTCCCCTAGTGTATAGTCCCTGATCCTAGTGTGTGCAAGCCTCAGGCAGGCCCTCACCATCCCCTTGTTCTGCCAGAAGAACGCCTGGTTTCAGGAGTGCCAAAGGGCCTCTAATATTCTCCAGTAAGTATACCTTGTACAAGGAAGACACCCAGTTAAAACAATAGTTATCATTTGGGATCATAGTCTGACACTCTTTGTCATAGGTGCATTATTTCAAAAATATGTTAAACCAAGATTGTGTCTGCCTGTCCAGGTAAATGGTAAAGATCCGTAGCTTTATTTGAAAAGAGAACGGAGTTTCTCTCAGTGCCAATAATTTCCCAGATAAAATTAGTGATTCACTTCATGGCTGTTTGTGGGATATTGTTTTGTACAAATGCAAATTGGCTGCCGCATTCACCTACAAATATAGTCATCACACTTTTTGGTAAAATCTGATGACATGATATGGCACTATATCAAATGTAAGGATTATCATTTTCTTACAATCTGATCAGATTATAAAATGCTTGTAAAGCTGCTGGGAAGATTTTCCCCGCAAAATCCTTGTATGTTTCTGTGTATTTATTGCCTCACAAAAAAAGATTGTGAAGGTGAGAAAGCTATAAACAGTGATTCAAAATTAAGGATTCATTTTTCTTTTTAGGTTCAGTTACCTTGTGTTATACTGTACCTATTTGCTGTATTGAGATTTTTGTTTTTTTTCTGCAGGAAGAACCACAACAAATGGCCATGCTTGCTGAAACAAAAGAAACCTTTCGCAGTGCTGATGCAGTATGTTTCGATGTAGACAGCACAGTGATCAAAGAGGAAGGGATTGATGAACTGGCGAAATTCTGTGGAGTTGGGGATGCTGTGGCAGAAATGTAAGTGTTTGGATGTCTATTTGTTGTGTGATATTAAAGGGGATTCCATTGTGGAGCTTGGTCTGAAATCACAAAGGTACTTGAGCTCTATTAGTACATTTACTCACAAAACTTTAATCATATCATACAAGATATTCGAATCTCTGTAGGCAAAGTGTAGTGACATAGTACAACCGAATATAGATAAATAGGCATCCAAATTCTGAATCCAAAGATGAATTTTGTGTCAGGTGTGTTTTGTAGTATGATAGCTGTTTGATGTGTGACAACGTTGCTGTATATGTTGTGCCTTTACTTTTAAAGGAAAGCAGTAGTGCCTCAGTATTTTGAATCAGATTGTTTTGTCTCACCAACTGAACATTTTTCTTTCTTTCAGGACTCGGAATGCAATGGGAGGCGCAATCCCATTTAGGAAGGCGTTAACGGAACGTCTCGCAGTTATACGGCCTTCACGAGAGCAAGTGAATAAACTAATAACAGATCACCCTCCTCAATTAACTGAGGGCATAAAGTAAGATAATTCCTAATCATAAAAAAAATTGTGCCATTTGTTAAAAAAATACATTTTCTCTTCCAACTTTCCCTCTGGTTTCTTCTTGCGATGTTGATGGTTCGGTACAGCTTTCATCCCTGACTGAATCTATAAATATATTTGGAGGCAGATCCAAGGACAGTGGGCCTGTAATCCGCAGTCCTATTGGCCTTTCTGTTGCCAATACCATTAAGTGGCCATTTCATTTTAGCCCCAACTGTCCATCCCCAGAATGTTTGCACTCATCACCAGGGATTGTTACAGAGCAATTCAAAGCAGGACATTTTTTTTTTGCTTCTCCCTAGCAAGAGGACACTGAGGCAATTGCAATGGCCCATTCTACTCAGCTGATGTCAGCTATCTTGGCCTGAAGCTAGGGAGGAAAGCTGCTTGGTGTGTCTGTCTCTGTAGCAAACAACATAATTATTTCTTCACTGAGCTATTAAGGGAGCAGAAAATGTAATAATGAATATAATCTATCGTAGGGAGGAAAACCAAAGCACAGAATAAGACGCAGAAACTAAAAAGAAAGGAAAAGATTAGTGATGGAAAGAATTTTTACTTTAAAGTTTCAGGTTTGTTAATCTGCTAACGTTTAAATATTGATCCTGCAAAGCATTGAACTATTGTTAAACTTATGTTTTTAACCAGGGATCTGGTAGATCGGCTTCAAAAGCGCGGAGTACAAGTTTTCTTAATATCTGGGGGATTTCAGTGCATCGTGGAGCACGTGGCAACAAGAATCAATGTTCCTCTGACTAACGTATACGCAAACAGACTCAAGTTTTACTTTAATGGTAAGGATTCAGACGAGGGGAGTTAGCGATTGCTTGGGCAAAAAGCTTTTGTCTCATAAAACTCAAGAAAGAATATGTAAATTGTTGTATGTTTCTACAATCTCTCCTCTCCAGTCAGGGAATGGCAGTGGCATGCAGCACTGCTACTAATGCTACACTTTACAGTAAATCTTGTGAAGTGCTTTGATATGTCCTCCCCACCTGAAAGATTATATATCAAGTGCAAGGATTGCGTTGTATATTTTATTATTCGCTGCCCTGATTGACTGATTGGAGTCCTGTAACTAGTGATTAGAGCACTCGCCTTGCAAGCAAGACTACTGGGTTTGATTTCCGGGCAGAGCAAAACGTTGGGCAAGTTTCCTTACTCCACACGCCTCTGTTTCCCTAGCAGTAAAGAGGAATCCGGTTCTTAATCGATTGGCAGATTGCTTTTCTGGGGGTATTAATCCCTTCAAAAAATAATAATAATAATTTGGTCACTTTATCCACGACTGTTTGTGGGACACTGCGTGTCCAATTGGCTGCCACGTATAACCAGAAAATACACAGTCAAATATATACTGTACAGTATATTTTGTGAAGAGCTTTGAGACGTCTTGAAGACGTGATAAATTGCTATATCAAATGCAAGGATTATGATAATAATAATCCTTGCATTTGATATTATTATTAGCTAATTCAGCAGAGACTGAGGATCAAATTTGTGACTGTTGTTCTGAGTGGCTCAGTTATTCACTAGATAAACATACTGCTGCGTTGGAGTTGCTCTTGGGTTTGAATGTCACGTGACTTTATTGCAGGAGAGTACGCTGGGTTTGATGAAACTCAGCCGACAGCTGAATCTGGTGGGAAAGGCAGGATCATAAGTCTGCTAAAGGAACAGAAAGGCTTTAAGAAGGTGGTTATGATTGGAGATGGAGCGACAGACCTGGAAGCATGTCCTCCTGCTGTACGTATGGATCTTGGACATTTCTTCATTGTCAGACACCGTGCTAAATAATAAAGACGTTATTTATGTAAATTTCAGCTTAAGTGAAGCTCACTCTGCTTCCCTATTAGGCTGATTATAAACTCATGGGCAAATATCTTGGGGTCAAATTCCTCTTCTCACTCAGTGTAGTGATGATATATTATAATGCAAATCCTCAATATAAAAACTGCCACACTGAATTGCAAGGAATTTTAGCCTAGTATCTGACTTGGTTTACGGAGTATCTTGTTTTTCTGGTCTCTTAGGATGCATTCATTGGATTTGGTGGGAATGTTATCCGACAACAAGTGAAGGACAATGCCCCTTGGTTCATCAGCAGCTTTAAAGACATACTTGAAGAGCTGGAAACAAAGGTTTCACGTCAAGGACAGGACTTCACACTTTACGCAAAGTGAAGAGAAACACATCGGTTCTCTAGTTTTTCTGTTCATTATCATTTTAATTTTAAAATTTTAAACTTGAAAAGATATAGACTAGTTTCTTTATGACCTCACATAAAATGTACTGTATGCAGAAATAGCCACTTTGCCCCATGCTGTTATTTTTAAAACCTCCCAGTTCCATGGTTGATCTCTTCCCCAAAAGCCTCGGGCTAATGGACTGTGTGATTCCATTCATGCACAGGGTTCCCAATGTTACTTTGAAATCTGGAACTCTCTCCCCCCAAAGGCTGTAGATGCTGGATCCATTCAAATTTCCAAGACTGAGTTGGATAGATTTTTGTTAGGTCAGGGTATCAAAGCATACAGGGAAAATGCAACTAATTGGATTTGAGGTACAGATTAGCCATGATCTAATAGAATGGAGAACAGGCTTGAGGGCTGAATGGCCTCCTCCTGTTCCTATGTCCCTATATTTCTCTTTATTACTAGCCAGGTACAATTTTCCCACACCCCAACATAAACAGCTCAGTTTGGCCCAATTGTTGGAGCATTAGACTTGGGCTCAGGAAGTTCTGGGTTCAAACACTGTGGGGTCTGCTCAGCCCTTCATCTTCTGGAGGTCAGTTTAAAATGAGTTGTTTTGTGTGTTGGAGGAGTTACACTAGTCTTCCTGATACACAGTTGGTTTCAAGGAAATATGATTGGCAAAAGCAACCAGGTCCTCAATAATCCCGGCCGTTGACCAACCTGGCGTTTGCATCAATAAGACAAGGACATGAAGATATGTCCTATCCTGTGGAGAATCCTGGTACAAATCTGTTGGTTAATATGGTGGTACCTAACATGTAGGCTTGAGAATATCTTAATTACTATCATTAATCTTTATTTTTATTTTTACCTCCAAGATTATTGAGAAAGTCTGCTACCTGGAAACTTATGTACACACTGTCAACTGTATTTATAATTGTGATCTGTTGTGCTTTTAGCAAAAAATAAAACTGCTGCATCTAAATGCAGCTGATTGTAGATTCCAATTTTGAAAACATTTTATTAACTCAACTGACAATCCTGGTTTGGAGTCTGATTTTAAATGCTATTCTTTACATCAGGGCCTGTGTCTAATCTAATAATAAACATGGAATCAGTATTAATAACGTACATACACACTGTAACTGCCCAACCAGAGCTGGAAGAGTAGAGGTCATGGACTAGAGAAGAGGTCATGGACTAGAGAAGACTGCATAGGCAGGCTGAGCGAGACCATGGAGGGATTTGAAGACAATATCTTAATTCTTTGAAATACTTTGGGAGCCAGTGGAGTTCGCTGAGGAAAGGGTAGTGATTATGCAGAGCCTATTGAGGCGAGAACTCAACTGGAGTCCTGTAGCTCAGTGGTTAGAGCGCTCTCCTCGCAAGCAAGAGACCTGGGTTTGATTTCCGGCAGGGAAAAACGTTGGGCAAGTTTCCTTACTCCACACACCTAATAATAATCCCTCGGAAAAAAAACAATAATAGGTCACTCCATCCATGACTGTTTGAGGGACGCTGCTGTGCGCAATTAGCTGCCGCGTTTTGCCCCCAAATATGCAGTCAATTCACTTTACAGCATATTCTCGGAAGCGCTTTGAGACGTCTAGAAGATACGAAAAATGCTACATCAAATGTAAGGATTATTATTATTATTACTCAGGCTGTTGAGGTCTGGATCGGTTGGAACTCCTGGAGAGTGAAATCAGGGTAGTTGGAAACATCTACGCTTAGAGGAGGGCATGGCAATGTTCCAGAGGCAAAAGAAGGCAGTCCAGATGTGTGTGTGTGTGTGTGTGTTGGGGGGAGGGGGGGGCGTCATCTGAGAAAAGTACTGCATATTTTTCAAAGCCTTTGTGACACAAATTGTCAAACTGCTACTTGTACAGTGCAGAACATCAAGATTACATTCGAAATAAAACAGTTTGTTGGATTCTCTGATGTGAACAATTTTATCAAATACAAATGAACAATTGGAGGAATTTGGCAGGTTAGCGATGGAAGTGGAAACAAAGTACAATCGTGCGCTGCATCTGTGTGGATAAGGAAACCAAGAACATAAAACTGACCATTCCAGTCTGGGTTGATGGAAGTTACAGCAATACAATTTTAATCAAATATAACATTTTCTCAGCAGATTTATTGTATAAATGTTGCATCTTACACATGCAACGGGGAACATTTTCTGCTGAGTAAAAATTTTGCCTTTTTTTGTCAAATCAAGAAATTCAGGGCAAACAAAATTGATTCTAGAACCACGTATATATCCCCCGTATTATCTAATCTAAATTGCTTTTTTGTTACTAAGTTTCCACATTGAAGCACAGGAAACTTCCAGACCATATAAATTACTAAATATTACGGCACAAAATTGTTGCATGCAACAATGAGATAAATGATCAATTAATCTGATTTTATTGATGCATTTATTTGAGAGGAATGTTAACCAGGACACCAGGGTTTCTTCTGTGCTGTCATTTTCTACAGTTCTATCTCCGTCTTTTTGTATCAGCACCGTGAGATAGACCTATACAAGGCACAAAACCACAACATTCTGACCCAGAGGCCAGAGATTTACAAACTAAGCTTTACACCACAAGATGCAATGGATTGGAGTTGGAAAAATCAGACTAAAGTGCACAAGGACAGGATGAAATGTGACAAGCGACAGAATTAAAGTGATGAAAATAAGAAAATGAACAGAATCTAGATGTATTGCTGAGATAACAACAAATTACATTTGTATATTACCTTTCACATCGGGAGGATGTCTCAAGGCACTGGGCAATTAGGAATTTGGACCGAAGCGAGTGAAGCGAAGGGACGATGAAATGGAGTTCCCAAGGGTGGGGACAGAGGCTGAAGGCCCGAATGCCAATGGTGGGGTGGGTAGGGCGAGGGACATGGTGCAGGCTGGTGGTGCCCGTGCAAGCGACAAAGGGTGAAGGGATCAGTCATTAGAAGATGCATCTCCTCGTTTTAAATCTTTGGCACGCAACACCATGTAACATGGGACCTGATCGGAATAAGCTTTACGGGTTATGCTTGGAATGTTCCCCATGTTATAAAGATTTAAGATACTTCATTTTAACACAACGCGCCTGAATAATTGGACAACACCCCGGGACAGAACCACACGTATCTCCAGTAATTTAACATCGAAAATGCAATTTCCAGAGGAAATGATGAGATCACCTTGTGTAACGTGTGTGGGCCTACATTGTGGTTCTCAGTACCGAGCATGTGAAATAGTTGCAGGATTAGGAAAAGAAATCGCTTTTTTCAAATTTCAATGTCATTGCAATGCTATGCGGCAAAGGGTTGTGGGGTCAGATGTTCCAAGTTGCAGGAAAACACTGAGTGACTTGAGCAGGTTCCAATATCAGGCAAGTTTTATAAAATCTCCAGTTATTCATTAAATTGCGGAGGTTTCAACTTTAAACCAAAGCTTCATCGTTTAGGATTCCGTCGGACCACTTCTGAGTTCAGCCGGTCAGTTTCTGGGTTTGGTTGACACAGGTTTTGTTTGTTTCTTTCCTAAAAATTGTATTTTTTTTCAGCGTTTGACACATGTTGATATTTGCTGACTGAGGACAGCAGTGAAAGTTGTAATTACTGGAGTGTTATTTATCTTAACTGATGTGCAAGGTTTTGAGAATATGTTTAACTTAGAGGCACCATTTCATTCAATATTATTTTAACTGAAAAGTAATTAAAACATTTGTATTACAGTAGTTAATTATTTTATTTGGGAATTGAGTTAGGTTAAGTTAATTATCAAGTTTCTCATGTGGTTGAGTAGAAGCATTGGTCTAATTTGAAACAGAACGTTAGTAATAGTAATCCTTACATTTGATATAGAACCTTATCACGTCATCGAGACGTCTCAAAGCGCTTCACAGATTGTACTGTAAAGTGAATTGACTATATTTTTGAGGGCGAAATACGGCGGCCAATTGACATAACGGTGTCCCACAAACAGCTATGGATTGAGTGACAAAATTATTGTGACTAGTTATTTATAGCCTAATGTTAAATTATAGGTATCGGTGCTTTTAGATTCTGATGGCATTTTGAAAAGCCCAGCAGATTGTTATGTTGTGTAATTGTGTCCATATTTGAGCTAAGAAATATGGGATAGAAAAGTAGAATTTCTTTTTCCTTTAAGTTGTTTCTCAGTCTCCCAAGCTGGCAAAGATTCCCTCTCCACCATTTCCCTCTTTGGGGAGTCTGTCTTTAGAACATTGCTTCATCTCACACTGCAATGATCATTCGGTGTTTAATGAACAGCCTGCAGAAGCAGTAGGTTTCCACCCTGGAAACAATACTTGAAACAGCTGGGTCATTCTTTTTCAGCCACTAATTGAAGACGGTGCAGTAATTACAAGGACGTCTTGTGATTTTTATCATGAATAAGTGAAGGCATATGACCTTTCCCGCATACTACTTGTCCTAACTGCCCTACTTGCAAACCACAGACCATTTTAAGTTGTTTTTTTATTTGAAAGTTTACTTTGTTTTTAAACATTTCTTGCAAACTTGCACCATTCTCACTGGAATTACTGGTGTATAACTTGCAATTTCCTCACTCTGGGCTGATGTTACCCTCAGCTCGGGGGTTGAGTGGATTTCATTTTCTAACTTGTGACCTGATAATAATAATCCTTGCATTTGACACAGTGCCTTATCATGTCTTCGAGACGTCTCAAAGAGCTTCATAGAATATACTGTAAAGTGAATTGACTGTATATTATGTGGGTGAAACGCTGAGAGAAGCAGAAAGATGCACTGTCCCATCACCTCTGGGAACCTGGGCTCCAATTTCAAATTGCAAGTTACTGTGAACACACCAGGAAGGCACAGTGGCAAAAATTGCTGTGCATGACAACATCTCACATAAACTGGTAGAGAAATTTGAAAAAGCGCTAAATGAAATCATCTTTGCACTTGAGGCAGCCCCTATTAATGTCAGACGATTGCTGTCCACTGGGTAAAGGGATTTGTGAAGGCAAATGTGACAGCCAATCTGCACCAGGAGAAACTCTTTTCTAAGTAGCATCATATTTGGCATCTTTAATGCCGCCTGAACAGCCAGATAGGACTTTGGTTCAACTCTGCATCTAAACTGCAAACTAATTTTAAGTGCTTTAACTTCCCCTCAACTTCAGGTTTACAGAAAGTGAGCGACACAATGCTGAAGATTACCCTAATCAATCCCTTTGTGTGGTACTCTGGCATCCAGAGCTGCTCGGGCTACTATCTCATCACCACAAAGCCCAAACCTCTGCCTCAACCTCGGTGGAATCAGGACTTACCGAGTGGTACAAAGCAGGAGATCACAAACACGAGGCAGGCACTGATTGATGCAGTGCTGGGACTTTACCAGTGTAAGCCATCGCTGGACAGAATGAAACATTACACAGCAAACATGCAGTTTGAAGACCCTATTGTACCGGTCAATGGCTGGGACGTGGTGACCACAATTTTCTCCGGGGGAGAATCATCAGGCACATGGTGGAGTGGTACGGGATTCCTGTGTTTACCACTGAAACCACGGGCATTTTCGTGGGCAACTCTACCAGGCTCATTAGAGTCTTCCACGGGAAGCTGGCTACTTTACTGCCCCAGTACAGTGACTACCTGTATGATATGTTCAAACGCAATAAATAAGAGTAATCCTAATAATAAAACGCATCGCTCTTTACGTCCATAGTTCATGCCTGCTCTAAGCAGATTTTAGCTGCACTTTTAGGTGAATCAGCAAACTGTTGCAGCTCACATTTGTGGAACATTAATTCTATGTTGCTTCATGTTCTAGCTGTTCTGCAGAGGTAATACCATTTGAGGAATGGATTTCTATTGGTGTGTGTTGTTAAAGCTGTGCTGACCTCTGGCCATTTCAGTTTATGATCCTGTATTTTATTTTAAAATAAAATTATTGCTGTATTTGTGACAGTGTATTTTAAATGTTCTTAGGTAAAGTTGAATATTTCAAACCGGCCAGTATGGCACTGCTGGCAAGTCAGCATTTTACACGTTGGACACGGTTCATAGATTCAATCACTTAAAGGATGACTTTAGATGGATTTGCCAGTCTCTGGCAGTTTTTATCCTGGTTTAGCTCATGAACAGGTTTGTTAAAGGACCTGTCAGCATTCAATTGCACAGATAAGGCACCCCACAGGTAAGGCACCCCACAGACAAATGTTGCAAATCGTGTTTATTTCAGGCTTAGTGGCTAGTTTAACCTGACTGCCACGCAATGATATAGAAACATATTTTCTTAGGTGTTTAGGATTTGCTGAATTCTTGTAAACTCTAGAAACAATACATAATGGTGCCATTTTAAAAATAAGCACAGGACCAAACTGGATAAAAAAATTACAGTGTTTGTAAAGCTTACATTTTACACAGTGATTGACCATGCATCACTGCAGCAGTATAGAGCAACAGCAAATCACAAGAGAAACCTGTATACTTGGACAGGATTTGACACTGAAGTCAAAGAATGGAGAGCATTGAACTTTCAGGAGTAAAACCTTCCAACTAAATGATTTTATTTAAAAAGTCGTTCCCTGACTGAACCTCACACTTTTAAAATTCCGAGAGCAAACAACACATTCACTGTTAAAACGGGGAGTGTCCTGGTGTCAGAATGCTGGGAACCTGCAGTGACCCTGTGACAATTCTGAATCTGTCCCTTTCTTTTATTGCCTTTAAGCCAAAGATCGGAAATGCCCCACCACAGTGGCACCTCTCGTGGGTCAGGCCATCTGAATGGAGGGGGAGACAAACAGTGAAAGGACACACTCAGGATTGCCAACCAGCTCAATATTGATACCTCACTACAAAGGATCCAGGAAAAGTGTAGCTGAGTAATTTGAAGATTTAGTTTCTGTAGTGTCCACAAAGGACTTAAGATATATACCTATTTCAATCATGTCAAATACAACTTCACGTCAGTGACCTGCTACTTATTGTTGAGTCTTGGGGCAAAAGACAAGTCAGCGCCTTGGTTTGAAAAGTGCCGTCTTGGTATTGAGCTCACTGAAGTGGAGACGTTTTTCGTGGGATCATAATCCTGGAGTCCATTTGCTGGATGAGTGGCACTGTGTAGAGAGACAGTCAAGTCAGTAATTACTTCAGAAGTAAAAAAAACTACGTAGAGCATCTTATCATATCAAAATCTCTTAAAGAGCTTCATGAGTAATTACTGTCAAGTGCCTGTTTATTCAAACGCGGATGCAATTTTGTGCATAGCAAGGTCCCGCAAACAACCATAAGAGTAAATGACCTGATCTGAAATGATTTTCCCCAGGACAATCGGAGACAAAGAGTGTAAGAGAAGAAGGCGTAGATAGAAAGAGAAAAAAAAGATGCATGTGCTTCATTGCAAATCCAAGGAATAAACTGGTTTATGCCAATTTTATCAGAATGTTTAATTCTGATAAAAGAATCATTGCTGCAAGTGGTTTACTACTGGACCTGTCTGGCACCTTATAGCACTGAGCTTTGTTTAGCAGGCCTAAATGATTAATAATTTTATAAGAATTGCAGAAAGGATGGAACGAATACCTGTATAATATACACATTCATCCCAGCCAGCCTTCTGCCATGCAGCATTTCTTGTTTCATCTCTCGTCTGCAAGTCCTTATAAGCTTAAAAACAGATAAGACACAGCACAGTTGAAATAGTCAGTTAAAAAATGACAGCATAAGACCTAAACCTATGACACAGAGCAATATAGTAGTGATTATATTGCTATAATACAAGGTGCTATCCATTTTTCTATCTATCCCAATTTAAAATCTACCTCTATGACCATGCCTATGACCACCACCCTCCACCCCCCATCTCCGAGCCGAACTCCGCTATTGTGAAGAGCTTCACGACATTATCCAACTCAAATGATAATAATCCTTGCATTGCCTTATCATGTTGTGGAGATGTTTCAAAGCTCTTCACAAAATATACATGAAAGTGCACTGAATGTATTTTGTGGGCAAACTATAACATCAAAATGCATCAAAGGGCTTCCCAGATAACTGCTGTGTAATGTAATGACTGTGTATTATGTGTAACTGGTTGATGAAGACCTCTTACCCCACAGGTGGTGCACCATGTACAACTCTCCGATCTGGGAGAAAAACCCGCCAACGGCTTCATTGTTATCCTGCCGATAGCGAATGGCTCGGGCCCTGGGGACACATCTCAGGTCATCGAGTGCCCCCACACACACACACAGTAAAACACTAACATAATAAGGTGCATTCACTGATCAGAGACAATTACGGCAGATGCACAATCAACTAAAAAATTAATGTCGTATCAATGCGGGATTTGTGACAATTTGTCAAAGAGAGAGTAGCGGGGGGGGGGGGGGGGGGGGGAAGTAGAGAAGAGTTGAATTGGGTCATGAGGTATTTAAATGCCCATTACCCATTTCAAACTCTCACTGAAACAGTCATGCACTGAAAATGTTTAAATTCTTTCTGCATTTATTTCATGGCCTTTAGAAAACAATATTTTAAAAAACAAATTTGTAGAAAAATATTTCCCCCCCAAAACAGAAAATTTAAATACAAAATAAGTAGAGATTGCCTGAAAGTTAAAATCATTTCTGAACATGCAGGATTTGTGTCACTCCATAATAACTATTATAATCAGTTATGCATAAATGAAAAGATCTTTGCATCGATTTGATGCTTGGAAGCACTTACAGTGTCTGTAAATTCTGTAACACACCTTTATTGAGCGGAGACCAGCTCACAAAACTCAATGATTTTCAGCCAAATACCTTCCTCACACTTAACAGAAGCAGCTGCAATATAAAACATAGCACTTTCATCCTCACAGACGTACAAACAAGGCAATGATTTAGTTTGGAATTCAAACCGTAAGGAACCTAACCCCGTATTTTATTCAAATCAAAATTAAAAATCTGAAAGGAAAATCTAGAGTCAATTGGAATTCAAAACATGCGCAGTAAGACCCACTCCTCCTGCCCGCAAACTTACATGTCTCTAGAAGTGGAGATGAAACATTATGACATTACAGGCAATTCAATGTGCAACGGAAATTATGCACTTTACTTAATGACGCAGAATAATTCTACAGGATCAGTTGAATGCCAACAGTATAATACACTACTCACCAGTTATTACCCCATTCAATCATTGTACCTGGCTGGAAAAACAATACCAATGTTAGATAACAGGCAAATCAGATGATAATAAATAATAATCCTTGCATTTGATACAGCTCTTATCACATCTTCAAGACGTCTCAAAGCGCTTCACATAATATACTGTAAGTGAATTGACTGTATATTTGGAGGCGAAATGCGGCAGCCAATTGCACACAGCAGCTTCCCACAAACAGTTGTAGAATGAAGTGACCAATTTATTTTTGTTTTCTTCTTCAGGGATTATTATGTCTGATGATACAATATATCAACAAAATTTTTATGCAGGGCAAATAAATGCAACTTGCTCTGAGTTAGAACAGACTCTGTTTATCCCTGTAATGTGGATCAAAGAGTTTTTAAACAAGAAAATCAGAAGAACACAATGCTATTAATATATTGCCTCTCTCACTGATTCTAATATTTCTGTCTTCAAGCAGGATCAAAGGCTAGAGGGATTATTGTTTGTTGAGATGCTATAATTCTGCACTTTCTCTTGAGTGAAGATTCCTGAGTTCACACACAAAGCTCAAATATTTACTGGGACAAAACAACGATAATGAATATTTGGTTTATTTTTCTTAGAAAATAAACCTTTCTCAAAAGCTGTGACATTAGCACGAAGTGGCTTTGAGTTGAGAAGTTTGAGTTGAGATGTTTGAGTTGAGAGCTCAACAATTGTTGAATAACCTGCACATTGGCTCTGACAGGCTCACCAGTGAGTGGCTTTCTCATCACATGACTTCCCAGATTTCTCATTAAACACCAGATTTCATTAAGTTGCCTTTGAATAACGCAAAGTTATTCAAAGTAGCTTAGTAGCTTAGGGTTAGGCAGAAAACTGGAAGGCAGAAAAGCTGTTACATTCACTGAGTGATTTAGTTTCTCTCTCTCACACACATAGCTTTTCTCCAGGGCTCTTATCCCTCCCAAGATTACCATTCCATTCTGCCCACCTAGTGCAGTCCCTCTACAGGAAACCCTGTGAAGTTCTTTGAGACGTCCTCCTGACATGAAAGGCGCTATAGCAAAGGTTTATATCATTCTGCTATTGATTTTGGAGTGAACTGTATATATAAATGAGAATCCGGTTTCACATTCCCACCCAGAAGTTCTGACCTTGAAATCAAGCAGCAGGAAATTCCCCTCTCGTGCCTAAACTCTAATCTTGGCGTTTGATTGGGCCAGACAGCATTGCCTGGTACAGAGGTTTATTTGAGTTTGGGGAATGGACAGTGAGAGTATTAAATCCGGTAAGGCTAGAAACCTCCCTGAGACACTTGTGTTCCTTTCAGCTGTGGATGGCTCCAAAGCGTAACTGGCTGGTTTGTAACAAGCGCCATCACAGGCAATTCTTTGATGCTTTTACTTAAAAAGAAAAATCTGCTTCTGATCTTTTGTGGGCTTTTCAAGATCATCTCTCCTCCCCACAGGCAACAGCTTATTTTATTCTTTTATTATTTCAAAACGTTGATTAGTAATCTTTCTCTCTCCATCACAACCTCGCTTCTCCCTTTACTGCCTCAGATCTGGACACTGCTGCTCTGAACTTTCCTCATTCCTGCATTGTCTCCAACTCAATCATCTCCATCCCAACTCCCTCCATCTTCTCTTTCCTCCTTCACTCTACAGGCTCAGCCTTTGAGACGCAATACCATTCATTCTTAGTTTACCTTGTTCTCTCTCTTACTCTTTACACCTTTGGCGATCTCCTGCACTATGCACCTTCACCTGGCCGTTTGGTTAATATAAAATAGCTCTTTCTCTCTGTTGAAGATCAAATTGGTTTTGATGAGTGAAATATGACGAGCAGCTAATGTAGCTATCAGGAATGATTTAAGTTAAAGATTGCCATGACACTGTTCACAGAAGGCAGGACAACAAAAGGCAGAACATCTCCTACACTTTCCTCCTTTACATAAGGAAATAAAATGTCCTATTGGTGGAGGACTGGGGCAGTTTTAATGTGTTGTTGTTGATGGAACTGACTCCATCATTGGTTCCCTGTGATTTAATGGGCAAAGGCCTGGCCAGAACAGCACTGAGCTCTTCGAATCGTGGTCTGAGCTGAAGTAGCTACATGGCCTGAGTGCCTCTTAAGTTACATCTTCAGCTTAATAAGAAACAAGCTGTTCTTATTCACCCACCCCAAACCCCTAACATTATTTATTTGGGAACGGGCCACTGTCCGACGCTGAGTCAGGATATTACTGGAGTGGGAGTACCACCAGCTTTAAAAACAAGAGACAAAGGTGTGAAGTGCAGGATGTTTGGGTTCCTTACCCTGAGCTGATAGGAGCGCAGTTCATAAATATTAGGCCCTGATCTTGGGATGGGTTCATTCCAGAAACTGAACTCTAAAAGCAGCTGGTTTTTCCGAGAAAGCAGCATTTTCCCTCTCTCCTTCCGGAACTCCATGAATTCCTGCAAAACAGGTTGATAGTTTCATAGGAATGTTACATTAGCATTGACCTGCCAACACTCAATCAAAATCAGTCACTTACTAAATAAGTTAGAAAGCATTAATTACAGATTATGTAAGTGTAATCAGAAACAGTCTCCACTGCTAAGTTACAACCTTAATATACCTAGTTTACTGTGTTACCTTATCTTGTCTGAGTTTATTCATCACCTCGGTAAGCGTGGGGTAACCTCCACTATACTTCCAGAGGTGGACTGAAAAAGACACAAATAGGATGCCTTACACAGATAGCAACAGAAAAGCAATTCTATTTCTAGTATTGGGTTTAGGTGGCCGATATACCGTTTTAAAAAAAAGCCTTGCAAAAGATTTAATATTCAGCCAGTAGAATTGTTTTCAGCGGTAAAACAAAACCGGTTGGTTTCTGCATGTGTGAAGAACACCTATCTCAGCAGTCTAATAAGATGAAAGCACTTATTCCTCATTAGCAAGTTTGATTAATAATTTAATGGAAACAGTTTAAATCTAAGAGCTGACAAGATAGATACAAGACCAGAGCTGGAACCACAACAAACAAGCATTCAGTCCATCCCAGTCAGTGTCACCTCTGCTCCCTGTGTTTATCACCCATTAGTGTTCCCCCGATCTCTCCAACTCTGTGCTGTGAAATTTGCATTGCTGGCTCTTTCCTAACATTTTACATAGGAACAGAATGAGGCCATTCGGCTACTTGAGCCTGTTCAGCCATTTATCAGATCATGGTTGATCTTTACTCGAACTCTAATTACCTGCCCTTGCCCTATTGCCCTTGATACCCTGACCTAACAAACATCTATCCACCTCAGTCTTGAAGATGTGGATCTTTGGGGGAGAGAGTTCCAGATTTCCATTACCTTTTGAGTGGAAAACTACCTCCTGATTTCATTCCTAAATACCCTAGCTCTAATTTTAAGATTATGCCCCCTTGTTCTGGATTCCCCATCAGAGGAAATAGTCTCTCTGTATCTACCGGATTGAATCCCTTAATTATTTTAAAAGCCTCAATCAGATCACCCCTCAACCTTCTAAACTCAAGGAGGACATCTTTGCACTTGGTGAGGGTATAGGTCCGCAGGCTGACCTCCTTTGGAAAGTGTGCTATTAAAGAATAATAATCCTTGCCGATATAGCGCCTTATCATCTCTTCAAGACGTCTCAAAGCGCTTCACACTGATGAAGACTAATGTCAGCTCAGCTGCAGATACGCAGCAACACACAATGCCCAGTATGACCACTGTAACATAGAATCTCACACAAAGCAGCTCTCCAGGCAGATTACTATCTGCCGCTGGATTTTCCCAAAGTAACAAATTAGCTGAAATTTATTGAAAACTTCAGCATGTGAGCAAAGCGAAAGGTTTAAAACTAAAAATGTAAAGGGCAAGTACCATTTATGCAGCAACTCAAACAAAATCGATTTGCAACATAGGTAAAATTGACTTGATCTCACCATTTTAATTCCTTCAAAAAAGATAAAATTGATCACTTCAATCCACAACTGTTTGTGGGACACTGCTGTGTGCAATTGGCTGCCGTATTTCACTCACAAAATATATTAATTCACTTTCAAAATAACACTTTGCTACGGTGAGCACTCAGAAAAACACTACAACTTGCCATAATTCTGCTTATAATAACATTCATACCGGCTTCATCCTGTTCCCCATACCATGTGTTCCACGTCCCCACAAGTTCACAAGGGTAATTGGGCTCTTCGTGAATCTTTGGTAATATCTGTTCACTATAAAGAACAAGCAGATAAGTTGTTACTGTCTGGAATGCACTGCTTGAAAAGGGTGGTGGAAGCAGATTTAATAGTTGCCATCAAAAGGGAATTGGATAGGTACTTAAAAAGGAAACATTTGCAGGGTTATGGGGTTACTGGACTAGTTGAGGTAAGAGTGGGACAAATTGGTAGCCCTTTCCAAGAGCAGGCAGCGGCAAATTGGCTGAATGGCCTCCCTGTGTGGAAAGATTCTATGATTGTGCAGTTTGCACCATTGCAACCGGTCATTACATTTTATGATGTTTCATTCACCGCAGCTCAGGAAAATGCCCCAAAGGTTTGCATTAAAAAAGAGAAGCTTTTATGAAAAATAAGGAGTTTTTTAAAAAAAAGAAACTAAGGCCATTTTTCTTTCTGCATTAAATGGTGAACTGGTTTGGCTGAGTGAGTAAAAAGCTCAGGTAATATATTGTGAAATGTCAAACTTACAATGCTCATCCCATTTATCCCTGATAAAACCCAATTTGACCCGCACTTTAACACGGTTATACTTATAGATGCTGCGAAACACAGAAGTTTGTATAAAGAAAATAAGATTTACAAACTCAATGCTGTGTGAGGAGTAGCTTTCTAAGCAACTGATGTCAAACAGAGAATTGTGGATTTCGGAAACAAAACTACCCATGGAAAAAAATCTGGGGGAGGCAGGGATGGTGTGGTAAATCTGATACAATTGAAACAGTCAAAAAAAACCATGCAAACAGATTATTACTGATTTAGCAACAAATACTGCTCATGAATTCAGGCTCAGTGCCAAGGCATGAGAGAGATCATTCCATTCTGTTCAGTTCTGGGTGAACTTAGAACCCAGCTGAACAGCCTCACTCATTCTCACCCTCTTGTTCAGGAAAAGTTAACATAAGAACATAAGAATTAGAAGGAGTCGGCCCTTCGGCCCTTCGTGCCTGTGCTCCGCCATTCAATAAGATCATGGCTGATCTTCTCACCTAACTCTGATTACCTGCCCTATCCCCATATCCCCTAATCCCTCTATTTTTCAAGAATCTATCAGTCTCAGCCTTGAAAATGTTCAAGGACTGAGCATCTACAGCCCTCTGGGGTAAAGAATTCCATAAGTTCACTACCCTCTGAGTGAAGAAGTGTTTTCTCAACTCTGTTCTAAAAGGCTGACCCTTAATTTTCAGACTGTGACCCCCGGTTCTAGACTCTCCTACCGGGGAAACAGACCCTCAGTGTCTACTTTATCAGCCCTTTAAGAATCTTATAAGTTTCAATAAGATCTCCCCTAATTCTTCTGTACTCTATAGAGAATACAGCCCCAGTTTATTCAGCTTCTCCTCACAGGTCAGTCCCCTCATCCCAGGAACTAACCGAGTGAATCTACGTTGCACCCCCTCGAGGGCAAGTATGTCCTTTTTTAAATAAGGAGACCAAAACTGCACACAATACTCTCGGTGCGGTCTCACCAAAGCCCTATACAGTTGCAGCGAGACTTCCCTACTCTTATATTCTAAACCTTTTGCAATGAACGCTAACTGCCGTTCGCCTTCTTAGTTGCTGCTGCACCTGCAAACTAACTTTTTGGGACTGGTGTACAAGGACACCCAAATCCCTTTGAATACTAACACTATCTAACTTCTCCCCTTCCAGAAAATAATCTGTTCTTTTATTCTTGCTACCGAGGTGAATAATTTCACACTTGCTAACATTGAATTCCATCTGCCACCTACTTGCCCACTCCCCGAGCCTATCTATATCCCGTTGCAATCTTTTTGCATCATCCTCAGAGCTCACTCTGCTGCCGAGTTTAGTATCATCCGCGAACTTAGACACATTACATTCAATGTCCTCGTCCAGATCATTGATGTAAATGGTAAATAGCTGAGGCCGAGGCACTGATCCTTGTGGCACTCCACTAGTTACATCCTGCCAATTCGAGAATGATCCGTTTATCACTACTCTCTGCTTTCTACCCGATAACACCTTGTAAAGCTGCCGAGAAATATTTGATATATAATACATTGTAATAATTAATTTATAAGCACTACAGAAGCTATCTGAGCTGTTTTGTACAACACAATCAGTGCAAGGACATCATAGATGTATTTTATGTCTTCTTAACGCACTGCAAGTAAAACCACAGATTAGTGTTTTCAGACATGAAGGGATTACGAAGATGGTCAGTATTTTTAATAAAAAGCTTACCAGAGTTGGTTGTAAGCTTCCAGACAATCTGGCTTTACACTATGAACTGGAAAACAATTAAAACATTTGCAAATTATACTTAAGAGTACATTTTTACAAAAATACTTATTAAGCGGTTGCATTTGCCTCTAGAAACATTTACTTTCATTTCAAATCAATTATATTTTGTCAATTGCTTTTTCACAACCTATGGTATCATTAGGGTATTCTATTCTTAATATGATGGGAGATTAAACTTACACTGAATTTTGTATAGATTGCTGGTTTCCTTTTTAGCTAGCAAAGTGGAGTGAGCATCTTTTCGTGGGTCCACTTTCCTGACAAACAGTGACTTGAACCAGCTATCTTCCCTCTGGTTGTACGAAGTAGCAGATAATGCCCTGAAACAGAAACACACATAAGTTATAATGAACAAACGGAAATGTGTTCAGGACTTTCTGTGAGATTTTTTTTAACAAGCGTTGGACATTCTGAACATTTTCACATTGAAAATATAATTGAGGAAAGGCAGTAAGTGGACTCATGTCATAATTCCCAACATAGCATGTTCTTGATCTTGTTGAACAGGTGAACTCAGTTGTTTTCCTGGAGGCAGGAGGCAACAATGAAAGTCCAAACACGGTTGGCCACTCCGGCACTGATTCTAGCAGCTTATCTGTGTCAATGCCAAGGAGCCAGACACTTGCTTACCATCAACTGGGGTGATACATGGGGTATGTGGGAAGGAGAGAAAATTACACAACTTACCAACAGAAGTTGTATATGATAACCAGGAAGATATCAGTGAGGCAGCAATTAAGAAATGAGGACATTACATAATAGTAAACATCCTACAGCTGTGCTAATATTCCCAATACCCCTTTAACCACCTCTAAAATATTGTAATGTTAATAAAAATGAAATTGTCAACTACATCAGGTGTACAACTTGTCCCAATGAAGATCAACATCCAAATGTTCCCCAGATGATGATTGAGTTTTCACTACAAATACTGACTTGGCCAAGCTTGACGATTACTCAGTGCGTGGAGCATCTTTAACCTCTTGTAATCTATAGAATTTGCATGTAGGGTTGCATTATTCCGTTCAGGAATTAGTCTTCCAAAAACCAGTGCCTTACTGTTCTAATTATCACTGAAAGTTCACTGTACTAAAAATAGTTGCTGACGGTGAAACATGAGCTGGATCAAATGAATAAAGATAGTTAGTGGAAAGGTCTGGACTAAAAGGTGGTGTAAAAAGGCCAAACAGCTGCTGCGGAAAAGGAACAACCAAATTAGTCCTCTCTGCAACACATGGTCACAGTTTCTGGTAATAAATCCCTTATTGGATTTTGACCAGCTGTCCCAGGATCCAGTGATTATGGGAAGGTGTGTTGATCTTTCTTATTAAAAAAATTCTCTTGCTTGTTCAACTGGGAAATCATGTGATTCAGTACGGTAATCCTCTGGAACGCCATCCTGGATCCCTCCACTTCGCCCCCCACCCCTTGCCTCCTTCACGGCTCAGCTCAAGACCTTCCCGTTTGACCGTGCCTTCGGCCGGGTTTCACTGCAATTTTTAAGAAGATAAATCCTCTTCTCTTTATTATTACACCCATCTTGCATTGTTTCTGCTGCCCTTGTGTGGGTACAGGTGTGAGACAGGTATTCATTTGGCCTGTTCTTTGAGCCAAGGTGAAATCTTAAACCCAATGACCAGGCGACGGTGGTCAGGATGCCAGGCTTACACTGTGAAATATAGGTGTCAGCTTCACTCGGTTGGCAGGACCCTCACCCACCATCGTGACGGGACTTGGAACTCACATAGTCTAGGCTGACATTTCAGTACTGGGGAGGGGGAGCGCTTCACTGTCAGAGACGTTGCCCTTCAGATGAGACATCAAACCGAGGTCCTGTCTGTGCCTGTTTGTGCGGGCATTAAAGATCCCGGGGTGCTGGCGGGAAACGAGAAGGGGGCCTGGGGGCAGATCTCTTGGATAAAGCCACTTATTCATGTCACACATATTTGCAGTGGTGTCAAAATTGGCTGCAGCCTTCACTCACAAAACACAGTCACTACACTTCACAGTGAATCCTGTGAGGTGTCAGACCAGATGTCACATTACTGACAGCCATAACCACAGTGACGTGACGCTGATGATAATAACAAGAAAATGATCAGAATCCACTTTGCTCCACATTGTGACCTTGAAGGAGTTGCCCCGCGCGGCGCCCCCCGGAGACCCCGAGGCCCTGACAGGCGGCCCGGGGGGTGGGGAGGGGGTCCCAGGGCCCTCGGCACATAGTGACCTCCCCCACCCCGACACCCAAACAGGGCCCCGCCGCCGACCTGAGGGGATGAGGCGGGGACCGCACGTACCTGTTGGCGGGGCCCGGGCCCGGGGCGCGGGCTCTCCTCAGGCCGCTCACCGCGCGCTGAACAACTCGCGCCGCCATCTTACATCCGAGGTGACATTCAACCCAAACACAGGCTGTGCGCGTGCGCGGGGGAGCGGCGCCACCACCTGTCAATCACCGCCCCCAGCAATCACCCCCTCCCCCCCCTCCCCCTCCCCTCCCCCAGCAATCACCCCCTCCCCCCCCTCCCCTCCCCCAGCAATCACCCCCTCCCCCCCCTCCCCTCCCCCAGCAATCACCCCTCCCTCCCCTCCCCTCCCCCCAGCAATCACCCCTCCCCTCCCCCAGCAATCACCCCCTCCCCTCCCCCCAGCAATCACCCCTCCCCTCCCCCCTCCCCCCCAGCAATCACCCCCCTCCCCCCAGCAATCACCCCCTCCCTCCCTCCCCCCAGCAATCACCCCCTCCCCTCAATCACCCCCTCCCCCCCCCCTCCCCTCCCCCCCCCAGCAATCACCCCCTCCCCCTCCCCCCCTCCCCCCAGCAATCACCCCCTCCCCTCCCGCTCCACCACCCCCCCCCCTCCCCCTCCCCCCAGCAGATCACCCTCCCCTCCCCCCAGCAATCACCCCCTCCCCTCCCCCTCCCCCCCAGCAATCACCCCCTCCCCTCCCCCTCCCCCTCCCCCCAGCAATCACCCCCTCCCCTCCCCCCAGCAATCACCCCCCTCCCCCTCCCCCCCCCAGCAATCACCCCTCCCCCCCCCCCCCTCCCCCCCCTCCCCCCCCCCCCAGCAATCACCCCCTCCCCTCCCCCCCCAGCAATCACCCCCTCCCCTCCCCCCCAGCAATCACCCCCCCCCCCCCCCCCCCAGCAATCACCCCCTCCCCTCCCCCCCAGCAATCACCCCTCCCCTCCCCCTCCCCCCCAGCAATCACCCCTCCCCCCCTCCCCCTCCCCAGCAATCACCCCCCCCCCCCCAGCAATCACCCCCCTCCCCCTCCCCCCAGCAATCACCCCCCTCCCTCCCCCAGCAATCACCCCCTCCCCTCCCCCCCAGCATCCCCCCCCCCCCCCCCCCCTCCCCCCCCCCCCCAGCAATCACCCCCTCCCTCCCCCTCCCCCCAGCAATCACCCCCCCCCCCCCCAGCAATCACCCCCCCTCCCCTCCCCCCCCCCCCAGCAATCACCCCCCCCCTCCCCCCAGCAATCACCCCCTCCCCTCCTCCCCCCCCCCAGCAATCACCCCCCTCCCCCCCCCCCCCCTCCCCCTCCCCTCCCCCCCTCCCCCCAGCAATCACCCTCCCTCCCCTCCCCCCAGCAATCACCCCCCCCCCCCCTCCCTCCCCCAGCAATCACCCCCTCCCCTCCCCTCCCCCAGCAATCACCCCTCCCCTCCCCCCACAATCCCCTCCCCCCCCCCCAGCAATCACCCCCTCCCCCGTCCCCCTCCGCCACACCCATACCCACGCTGACACCATATCTATTACTGTAGCTGATATTTACATCACTCGCCCTATTGCAGTATCTGGTTGGAGGTCAGTGCCAGGTAGTGCAGTTCCGCAGGCAAACACCACTGCTCCCCTTGGCTGACTTATACACTGACAGCAAAACATCACAGATCGCAATCTTCACTCGGGATCTCACCAGCGCCTCATTCGCCAGCCTGGACTCGTCCTGCAGCTGGTAGAGGCGTCTCTCCAGGTCCTCCTTCGCTCGCTCAGCCTCCTCTCTCAGCTGCTTCTCTCTGGCCAGCCTCTGACGCTCCATCTGAAAAGAGAACACTGTAGCTTTCAGCAACAACAACTTGCATTTATAGGGCGCCCCTCACGCAGGGTAGCGTCCCGGAAAGGTTCACGACAACGTGGGGAACACGGGTGCAGCGTCAATAGTAAGAACCGGCACAATGACACAGGCCCAGCAAGTCAGTCAGTCAGTCACCTTCTTCCTGGCCTTCTCCTCTCTGGCCTGAGCTTTCATCTGCTGCACCTCGATGGAATCCACTTTCCTCCTCCTCATAAACAGGTCGTGGTTACCGATACACAACTGCAAGATCTGGAAACCAGGAAAATCAGCTTGTTAGATTGTCCCAGGGCATCAAAGGACCCTTGTTGTTGTACCTTTCATAGAGCGCATGTGGAGGACATTTTCCACAGCTGCAGAAGTTACAAAGGGCTGGGTGTAATCTCTGTATCGGACGATTGTTACATTCGCATGAAGAGAGGATGGGAGCTACTGCCCCCGAGTGATCAAATGGCTTGTCACCACTTGCTGTCTGAGCTCAGACCCCAAGACATTGGTTGCTGCAGGTCGCAAGTCACAAGCGCACGTAAACCTACCAGCTTGTTCACTCGCAGCTGTGAGGAGTAGAACTTGAAAACTTCGGTCTTTTTGTCCAAGGGCTTGATGGTAAACTGCAGGGAGTAGAGGAAATGACGGTAGGTTTGATTTCCCGGAGCCCAGTGAGGAACAAGCAAACCAACAATATCATAGCACAACACAATGCTGAAGGGAAACAAAGTGAATTGGGCGCCAGAACAATACACCGCAGGCACTTTCGCATCTGCTGAACCAAAAGGAAGGGGAAAGCTACACGTCATTACCTCTTTTTCGCTGTATGAAATGTTCCTAATCCCGCTCCACGCAAAAGATTTCCTGGAGGAGAGTCTGTTATCAGGGGTGTAGATGTGGAGGCCCAGGGCATCCACCCCCAGGAGCAAGTCTGTGTCCTTTTTATTTTGCTGTTAAAGAGAGACAACATTAGAGGTCACTGAGCTTTCGTTCACACCTCCAGACAGCAGAGACATGAGGAGCTGGAAGCCTCATGTTTACCTCCCACTTCACCTCATCAGATCCCCTTCCCCACCATCCCAGTGCGGGCCTTTGCGTATTGTTACAGCGATGTACAGCAAGCACTGCCCATCTAAGAAACATCACTAGAGACAAAGAAAACTTACTGTGATTGGAAAATAGTTTACTCCATACATCTCCAGGTCTTGGGCGATCTTCAAATATTCCATCTCAGCCTCGTCCCTGTCACAACAAGCGACCATTAGTGTCAGACAGACAGGTCCAGGTGGTACATAAAGCAGATTTGTGCAAGAGTAGGTCGCACTCCTGCTTCATAATTGTGTGTTATTATGCTTACGGTATGGTGGCCGCACTTTCAGCCACTACTCTGGAACACTCTTTCTCTATCCCTCCTCCTTGCCCCTTCCTCCCCCCCATCTTCAGGTCGCTCCTGAAGACCTTCCTCGTTGACCGTACTCTACGGTCGCTCCTCCCACTCCCCCCAGCTCAGCGTCGTGCTCCGCCACTGCCAAGCGCTCTGCGAAGCTATATAATAAAAATATATAAATGCAAGTTGTTGTTGTACAGTAAGACTGTAACAGGACGAAGCAGTTCAGGCAGTTAATCAGATCGAGAGTTAACTTTAATCCCATTTCCCAGACCTTTTCCATGTATGCTTTAATACCTTATACGTACACTTTAATACCAATAAGTGATGGGATTGGGCGTTATAATATAAACCATATAATATAAAGGTATTTCTTTTCCCTCTGGGACACGGTTCTGTGAGCTACCCCACAACCTGACAGTGGCTGAGCACGAGTTCCTCTGGGCTCTGCTATGGGCTGGAGTCAATGACTGTGTTGGCTGTAGTGTCAGTACCTGGTGATCCCTCGGTGCTCTGCGTACCAAGCTGTGATTTTTTCTTCCCACATATCAGGTGTCATCTGATACTGCTTAAGAACCTGAAACACACAGCAGCAGCGATCACCAGTGACAAATTCAGAAAGATTCTTGCTGATCAATGTTTCATACTGTGGGATCTGCCACCTGCTGAAATGTAAAAAAGACTAAAGCAATCCCAGGTACCCACAAGTGCCAGAGTCCAGCCCCACTCCATTCCCCAGGGCCATGCCTTCAGCTCATTAATAGTAATCCTAGTATTTGATATATAATTCGTTGAGACATTTCAAAATGCTTCAAAGAATATACTATGAAGTGTATATTTTGTGGGCGAAACTCGGCAGTCAATTGCCCACAGCAGTGTCCCACAAACAATGTTGAATTGAGTGACCAAATTATTATTGTTATTTTTGAAGGGATTATTACCCTTGTAAAAGCAATCTGCCAATCGGTTAACAACCATTCTGAGATTTGTCAGCAGTTGGGAAATCTCAGATGAAGATCCAGTACTGTACACAACTCCAACGATGAAAAGGCAGAGAACAATAGACATAGATTTATGAAGTTACGGTTTTGTGTTTTGCCCTTTTTGCATCCAGGATCATTTCTGCTGCTAAGCTCCGACATCAAACAGCAGTTTTAAATGCTTCACTATGCAATACTCCCCACCGCAGGAGACCATTAACAGGTTCAAACTTACCCGTTTCGGCAGCAGCTCATCCTGAGCCAGGAAGCCCGGCTTGTGGAAATTCGGATCGTAATCACCGTACTGTGAAGAAGAAAAAAACATTCAAATCGGAGACAGGCTGAGGTGTAACCCCGACCCACACAGAGGCAGTGAGTTAGTTACCGGTCATGTGTAGGTGGAAACTCGTCTGCTCAAACAGCTGCAGCCATTAGTCTCAGCGGCTGCTTGTGCAATGGGTCAGTCGAGACGCAGTATACTATGCAGCGTTGAGCCGTGCTGCCCAGGTTCAGGTCTGATCACAGTCAGGGTGGCTACAGCAGCAATATAATGGTCATCAGCATCTTGCACTTAAAGAAGGGAGAGAAGATTGCACTCCTGGCTGGTGACCCCTGAGAAGCTCTGAGACCAGTATAAGGCTGAGCCAGGACCTGCTTCTCACCTCACACACTTACTGCCTGCGTCACTCAAGCCAGGTACCAATAACAACTTGGATTTATATTGTGCCCTTCATGCAGGGTAGTGTCACAGAGTGTTTGACAGTGGCAGAGCACGACGCCGAGCCGGGGGGAAGGGGAGGTGACCATAGGCACGGTCGAAGAGGAAGGTCTTCAGGCGTGACCTGAAGATAGGGAAGGAATGGGCAAGGTGGAAGGAACAGAGGAAGAGTGTTCCAGAGTTTCAGGGCATAGTGGCTGAAAGCGTGGCCACCAATGGTGGAACAGAGGGCACAAGGGACAGACATGCAGAAAGCCAGAGCCAGACGAGGGGAGGCAGCGGGTTGTGGAGTAAGCAGGTTGGAGAGGTAGGGAGGTGCCAGAGCATGAAGGGATTTGAAAACGAGTGTGAGGATCTTGAAATCGATCCGTTCGTCAGACAACAATACTAACAGTGATTAGCACAGAGAGGGGATGGGATGGGACACAAGCTCCTCCGGGGAAGCTCAACAAAACAAAGAATGACATAATAATAATAATCTTTGCATTTGCCTTATCATGTCTTCTTCAAGACGCCTCAAAGTGCTTCATTGTAAAGTGAAGTGATTGTATATTTTGTGGGCAAAACGCAGCTGCCACAGCCATGTCCCACGAACAGTCGTGGATTGAGTGACCAAATTATTATTTTTTAAAATTTATTTTGTTTTGAAGGGATTATTACCCCCTGAAAAGCGAACTGTCAATTGACTAACAATCGGGTTCCTACTTACTGCTAGGTAAGCAGAAGCGTGTGGAGGAAGGAAACTTTCCCAACGTTTCGCCCTGCGAAGAATCGAACCCAGGCCAGGTCCTCTTGCTTGCAAGGCGATTACTCTAACCACTAAGCTACAGAACTCCACATGGTGCCCAACGCAACATTCGGATGAGATAGAAAACTCTCTCAGATCCCGAATGGTCGGTGAGGGAACTGACAGGATCTCCAGATTGCAAATTACAACAAAATGAAATCAAACTTTCTGTACGTTCAAAGCCTGAAGCAACAATATCAGTGACCGTTTCACCTTCACACAAACAAACCTTGGCCTGAACAGCGTAAGATGCCAACAACACCGAGGCTTCGGGGGAACAGTAAATCTCCTCGTCCAGAATCTGTTTCTTCACCTACAGTGAGAGAGAGACACAGCAGCAGGTCAGATCCTTGGCTCGGGATACAATCTAACCTGAGAATTCAGTGAAAAGCAGCCTTTGACCAACAAGAGTGCGTGTCATGAAAGGCAATCAGAGAAATCTATATTCAATCACTGAACTGATTCAGATTATCAGCGTCTCTCACTGAATAGAATCACAAATGAATATGAGATACAGGCAGAGGTAATTAACCTCACATAAATAAGCTCTCCTTGTGGTAGACATGCCAGCTTAGGGCAGACGTCACTGTGAGACATACCTGCAGGAAGAAAAGGTGCTGTGTGATCTCCTGCACCAGCTCATCCTCTACTTTCTCAGGGTAGAACTTGGCCAGGAAGTGAAAGGTGATGGGATCCTCCTTCGGAACCTCTTGGTCTAAAACCTGTTTGTGGAAATACACACAGAGAAACATCAATCCATGAGTGAAGAATTAAAACAACAGCAATAACAAATTACATTTACACAGCACCTTTCACATCCGGAGGACACAACTAGTGCAATTACATTACCACAAGTTGAATTTCAGTATAAAAAATTTAATTGTTACGTTTTTAGAGAACAATTACAGAAATCAGTGGCTGATTTTCTGTGATTTAGAATGTGTACGTCTTTAGCTTCACTGTGGTTTAAGATTTGAGACAATTTTGCAACTTATTTGATGACTTTGTGACTGTCCTTATGAATTTTTCTTGGAAACAGAAGAAAATCTTACACTCACCCTTTTTTCCATTTTCAGCCATGCGTACGTATCCTTCACCGTATACCTCAGCCCAAAGAACCAGGTCTCCCTCAGTCCAATCGTGCGACCCACCAAATCAAACAAGTCTTTGCCCTTCCACTTCACCTGCAAACCAGCAAGACACACATTACAGGTTTTCAACTTGGTCCAATGTACCAAACAAGGCATGTCTTTGGCTGGACAATCCAGTCTCGTGTACGCTTCAGCACAGGACACAATGTAGATTCTTCACAAAACACATAGGCTTAACAAGCAGCTGTGCACACATCCCACTAGCTCCCTCACTCACACACAAAACTATTTATTTCAATAACTGCGTTGTTTAACTCCTTTACAAAGAACTGCTAAGCATTATGCTGGATAGTGCTGGAGGGTGTCATGATTGGCGCAGATTAAGATGCACACATACTCCACAGAACAGACTAGTTTCTGTGCTGATTGTGTGTGTGTGTGTATGTGTGCGGAATATGCAATCCATGACTGAGAGGGTTTTGTGGAATCACAGACGAGCAAGTTTGGAATAGCTTTGAATGGCCTTTGCCAGTTCTGTGCTTTCACGGTCATATTATCGCATTCAAACAAGATATCAAAGGGAGAAAAATATTCAACGGCTGAAAGGCAAATTTGTCCTTTAGATACAATGCCATCATGCCATGGAGTCACGTTTTTCGCAGTTACAAATGTGGATGCAGAACAGGGCGTGACCTCTCCTACCTCACAGCTGAATTCCATCTCTGCATCCATGGTCACAACCTTCACTTTGAAGGTTTTGGGCTGTTTCTTCTTCAGCCCCATTTTCGACATTTTGTTTGTAAACTGTCGAAATTCTTCCTTTACAGTTAAACCTGGAACCAAAGGCTAGTGTTAGCACAGCGTTCACAAATCCTACACTCTTTATAACAATCACTGTCTGGAGCAAAGATAAATTGGGAATATAGGAAAGGAAAGGAAGAGGCCATTCGGTCTGTCAAGCTGCTTCCCTCAGTTTATTAAATCATGACAGATCTATCAATCCCATTTCCCTACCTTTCCTCCACACCTCTCCACACCAAACGAAGGTGACAGAAAGTGCAATTGAAAGGACAGGCTTTATGTATGGTGGGGGGGGGAGGGAGGGGGCGAAGCAAAGGGGCTTTGGAATAGGGTGACCACACGTCCCTGATACCGGATGAGTATCGTGTCCCGGGGGCGAGTTTTGCCCTGTCTCGAGTTCAGCAAATAACCGGCAAGTACAATAACATTTTGAAACAGAGACACTCATCGGAGAAGCACAGCCATTAATCCCCCAACTCGCTTTTCCAGTAACTGCCAACATCAGCAGCAATTATTGGATGAGTTCAATTTTTTTCTCATAAACGTACGTTCGTCCCCGGATTTATTTTACCCCCTGGTGTGGGATGGAGTGACGGCGATGCCGGGAGCAGCCACAGGGCTGAGTGTGGATCAATTAACAATGTCCAGACCGCGGTGGGCGGATGGACGTCTGTCGGCTCAGGGTGTCGGGGGTTTGGGAGCAAAGGCAGTTAGTTGGGAGTTGAGGTCCTGATCAGTCATGATTTTACAGAATGACGGGACGGGCTTGAGGGGCTGAATGGCCTCCTCCTGCTCCTCTGTTTCCTGCCCCGGGGTCTCTTTGTTTTAGGCTCTGGATCCCGAGGGTTGGGTCAGGCCTTGTCTGCTACTCACCTGCCGGCCCACAGCTGTCTGTCTGTCTGTCTGACACACCCCGAGGCCTCTCCCCAATGGCCAGCCCAGCGTTAGGCCCAGGCCCGAGCCGCGGCCTCGAGTAGTGTGAAGAGCGCGGCCGCCAACACAGGTCCCGCCCAATCCTGGGCCCTACGTAGAATCAGGGCGCGACTCGAGGGGGAACCCCGCCCAGCCCGACCCAGCCAGCCAATCACAGCCCTGCCTGACAGCCAATCACAGCCCTGCTCTGCCAGCCAATCACAGCCCTGCCTGCCAGCCAATCACAGCCCTGCCTGACAGCCAATCACAGCCCTGCCTGCCAGCCAATCACAGCCCTGCCTGTCAGCCAATCACAGCCCTGCCTGTCAGCCAATCAACCCCTCCTGAACCTGATCCTGTAGATCCGGGTCAGACCGGCAGGTGACGCTGTGACAGGAGTTTGGAGCGTTCCGGCGGTTGGTGAAGGGAAGGCTCTGGTGAGGCTCAGGGCCTCCGTCCACTACACAACCTGATGTGTTTGTTGCAATCGTGACCTTTGGTAACAGCGCGTAGAGCCCGAGGTGAGAGTGCAACAGGTCATCCCACCGCGTACACACCCCATCCCACCGCGTACACACCCCATCCCACCGCGTACACACCCCATCCCACCGCGTACACACCCCATCCCACCGCGTACACACCCCATCCCACCGCGTACACACCCCATCCCACCGCGTACACACCCCATCCCACCGCGTACACACCCCATCCCACCGCGTACACACCCCATCCCACCGCGTACACACCCCATCCCACACCCGCGTACACACCCCATCCCACCGCGTACACACCCCATCCCACCGCGTACACACCCCATCCCACCGCGTACACACCCCATCCCACCGCGTACACACCCCATCCCACCGCGTACACACCCCATCCCACACCGCGTACACACCCCATCCCACCGCGTACACACCCCATCCCACCGCGTACACACCCAATCCCACCGCGTACACACCCCATCCCACCGCGTACACACCCCATTACACACCGCGTACACACCTCATCCCACCGCGTACACACCCCATTACACACCGCGTACACACCTCATCCCACCGCGTACACACCCCATCCCACCGCGTACACACCCCATCCCACCGCGTACACACCCCATCCCACCGCGTACACACCCCATCCCACCGCGTACACACCCCATCCACCACGTACACACCCTATCCACCGCGTACACACCCATCCCACCGCGTACACACCCATCCCACCGCGTACACACCCCATCCCACCGCGTACACACCCCATCCCACCGCGTACACACCCCATCACACCGCGTACACACCCCATCCCACCGCGTACACACCCCATCCCACCGCGTACACACCCCATTCCACCGCGTACACACCCCATCCCACCGCGTACACACCCCATTCCACCGCGTACACACCCCAGCGCACCCTGTGTACACACCCCATCACACCCCGCGTACACACCCTATCACACACCGTGTACCACCCCATGTACACCCCCCCCATCACACACTGTGACACCGTGTAAACACCCCATCACACCGTGTACACACCCCATCACATACCACGTACACCCCCATCGCACACCGTATACACACCCCATCATACCCGTGTACACACCCCATCATACCCCGTGTACACACCCCATCACACACCATGTACACACCCCATGACACCGTTTACACACCCGTGTACACACCCCATCACACCGTGTACACACGCCATCACACCCCGTGTACACACATCACACCCCGCGTACACACCCCATCACACACCGTGTACCACCCCATGTACGCACCCCCATCACACACCGTGTCCACACACCATCACACCGTGTAAACACCCCATCACACACCATGTACACCCCCCATCACACACCGCGTACACACCCCATCAGACACCGCGTACACACCCCATCACAAACCATGTACACACCCAATCACGCACCATTTACACACCCCATCCACTTCATCTCTACAAACGGTTTCTCCTCTTGGCGCGCACCGTCTCGTGCGGTGTTCCTCAGGGCTCTGTCCTTGGTCCCTCCTCTTCAATATCTACATGCTCCCTCTTGGTGACATCATCCACACACTCTACCTCTCTGCCTCCACCTTTGACTCCAGGACCACTGCTGTGCTGACAGAATGTCTGTCGGACATCAAGTCCTGGATGAGAGATAATTTTCTTCAGTTGAACATCAACAAGACTGAGGCTTTTCTGATTGGTTCCTGTCAGCACCTCCTCACCGCAGGCACTGACAGCATCACTATCCTTGGGTGCAAACTCAACCTTGCTGAGCCAGTCCGGAACCTCGACGTCTTGCTTGACCCTCAATTATCCTTTCTACTCTACGTCCGTGCCATGACCTGTTCTGCCTGTCCCCATCGCCACAACATCGCCCGATTCCGCCACTGGCTCACACCGCCGGCTGCCAAGACCCTCATAGACACTTTCATTACATCGAGGCTTCACAACGCAAACTCCCTGCTTGTCGGTCTTCCCAACTCCTCCCTCCATAGGCTGCAGATCATCCAAAACTCTGCAGCCAATGTCCTCTCCCGCACCAGGCTCCGTGACCCTATCACCCCCATCCTCGCCCGACTCTATTGGCTTCCCATCACACAGAGGATACAGTTCAAGATCCTGGTCCTCAGCTTCAAAGTCCACCATGGCCTTGCACTCCCCACCTCTGCGACCTCCTAACCCATCCTGTCTGCTCCCTTCACTCAGCAGCCTGCTTCACGTCCCCCGTGGACTGGGGGTTATGGGTTAACAGGAGCCCAGCATGTTCACACCATCACACAGCTTGTACAAATTGTACACAGAGTGGCATCTGGAGGCAAACAACAATCCAAAGACACTGTTTTGCACTATCCATCACCTCCTCCATGAACTCTCAAGCCCCCTCTATCCTCACATCGCCTCCCATATCCCCTTCCATCCCACCCAGACCATCCACACCACTTTCTCCCTCCGCCCCAGCTCCTACCACTCCTCTCTCCTTAAAATCCTTTGCCCCCATTTCTCCCTCCCTCTCAACCACAATTACCGGGATGAAGTTCACCACCTGCAACTCAACCACCTCCCCACCAAACTGCTGGTCACTCAACTCCCGCTTCTCTCTCCTTGCTGGCCAACCCAGTCAACCAGGCTCTCTCCTCAGTCTCACCCAGAAAACCGCTGTTATCACACCCTTCCTCAGTCCCTCTAATCTCTCATACTACATCTCCAACCTGCTCTTCCTTGCCAAAGTTCTGGAACACATTGTTGCAGGTCAACTTTGGTCACACACCTCCCTCCTCCTGCTGTCTGGTTTTCGCCCTGCCCATGGCACAGAGGCATTGCTTATCAAAGTCACAAACGATAGTCTCTCTATCTGTTACCAGGGCGCCCTCTGCCTCCTTGTCCTCCTGAATCTCTCTGCCAAGTGCCACACAGTCAATCACCCCATCCTCCTCCACCGCCTCTCCTTCCTCATCCACCTTAGTGGGACCGCACTCGCATGGTTCGAGTCCTACTTAACCAACTGCCTCCATTTCATCTCAGCAAATGATTTCTCCTCCCACCCCTGCCCAGTCACCTACCCCAGGGCTCCATCCTTGGCCCTCTTCTTATCTTTTACCTAAGTTGTTTTTTTGGCATTACAGTACAGGAAAGTAAGTTCTTTTTTTGAGTCTGAACTGTTGTGTGATCCAGGAATGTTGTGTTCTGTGATCCAGGTCACATCAGAATGTCAGCACGAACAGCCACTGTCCACGCCAAATGGATCATAGGAAAAGTGATTGGAACAAAAATGCAGAAGACTGCCAAAGTGCAAGTGACTAGACTTGTCCTGGATAACTACCTGTTAAAGGTAATAATTTAGTTCAATGCATTTGTTTATTACTAATGCAGAGAAGCCTTGTGCCCATGCAATCCTGGGTTTAAAATTCTGGTGGTTCACTTGAATGCAACATTGAGTTCAGAAAATAATTACAGTATTTTAGTATCTTATCAGCTAACTTTATGACATTTCAGCCAATAATACCTTGTGATGGTGTATACGTTGTGTACACTATAAAATGTTGTATTTGATTTTCTGAATTATTTTTCCCATAAACGTCGTTGTCATCTTCTTTGGTTAATGCTCTGACAAACATTGTGTGGCTCGGTGAATCTTTCCTGACTTGATACCTTGTTCTACGGTACAAAAAGTGTAGGTAATTTTAAACTATTAGAAAACATTAATATCCAGTGAAGAAGAATACTTTCTCTCTCCAAATTTCTCCCAGCTGTTGATTGCCACTCAGTAAACATCTGAACCTGCGCCCTCTTGGCTTGGTTTACCTCCTCAATACCATTCAGAAGATTAATCTGTTCCTGACCAGGATTGGTGGTGGGAGACCTTAGTTTCAATTGTTTTTGGAAAAGGGATTTTTTTAATATACGTATTGCAAGTTTTGACTATAATTTGCCTTGCTCATCTCTCCTGCAGTATTTCAACAAGAGGAAGACCTATTTTGCTCACGACGCACAGCAGCAGTGCACTGTGGGCGACATTGTCCTTCTGAGGGCTTTGCCCGAGCGACGCTCTAAGCACGTCAAACACGAGCTGGCAGAGATTGTGTTTAAAGTCGGGAACATCATCGACCCCGTTACGGGAATACGTTGCAGTGGGAGCAAGCTGCTGGATCTGCCAGGAGACTGCCGTCCCGAGGTGGCAGCTGAGCTGAATTATTTAGATCCCGACGTAGCACAGAGCGATTCCAAACCCAAAGCCTCTGCAAACTGAACTCGCAGTAACATTATCATCTGATGTTTGTAATCATTCAGAATGGGTTTCCAGCCTGTCACTGCTCTCTCCTGGAATTCCTGCAATGTTATAGAAGAGAATGCAGAAAATTGTAAATCCTAACGAAAAATACTGCAGGTGCTGGAAATTGTAAATCTTGACAATTGTCCGAGCTCTTGCAGTAGAACTCGCAGGACTTTGCTGATTTCATGTGAGCTCACCAGACTGGATTGATCTGTTTGACATAGTTTCTCTGTCTGGATTTACATATTCAGCATATAAAAGCAACACTGTCTTCTTAATAAAATGCATTTCAGGAGTAATGTTCAATGTCCAGCTTGATTGTCAGTGTATAATAAGAGTGTGTATAACAGGTACACAAACTCCAAGTGTGCTGAAAATATCTATGTGAAACTGAGATCCGTTTATAATAATCCTTGCATTTGATATAGTGCCTTACCATGTTGTTGAGATATTTCAAAGTGCTTCACGGAACATACTGTGAAATGAATTGACTGGATATTTTGTGGGCAAGACACGACAGCCAATTGAGCACAGCAGTGTCCCACAAACAGTTATGGATTGAATGACCAAATTTATATTTTTTGGAAGGGATTATTTGCCCCCCCAGAAAAGCGATCTGCCAATCGCTTAACAACCGGGGTTCCTACAGGTAAACAGAGGCGCGTGCAGTAAGGAAACGTGCCTAAGGTTTTGCAGTTCCCAGGAATCCAGGCAAGCACACTATTTTTCACAAAAGAGATGATTGCATTAAATAAATGGAGCTGGGGTAGGGTATTTTGCAGGGAGCTGGGGGAGGGGGGTATCAGCAGCAAACTGGGGAAGGGGGCTATTTGCAGGGAGCTGGGGGGTATTTGCAGGAAGCTGGGGGAGAGAGGGGTATTTTCTGAGAGTTGGGGAGGGGGTATTTGCTTGGAGCTGGGTGAGGGGCGTATTTGATGGGAGTTGGGTGAGGGGCGTATTTGATGGGAGTTGGGTGAGGGGCGTATTTGATGGGAGTTGGTGAGGGTATTTGATGGAGTTGGGTGAGGGACGTATTTGATGGAGTTGTGAGGGGCGTATTTGATGGGAGTTGGGTGAGGGGCGTATTTGATGGGAGTTGGGTGAGGGACGTATTTGATGGGAGTTGGGGGAGCGGTTGTTTGCTGGGAGCTGGGGAGGGGAGGGGGATATTTGCTGGGGAGGGGAGAGGGGATTTGCTGAGAGTTGGGGAGGGGAGGGGGTGTTTGCTGGGGGAAGGGAGGGGGTGTTTGCTGGGGGGGTGTTTGCTGGGGAGTGGGGGGTGTTTGCTGGGGGAGAGGGCGGTGATTGCTGGGGGAGGGGCGAGGTGTTTCCTGGGGGAGGTGATTGCTGGGGGAGGGGCTGTTTGCTGGGGGGGGGTGTGCTGGGGGGGTGGTTGCTGGGGTGGGGGGTGTTTCTTGGGGGGGGGTGATTGCTGGGGGAGGGGGGCTGTTTGCTTGGGGGGTGTTTGCTGGGGAGTGGGGGGTGTTTGCTGGGGGAGAGGGCGGTGATTGCTGGGGGAGGGGGGAGGTGATTGCTGGGGGAGGGGGGCTGTTTGCTGGGGGCGCGGTGTGCTGGGGCGGTGGTTGCTGGGGGTGGGGTGTGTTTGCTGGGGGGGATGTTTGCTGGGGGGTTTTGCTGGGGGGGTGTTTGCTGGGGGAGGGGGGTGATTGCTGGGGGAGGGGTGGTGTTTCCTGGGGGAGGGGGGGGTGATTGCTGGGGGAGGGGTGGTGTTTCCTGGGGGAGGGGGTGGTGTTTGCTTGGGAGGGGGGGGTGTTTGCTGAGGGGGGTTTGCTGGGGGTGGAGGGGGTGATTGCTGGGGGAGGGGGTGTGTGATTGCTGGGGGAGGGGGCGTGTTTGCTGGAGGGGGGTGTTTGCTGGGGATGGGGAGTGGGTGATTACTGGGAGGGAGGGGGTGATTGCTGGGAGGGGAGGGGGTGATTGCTGAGGGGAGGGGCTGATTGCTGGGGGAGGTGAGGGGGTGATTGCTGGGGGGAGGGGAAGGGGTGATTGCTGGGGGGAGGGGAGGGGGTGATTGCTGGGGGGAGGGGTGTGGGGAGGGCAGGGGGGATTGCTGGGGGGGAGGGGTGATTGCTGGGGGAGGGGAGGTGGTGATTGTTGGGGGAGGGGAGGGGTGATTGCTGGGGAGGGGAGGGGGTGATTGCTGGGGGGAGTGGGAGGGGAGGGGGTGATTGCTGGGTGGGAGGGGAGGGGGTGATTGCTGAGGGGTGGGAGGGGAGGGGGTGA